AATTATACATCTGCAGTAAAGAGACAACATTGTTCATCTCTTTACAGAACAAATCCTTGTCATGGATTTAATCGATATCAAATGAAAATGATATTAATGTATCGAATTCTGCTTTATGGCCACTACACTACGTACCGTGATCGTGTCAAAATTGAAAACACTCTTTAAGACCATCGAGTTCACTCGAAGAAAAGATACGATTACTCCTGTCTGTACTATGCCTCTTTGTCTTCGGCAACCCATTGAGATTATTATAATTAATCAAAGAAAAATCTTGTTGTTGAAATCCCATGTAACCATTCGAAGTCGAAATTATGCTCTAAAAATCTCATTTAAAAGCATGTTACGTTTGACGACAAAACACCAACGACACAAAAATCGAAAGTTTTCAATGTTGGGTGTATACAAAAATTTACGTTCTATTTCTAATAATGTTTTATTCTAATAAGAAATTTTGAAAAGGATGAAAAGCGAAAAGTGAACAAGCAAATATGATTATGTCAATAATAGTTCAATGCAGTGCTGTATTGTTATTGTTGCATATCTTTATTCATCTCGTTGTATTTGCTACAAAAAAGAAAGAACTTATAGGGTATCAACGAAGACAGTGTTAACGTACCAGCTTTAACTACATCGATATTTGTTATTAACACGAATACACGTATTACAACAGTCGGCAAGAGAAACAAATTGACCATTGTGACGACGGCCACAAGATGTTCCAGCTTCAGCACATTTTTCAATCCCTTCATCATTTTTATCATCAAGAACGCCACCGACAACGCCAATAACATTGTTATTATCGTCAACAATATCAGTATCACGATTGATAAATAAGCGACGAAGGGATCGATCGATTTCTCGTTTTGAAATTGCAGCAGATTGTACACCTTCTTCTCCGAAGAATACTAATACCGCTAATAATAACAGCATCACTGAAACCATTTTTTGACTAAGCTTGCACATTTATCGGTATAGTTGTCGAGCGATCAGAGATAAGATATTTGTGTGAAATCTCTGCAATCGAACCGTTAATTTATATTCACCGTTCGGCGAGGGGTAAGAAGTAACCTTGGACGGGTTAAATTACAGAAAGTGACAGTGGTATTTGTTTCACCTATGTCAAAGGCAAACCTTCATTTTTCTTTTTCCCCCGAAGACAAATTTGAATATTTTCGCAATTTCAGAGAATAATAGATTGTGCATTTGATCAGTCATCCTAGGGCTTTGTACTGTGAGAGCATAGTTGAATAGTAGGTTATTTTTGTTATTGTGCAACTGTCAACATTTGATAAAATCGATTAATTAGCATGAAGACATTTGTCGTATTTTTTCATTCATACGGCGCTTCGTCGTGATATACTGATCGGAAACGACGGAAGAAGAACTACATACGAACCTTAAAATACGCCGACAACAAAAATCGACATTGACCACTACGTAGGATAACCTTGCACAAGTATATAATATAGAAAATTGATCATCGTCCATATTTTGTCGATATAAATTAAGAAGAGAGAGAACGAATTTCGATTAATTTTCTTCGTTAGTCATTTTTGATATTCGATTATGTATTCAACAAATTCATTGGTCAAAACAAGTTTTAACAGACAAAAATTTTCGATCTGATTATGAAAGATTATAACTGTCAACAATAATCAAATTTTCGATAGAAAAAAATGAGCCATTCTAATCCAGACTATCAGAATAAAATACAGAAATGCATATGCTCCATTTATGCTTATCAAGGATTAGCTGTTTAGATGTTCTTTGATTTGATGCAAAGCCATTATGCTATGATTTTATCTCGCTAAAGTTTAAAATTAATCGTATTACTTATATGTCGTGTTTAACTTTCACGAGAAGAGTAATGTAAATGATAGCGTTATAGCAATTACTCAAAAAATATCATACAATAATCGTTTTGGGACATTTAATCCGGAATGTGTCAGCACCTGAATAGGTTATTTGACAACGTGTTTGATGTGCGTCTAAACGATCAGTAATATGTTTATTTCAGGTCACACCGTTGATCAGTAATCGATGTACTGTAAAATCAACTTTTCAAATATAGATAAAAATGAACGATCGAGATGTCAATCAAAGTGTATATAATCCGAATGACGTACGGATAGAGAGAGAAGGAAAAAAAATACTGTGATACAAATAGTATTACTCTATTCAAGGTAATAGAATGATATTTCGAATATTCTACGTCCTGTTGAAGCATAACTTTTTTCGCTAGACAATTAGGTGGCCATGTGGTTATTATATATATATATATATATATAAACAAAAACCAAGCACGATTAACCGCTTGACTGTTAAGTTTTTCTTAAAGTTATCTGATAAACTCTTTGCAAAATAATTTTGGTTAATTCGTAAATAATCAAGGATAATGACAGAATCTACAGGCATATATATTTTTTTCCTTAACATATACCAGCTGACGTACTCCGCTGTAAAAGGGACGCAATTCACTTTTTCCATCTGCAATGATGCTCTTATTATCACACTACGAATCTCTCTACTGATATTCATCCGTGGTACATAAACAAATCCTCACAAAGGAAATCATTCTCAACAATTGAAAAAGACAAAACGTGCAATGTTCGATAATAATTGAAAAAATTAAACAAAATATGTTTGGATAAAACTCGGTCTTTTTTTCGTCATTAGTTTATCTTTTGAAAACAAAATTTGAAAATATCATTCTAGTGTGATGTGCATTCGTTTATTCATTTATTGTAGACTTTTGATATTTAGAAAAAAATACAAACAAAATTTTCTCGTTTCCCCATATATTGAAAAGAAATTCTTTTCCGAAGATGTACATTTTGTTGACCGTAACTATAGAACTATTAAATGGAAAATTTTTAACCATATGCCTACTTTCATTGATGGTCGAGAGAGTAAATCAAGATTGCCGAGTAAAACTTTTGTGAAACTTCACAAGAGTTAAGTATGATGAAACCCATAAGAAAATCGAAATTTACTGAGAATCTACATTAACTGTTTCAAAATGAACTATTTTTCTTTGAACTAAATGTATTCTTTTGTCTACGTGGCGATGAGTTCAATACACAAATGATAATATTACTTTTTTTACTAAGAAATTAACAAAAGAGGTGCAAAATACATTTTGATTAGTTTTGTCACATTTAGAGCAAATTATTTTACCATAGTATAGGCGAAGTGTGTCTCAAAACTTTCACTCGACTGCAAAATCAATGATGGAAGTAGTTATAGATTTGAAATCTTGTGATTGGATAGACCAAGTTAATACTGATAGTTTGTACAACTTTCAACTATTTGTCTCAACTTTGAAACATATTTTGCGTGTCTGGTTTGATTTTAATACATCAACAACGTTGGGCTTTCAGTTCTCAGTTAGTTTGACTTTTTCTGTTTAGCAGATAGTTTGATAAAAGAGATAATGAAGCATATCGATCACTAATTAGGTAGATATGAATCTCATCTTATCAATTGACAATAGGTGAACGATGAGCAAAAAATTATTTCACATCAACATTAAACTTTTGGATTCGATGACCATCAGAACTGGTTACATATAAATTATTTTCCTCGCTGAAAAACAAACTTGTAGACCAACTCAATTGATTTGTTCCTTGTCTTTGTCCATTTCCATCAACAACCGCACACCATCGTACTATTCGATGATTCAGAAGATCTGCCGCATAAACACTTCCTAATTGATCAACGACAATTCCCCAAGGATAAGACAGCTGCGACAAACTACTTCCTCTACCTCTGCCATCTGCAAGAACAATAAGTTCTCGTGCACCTTTCATCCATTTCATTACTCGATGATTATCATTGTCCACAAACACACCACCGGATCCATTCAGTTGATCAAGTAGATTTCCTTTTCCATTTCCACCTGCCACGACTCCTCCACTTCAATCACCAATCTTCCATCGTCGAACTTCATGTTTCTCATAGTCGGAAACATACAGATATCCTTCGCTATCCATTGCCATTCCATTCGATCTCACATCACAAATAATCACTTGTCCACCTTTGCCATTCTGACGAGGCCATCGCATTATTCTTCTATTACCACTGTCACTTATAATCAATGAATCTGTCTTTCCTTCGACAAGACCGTCCGTTGAACATTTCATTTAGTCATTTCGATTTCCTGCATCATTGCCACCCGCAACTATCCGATCACTAGGCGCACCTTTCTTCCGTTCCATAATACGGTGATTACGAAAGTCAGCAACATAGATAACCTGATTATCGTCAATGCACATACCATGTGGGTTATTTAATTGATTAAATCCATTGCTTTGACTATTACCTTCAGCCACGGTGATACCATTATGTAGCCACTTTGTATTTACATTGATACTTGGGATATTTAACATGTCTATAAAAAGTAAAATGATATTTTACGAAAACTTGAATCTGTAAGAGAATCACTTGGCGATGAAGAAAGATCTTATCCTCATCCTCATCGAATATTCCAATTTACTAAATATCTCAACATTGATCATTGTTATCAATGGTGTTGAACTTTGTTTTACTTTGATGTTTGATGGTTTTACTAACTCTTCATTAATTGGAGTCAATTGTTGGCTTCATTGCTGAAGATCTTCTTCCGCACATAGTCATTTTCTGTTCGATTCTCTCGCAATTATTCTGTTAATTCATTTTATTTCTTCTCTATTCCGGATGTGAGCACGTTTGTATGTTTCTACACCTGTTGTCTTGCTTCTTCTGCTGTTTTTCTGATGAGTGCATGATCTCATGAGCTATTGGTATGCTCTGTGAGTGTTTGACGGAAAAGATCTCGTGTCATTTGAATTTCATCAAGTTGCTGACTGACTTGTTGCCGATGGTCAGTGAAATGATTGAGAGCAACCCTCATATCGAGTAGTGCTTTTGAACAAATGACGTTTCGTTTGTGTAAAGATGAGATGTAGAACAATAAGATACAAAATATAAACAAAAACGAGTGAAAATGCCGCTTGAAAATTGAAATAGAGTTTGATAGTGATGATAGATCGAATAATTTCAAAATTCGCTTTGGCGAGGACTCTTCAGACAATGACCAAATAATATAAGAGAAAAAAATAATCATTATGGTGTTTGTAAATCGCATTCACTGGTGATAAAAGGATGACGAATAATTTGACTTCAACAGTATGTTCAAGCTTTCGAAGTTTCTCAAGCAAACCTAATCGAATGTTAGATGTTCTTATCTAAATACAATCGAATCCTCTGAAAAGTAATAGAAAATATCGGTTGTAATGGTGATAGGCTGTATTTGATGAAATCATAGATCGAGAAAATAAGAATTATTTGAAAGTGGGTAGCACATTTCCATTCAAATCTTTTGGTTAGCAAAATGTAATACCTCCGAAGTGATCATGACGAATGAATTTGTCTTTCCAATTCTCAATAGAAATCAAATAAACAAAGAAGTAATCCACACTTTGTGTTCATCAACGATTCAAAATCAATGATAATTAGAGTGGATACAGTTCATCAAACTTCATTTAGAGCGAATACAATCAAAATTCGGAGATTAACAACTCGAATCTTGTTCTAAGATATTACAGGTAACAAATTGATTTTATTTTCACAAATACAGTTTTTATACGAACAACACTCAGTAGTCATTGTCATTTGATTTACATTACTGTCTCCATACGGCCTTTTGTTCGCACCGATTTGTCTCCACCTATGTTGTGATCTAGAGCTGATATTGGCATTATAGTAATGGTATTATGAGAGGTTTTTATCATGTCTTTTTTCAAAATAATCAATAGAAAGAAAGGATAGATTAAATGCAAGAAATAAGGCAATAAATACATATAATCGATTTGTGCCTGTAATAGAAACAGTGGATCCCAATAGACGTTGATAAATATACATAATTGCATTGGCATCCACACAGCTAAATACAAACTCGAGATAGCCCATAGTTGTAAAATCATCTTTTTATCTCGACACCATTTGAATGCTTGTTGTTTCATCGTACGTTTTTGAATGAAAACTCGGAGATAAAGTGCTGAACAAAATATCGGGATAGAAAGCAGCGGTGCATAAGTGTTGAAATATTGATCGACAGAAGCCCATATTCGATTCAGAAAATAACAAGGCCACAGGCATGTCAACACATTGTAATCATAGTAAGGTTGACATTGATGAATAAATATTGCTGAAACATAGAACATAAACGGATAGAAAAAACAAAATGCAAGTGGACAGTAGTGAAAAAGAAATTTTCGTCGCCGATTGTCAATGAATTTAGGATAGAAGATCAGCCAATGACGTTCAATACTTGCAAATGCCATGAGAAAAAGATTGGCAATGTTCAATGAATACTGAATACATATCCACATTGAACAGAAGAATTGCGTCGAAGGGTAAACATACGATCGGAAGAGGAACGCTTGGGTGAAAGGTAATGGAATAGTAACGAAAAGAAATGAATTGATCAAAAGAAGAAGAATGACGTGATGATGATTTTGTTTGAGAAGGTGATGTTTACGAGCGAACTGACGAAATATCCACAGAAAGCTAATGACGGAGGGAACTTGCACAGTAAGTAATATTCCGAATTTGATATAATTTGCTTGAGAAGTATTTACGAAGTCGAATGCCGAAGACATTGTAGTGTTACGCACTGTATGATAAATCTATAACTGGAATGTACACACTAAAAGAGAATCATACAGGGAAATATGAGAGAAGTATTCAAATTTTTAAGATGTTCAAAACAGATAAGAATGTTTAGGTCTAAAGCATGATCACTCCCAGAAGAATCTTTTTCTGACACAAGAAACAAGCTAATCATAAAACGAGAACTGCAATTTATAGAGCGTCACTTCTTCTGCCAAAAACATACTCAATTATAGAATGCCAGATTCGTAGAACGGTATTAGCTGTTATTATTATTGCAGAAAGACAGAGATACAGTCACGATCTCTCGTGTAATTTCGTGGGTTGTTCAGTATACGGATTACAGTTATTTTTATTAGGCAATGAACAGGAAAAGAAGACAGTGCAGTTCATCTCGCCATAATAAATTGAAATTTTTCACGCTTGGTCACAAAATTGTATGTCTGAAACTTATCCGACTCGCTGTTATTTCAAAAATAATTCTTGGAACATTTGTACTCAAATAAGCTTTCTATATTTTTCTTGTAATTAAGATATTTCCTTCTGACTGACTCAGAGGAGGCCGGTTTTCTGATAATTACGTATCATCCAGTGTGAAAAGAAAAAAGCGAAGATTCTGCATGTCATTTTAGCGAAACTAAAGACATGTGTCCGTTTCTTCTTCTTCTTGAGTTTCATCTATATGTGATAATAATTGTTGTGGTATTCCATAGTTGGTGACGATTCCGTTGTTCATTATCACAATACGATCATTGTCTATGATGGTGTTCAGTCGATGTGCAATTGTTAAGATCGTGTAGTTTCGAAACTTGTCACGAATGATTTGTTGAATGAACAGTTGGTTTGCCAATGAGCCGAGAGAGTGCTTGGAAGATGGATCATATTTGGCAGCACTTGTTCGTCCGATGATGCTAGCCTTGTGACGACCAATGAGTGGGCAGTTGAATCTCGTTTTCGCCGCCTAAACCTGTTTCAATGTGTTGTCGCAAGGCAACATAGAGAATAGCTGTGACAAACATGAATCAACAAGTTTGACACTGATGCGAGTGATGCAATAGGACTAGTATATGCATTGTCGGAGAAGAATGTTTATGATCGATTGTTTTCTTGATGAATAGTATCGGTGACTGTTCCTGAATCGACCATGGTCAATACACCACCCTGAAATGCTGTCGTAGTTTGTGTACTAATCTTCCAGATCATCGGGAATTAATCCAATATTCTTATCGTCTTTATCGTCGACTATGCACTGGCAATTTTCAAGAATTCATTAAAATAGTCTTGTTAACAAGTAGAGCTTGTTTAAAATACACTGGAGATTATTCATATGATTTTTTTTTCTGAAGACAAGCTGTTATCGTAATAACTCAGAATGATAAGTTTTTCGCAAAATTCTTTTGCTTCTTAGCTCAAAGTCAAATAAGTTATTGCTGATACTCAGATTAACTTTGGACAAATCTCCAATGCCTTTGAAATCCGAAAATATCGTTGCGGATGAAAATAATTGCACTGAGAAGAGGATCTATTAGTGTTATGCATATTGTCTCTTGATTTACTGCTATTCCATAATGTATGTTAAAGTTTCACCGATTGACTACACAATTTTCGAATATTCTACGTAACAAGGCCAACAATCGATTTAAAGAGGCCTTTAAAAAATAATCTGAGACGGTAGAAGATTTAACCAACATACTCGCAATATATTTCTGATACAATAAAACTTCGGCGAAAAAGTACAGTAGGAACGAAAAGAGAAAACGACAATAGTCTTATCAACTTATCATGAAATGAATTTACAACGTGGAATTTTTTTCCAAGTTTCTGCTCTGCTCGGCTATTTATCGATACACGTTTTATTATTTCTGATATCACAGGTAAAGTAACTCTTTCTTTTAATATTTCAAAATGCGACCTTCAGACCCTGACAGTAAATTTTCCTCAGTGACATCATAAATTCATCATTCGCGTTAGCTCAGAATTCCTTCCGACAGCGAAAGGGTTACATCAGAAGACATTTAGTTCATCACTAGTAATATATCCTAAGGTGACCAAGTCCGTATCCTAAATAGATTCGTGCATTGTAATCCTTCGCTTGTGCAATCATGTTATTGCTCAAGATGGTCCACCTGCTTACAATTATTATAGTCATGCACTGGTCTGCGTAAGGTCCCTTCGAAGTGAATTTGAGTTTTTCAGAGTATTAGTTCACCTCCAAAACATAGCAATGACCGTGTTAGTTCGTCTAGGATCGTCACCAGTGCACAGTCGCACAAGTATGGTCGGAGCTCCGAATGTCCTCACCCACTGACCAAATCGATTCGTAACCCATAAGCTTAAACGCATGAATAGAGATGAGTGATGAGATGGTTATTCGAATCAATTTGTTCGCCACCTTACAACATATTTTGTCGTTTGCGGTTGACACTCAGTTCAATGCCCTTGTGACATGAGGAACTATCTTACTCCATGATGTTGTACAATCGGAAATCAGATCTACCCGCGTTGTCAGTTATACGAATTTGAAAACATCTCCCCTTCGTAAGCTTAATGAATTCCAGAACTTCCGGATTCCAATTCTCACAGTTTCGAAGCGAAATCACATATCTCGCCATCTTTCAGAAGAGGGTCAGCTAATTCAAAAAGAACGAGTAATATCTGCGTATGTACATATGACTCATATTGCATCATTTTTAGAAATACATGTCCAATCTTCGAGAGGATCGATTCTTTATTGAAATACCATTTGTTTCACAAAAGCAATTCTATCATAGTGAGTTTTTGAAGCACTATGATCAAACAGTACGACATCCAGCGAAGTACGATGTAATTAATTCCTTAAAATCTTTACCTTTCAATTATGGTAACACTCATTTGGTACACAAAGCTATCGCAGACGAACCGGAGGAACACGATGTGATTCGTACGTATACCTCTGATCTTGAATATGGTAATCAGTCCTTTTACGCGTTCGTAAATAAGCAACTGGCAAACGATGCAGGGCATATACTTGTTAAACTGATGCCGTTAATTCGCAGAGCTACTTTTCAAATAAACTACAAACCTCCACTTAACGAATGTGTTGTCTATCGTTGTATGCGGTTGACTAACAAGCAGAAGGAACATTTCAAGACTAATACGGTTTTTCGATTTCCCGGATTCACATCAACATCCAAATCTAAGACTGCTGCCAAAAAATTCGGCTCAGTATTATTCGAAATTCACATTCCTGCCGGATGTAAACAAGTTAGAAACATTGCAGCAATTTCACATTTTAAAGATGAGGAAGAATACGTATTTTCCCCTTATTCATTGTTCAAAGTTACCGGAAGAACGTTAGAATGCATTATACTGAAAGCAATTGATAATAAATCCAACATTGGAATGGATGATCCATCACCAGCGGATAAACCTTCCATATTACTAGCAGACGAACCAATGCTGACAGATGCCGCAAAACCTACACCGAAGCCAAACAGAAATAAATCCAGCGCTTGTGTTATATTATGATACCATCATATACTTTATCCACATATACGAGAAATTTTCTTTTCTTAAAACGTTTTATTTCTCAGAATATTTTTTATTCATTTGTTATAGAGTCGTTTCATTACCTCAAAACAATACTGTATTTTATTATGTATTCCTATGCTACAATGATCATTAAAATGAAGTGCCTGAATAAATTCTACATTCGCTACTCTGAATTGAGCAACGTTGATTTCGGAGCATTAGCCAACGTCACTAAACCTTACGGATACATTACCTTTCATCGAATATGATCCGTACTGCTTTGTTCCATTGACCAACTTCTACACATTGCGGACATGTGCAGTACTTACAATATCGTCTAATTGTAATAAATTGAGTTCTGCCTTCACTAATCTCACGATATTTATCGAAGCAGTTTCCAGTATTAAAAAGGTATCCCATGCTAAAGAATGGTAGATACTACGATTCGTACACAGATAATACACTTGATAACTAAAAGCAAGCGGAAACAGTATTTACCGAGTTACTCTCACCTCTTCTATTGATTCACCATAATTCTTGCATGCTTTAAATGATAAGCTAGTGGGAAAAGACAAGATTTCATATTTACCCCAATAGAACATCAATTGTAGAAATATAAAGTCTCTCTCTATATCAAACTATATACTATGACTATAACCATCATGTACATACCCAATACTTTTCTTTGGCAGTCAAAAGTATCTGGATTTAATATTATACATCATTTCAACTTCTTATACGGCGATATATAGTACCGTGCATATGAAAGACACAGTTTTCATTGAAGATATTTCGTCGTAACGAATTCTATCTATGCATAGATATCGAATATCAACATTATTTTATAATGTTTACACGTCATACTTACATCATTTGATAACCGATACACTTATTTATATATCTGCCCCCTCTTCTGCTGTCATAGTATCCATATGTCGATCCTGGTTTTCGTCTGTCGCATTCATTTTACCACCATCAATAAATGCGAAGTTTTTCGAATAATACGAATATTCAAGTCGACGCAATACCGACGAATATCTGTGGCTAAATATATAGTTCAAGAAGAAACATGCGCGATACACTCTGCATCTCACAGAAAAATGTCCGAGCATATGGAAATAAACTACAAACAACAAACAAGAAATTGAACTTAAGCTTGTTTTTTAAAAATACGCCACATTTCATTTGATGCAGATACTGCACCTTGTCCAAATAATTGCACAGCTTGCATACCATTCTTGGAGTACTTCTCTTGCCAGTCTGGATCCGTATTGATTGCAAATCCTTGACATTGATCATCTGAATTACAATGTGTTATGCCTTCGCTCATTAATAAAATGCAATTAACGTTTGTGTCATCTTGATTTTGAGGATGGTTTTGACATGAATAAACTTGATCATCATTCTTAGCAGCTGGTGTACTATCAAACACATAATTAAAATTATTTGCAGTTGGACAAGTCGTTTTGCCATAGACAACAGGTGTGTCACGAATTGTATTCTGTTTTTCATAGCTACTCCATTCGGTGAACGAACAATTGAATGTTTTTTCTCCAGCTTTAGTTAAATGAACAGCAACTTGTCCATTTTTATCATATTGCTCATGAAACCAACGAGCTGTTGTCATCGTATATCCACCACAATCGGCATCTGAATCGCAATGAGCAAGAGCGTCGGGAAATAACATAATACACCATTCTGAACCACCCATATTTGCTTTATGAGTTGTACATTTATATGTTGAGCAATTGAAACATTGACCATCCAAAAGACGAACATAATTCAAGTATTTACCATCACTACAATTAGATATAAACGAAAACGAAGTGCTTTTATCTGAAATTTAGTATTTTTACTGTTTATTTGAGAAGTTAATGCTAGTAGTCGTCGATTGATTATTTGTCGAATCATCTTTCTTGTTTGGTGATAATCCAACAACATGAACTGTTGCCCATGAACAGATAATACTCACAAGGATAGCCGAAGCAAGCAAAATATTTTGTGTAGACATTCTTTTCTTGTATAATCCAATGAGTACTAGCCAACGATATGCCGACGAGCAAGAGAGAAGAGAAATACAGATATGAGACCGAATGATAAATTCTGGTGCAAATGCTATCTATTTATATAACTATACGAGACAAGCAAAGAGACGTAGTCGCGCATAGAGAGAAAAAGAATTGGACAACCGCTCATATGTACAGAGAAAGAGAGAGAAAGATAAAAAGAAAAGACAGCGCCGATATAGTAATGCTTCTCTTCTCTTTATTTTCAGTGACCTCTGATATCTTCAAGCTGACAAACTGTACATGCATTCTGCTTCTCTAAAACAAGATAGCCAAGAGAGAATCACATCCGGACTCATATATTAATAATTGCCATTTGTCCCTGGAGAATTTCTTTCTCTCTATCTCTCGTCGACATCTGTATGGAGAGAAAAAAGCGGTTAATACCAAGATAATGATGCTATATGCATCTTCGTATAATCAGTACACAAATGTAGAACCTTGCGCAACATCCGCACCAATAATAGATAGCATAGAAACATTCCATACGCGATGTTATTTGCAAAGATATAGACTTTGGTATAATCCACATTATACCAGATATTTCCAATTAACGAACAGATGATTAAATAGTACCACTAAGAGACGATGTCTGTCAGTTTGAGAGCAAGGATACACATGAAGCTATTATTTTCCTTTTCCACTAACAACTTCTATGAACACAGAATCTATGTTAATGTTCCAAAAGCAAACATTTAGCTATCTTGAATTATATTAGAAATTTTCTTTCTACCAGCTTCACTGTTCTCAGAAGTTAATGAGTATGAATGGGAAGTCATTTTTGTTTTGAAATAGGACGTGATAGTTTATTTTTCACCATGATGAACTTATATTCGAATTCGATGCGATCTATGCCAAAGTTCATTAATTTTTCGATGACATGTAATACTTACAATTGCTATGAGAAAATATTACCCAAAGTGAATAAATACATCTATTCACAATGAACAGAAGCGCTTGAGTGAAAGGTGAAGAAGAACAACATGATGATGATGATGATGTTTATTGCGAAGACAGCACTGATGTATGAATTAAGAAAAAACTGATTCGAAATTGAATACAAGTTGCCTGTGAAGTTATAATATCTTAGACTTTATTCGTAGTACTGCGGTTGCAAGTTATAATCCCTTGTGTGATTCACTCACTTTGAATAACAGGTGGTTTTTAACGCTTCGCTCAGTTTTCGTCACGTAATAAATCAGGGAATGAGATGATTGATTTCAAATCGACACAAACGTGAAAACATATATCTTGTCAGGCGCACAAAGTGCACATTAAAATGATGATAAAACAATAAAAGACAAACGAAGAATAAATATTCACATTTGATTAATCATCTACATAGTAGTGGAACAACAAAAAAAAACACAATTAAAAGCTATCAAAAGTAATCTAAACTTACTTTTGCTTTATCAAATCGAACGATACTATCATAACGATCGCCGTGTTTACTCATTCTACCAAGCTTCTTATTCACTTTATAATCAATACGACATGGTTGCCATTGAGCAATACCAGTTATAACTCAATTACACCATGTCAAGTCAAGAAACACATTGATAGGCATTATAATACTACAGTGCTGTGATTGCAGAGAAATTGATCAATAAGCATCCAGCAAAGAATAGATTCTCTCTCTTCGTGATAATGACATGTGAGAAAAAAATCGAAACGAAAGTTTCTTTCAAAGTGTGAACCGCTCGTCATGAAAGAAATAAGTATCACCTACAATGAAACTATGTTAAGGAATTCAGAGAATATAGTGAGAGGAAAGGCATCGTTTGCTGAGTATCTCAAAAACTCTAATAACTGAACATTGACAACATTTACGGGTGGAAAAATATGTTTCAGGGTTCAATTTGACGGTATCTTACAAAAAGTTGAATCAAAAACTCGACTTGTCAGAATTCTATAAATGTTGTTTTGATTCTATTCGCATATGCCGTAGATATTCCTAGATCAAATGAAAACAATATGTAGTTTCTCTCTTCATAAGTGCTGTCAAAAGCAAAAAAAGGGAGTCTGTAGTGATATTCTTATAAAAGTAAGCATAAACATCGGATATTTATCATTGGCGATTTATATGTATTGACTATCCACGTTCTGTTCCACACTTAGTAATAAACATTATTTATGATCAGCACTATAATATAAAACCGACAATTAATTACTTTTGGATTGATGTTTATTAATTCTTTTATTAGAAATAAATCTTAATCTTAAATGACATTTCATCATTAATATAGTGTATTAACTTTTATTTTGATCTATCGAACGGCGATATCTAGCATAACTATCTATGTATTGTTGGTTATTTGCCTTGAAAAGAAAGTTGATCCTGTTGCGAAACTTGTCACAGCGGCGATGATTCAATCTAAATCAGAGTGCTGAGTCCAACTATTTCCTAAACTCAAAAATGAATTTAGAGCCAACAAGAACTTTGTATTGCAAATATCTGTTGCTGTGAAATCAAGAAAGAACGGATCATTTGACATCAAATTATAAAACAGTGGCTATTCTTGAAAAACGCCCACAAGAGTACAGATATATGAGACAATGGAACAATCCATATAATCTACTAAAAGATGGCACTGTTTTGTTAGAGAGTGAAATTTATCTGTACTTGTTGGAATAAATAGATGCCACAAGATGTAGAACGGTTGATAAGGAAATGCTACTCGTAAAGATGAGTAAATTATTTTTGGTGAAAGCTTAAAACCTCTAAAAAATTTACTTAACATGAGCTGATCAATTTTATTCCAAAAGAAGACTTGATTTTAAGTCGACTTTATTCAAATTATCAGTCCGATAGAAAACAGATCAAACTCGAATAAACAAGGTAAGTTATTAGGCTTTCTAGCGGTTCACTCAAAATCATTGGATGTTTCGTCTAACTCGCAATAGTAGCCTTTCAATTTTTTTTCATTGTTCACTTCGTATCTCAACTTTGGAAGGCAAAAAAAGGCTGATATTTTGATGACGATCAGGACCCACTAAGATGTACATGTGGTAAAAATTTCAAGATGAACTGATGCTTTAATTATACCTTTTGACTAGCTGCGGGACTTTTGATCACGACTAATATACGCAAAATCCTCTTTGAAAGCACGTTGAAAATGTTCAATACAAAGTATTGTGTACAGAACCTTTCTATCTGTAGTTTAGAACCGTATAGCTTTAGAGTAAACTTTTACCACGAAACCTTTGCTCAGATTTATTCGAAAGAACCTTTTTTTAAGAGTGTAGTTAATTCGTCGGAGTTGCAGAATCTTCCTCGTGCGGCTTCGCGTGGGGGAGGTGGATGTTTTTCTTTTTGGGAAAAATCTTTGGCGTATTTCTACGTGAACGTTTTGAAATTTTACTTTCCGAAAATTGAGACTTCGAGGACAAATTTGTCCGTGGGCGCAAACGCGACTGTTTCACAGAAGATTCTGCGCCTCTGTCATTCGTATTTGAATAATCTGTTGGAAATGAAATACCATGTTTTGGGAGAATATATCGTGGTGGAGGCGCTTTAGTCATTGTTAATCCATGAGACTGTTCAAATCGCATGAGAAAATCCAATCTTCTCTCATTACGAAGTACAGGTATAGGAGCTGCTCCTGGAAGATTATTAAATGTAACCATTCCACCAGCCATTATTTCATTCGTCTTCTTATCACTAATATCTTTTAATTGTTGAGTTGTACATATCTCATACCAAACCGTCAATCGACGTTTCGATTCTCGAGGATAAATAACTCGATGAATTCCTGCTTTCAATCGATTTTTTGTTATTCGAGATGCTTTCTCTCCTAACCAAATAACTCCAATATTTGATTCTAATGGTCCATCAATCCATTCATCATTTATCATCTTTTTCAATTGAAGACCTTCATGTGTTGATAAAACACTAATTGAAAGTAATCCTGGATCATAATGTGGAACGCAATTCACTTCTTCAGTTGATTCTCCATTTTGTGGTGGTTGAAAACCACTTTTATCGTTAAAATAAGATACAATATCAAGCATACCAAAATGTTCATTTTTCAGTGGTAAACGAGCTCGTTTAATAAGATTTGATAAAGACGGATGTTGTTGAAATACGGAATGTTGATCAAGGACTTCGATTAAACGCTTAGTGACAGCATCTAACATTTGTGAAAGATAATTTAATGGTTCAAGCAGTGTATTTGGTATCAATCCTTTATTTGCAAACTCCTGCAAATAACTTCCAGTCAATAGTTTGATTCCTTCTTTGTGATTAACTTTAGAATAACCATAGACTGGTGAGTACTTAGAGTACCAAGTGTTTTTATTATCAGATTCAAAAAATTGTGTTAGTTGCTCGATTAAATCCGAATTTACAATCAGCTGTTTTGGAAGCGAGACGAAACACCATCCATTTGATTCGAATTCTGTTTGCATTTGTTTTATTTCTGTAGTATCATTTGTGTTGAATATCTTGTTCAGATCGATAGTAGTTTGTGATTTGTTGTTTGATGAAGACATGTTCTTACGTATAATTCGTATGCTATATGCTGAAATGTGCGTTTTTAATACTAGTGTTATTATTTTGCAATCGTTTCATTTTATGCAAAGGGATTCTTGCACAACATTCTATTTTCCATGCAACGTCATTATTGGTGAATGTAGGCGTGCTTATTCATGTCGCATTCATAATAATGTGTGTGCAGTGCTGTGCTGTGAATGAAAGGAGAGGAAAAATATTCGCTCTACCCAGAATCCAATAGATGTAACTTTAATTTTCATAGCGCCATCTTCGCAAATAAGATTCCTTGTCGTTATTTCAGACGGTCCAAATAAAGATTATGAGTTTTCTCATGTATCTCAAATATATATATAACTTGCTAGTTAAATGTTTGACATGAATCGTTCATATAAATAGAGTAAAAATTTACTCGAAGGATATGTTTTCTTTTTCATTTCTTTCGTCTGAAAGTACTTGAAAAACTGTATTGTTGCGAAAATTTGCGTTTTTCCTCTATCGCCATAACATATAAGATGGTGTAGAACATCAAAAAATTATTGACCCTCGCCCTCACCCTGGACCAAACAATTCCGGTCCAATCTACGGTTTATTTGAAGGCACATGTCCACTGTACGTTGTTCCAGATGTCGATTTTCTTCAAGAAGTGTTTATTAAACAGTTCTCGTTATTCCAATCGCATCGAGTTTCATTCGACCTACTACGAATGTCCACGGGACGACTCTTAGTCGATCAATGTGTTGATGCATTGATGAAGAAATTAACTGAAATCAGTGAAGAAAATACGAAAGAATTCAATATCTATTTGTTGTACAGACGTTTGACGATGGATGTTATTTGTAAGTCGGAACTTATTATTTGTAGAATATGTGCTTTCGATTCTCGAAATTTCTATAGGTCATTATGCATTCGGATTGGATACTGGCATGCAAAACGCTATTCGCAATGAATTTATGATCAAAGCAGATGCATGTTTTGATCAACGTGTTGAAACACTTCTGTTGACGGAATTAAGTTATCTTATGCCATGGATCACACCTATTCTCGTTCTACTCACTCGTAGTCAATTATGGCTTGGACAGTTTTTACATCGCATAGCCCGGACATTGTTTCATAATATTGTTGATTCTGTACCTACGATGTGGCTTCAGTCAAAGGTAGATGGTACTATCGATGCTCGCACAACAGCCTCGAAAACAGCGACGAGAAATGATTTACTTCAGTTGTTACTGGACGCTGCAGCTACTGATGAAAGTGATGTCGGAGAAAATCGATTGCATATCGATGAAGTCAAAATCAATGTATTTTTATTTACGATCGCTGATTATGAAACAACATCAACAGCAATGGCTTACTGTCCGTACATTCTAGCAACTAAATATGAGGATCAGCAAAAACTTCAAGGAGAAGTCGATGAACTCAAAGAACGCGGTATCAACTATGATTCTGTCACAAAACTATAATCTATATGGATCTGTTTATACGAGAAGTTCCTCGTATGTTTCCCGTCACCATAGTTGGAATCATCAGACGATGCAATGAAACAACGATTGTATGTGGACATACAGTCGACGAGGGTTCGTATAATATACTTCTACGTATATTCTATTCATTATAATCCTGATCTCTGGGGCCTAGATGATTCGAACCTATTTGTACCTGAACGACACACAGTGGAACGACATCCAGTCGCTTTCTTGGCATTCGATGTTGGACCGCGTGCTTGCATTGAAATGCGATTTGCCTTGATGGAAATCAAAATGGCTTTGGTACATCTACTTCAGAACTATACAATTTTACCTGGTCTCCAAATCAAACATGGATTCGCCATCCAACTCGAAGCCATCAACATCAAACTGATCAAACGTCATTGAAACTTCTTTTACTAATATATGTAATTATATACAACAAGTAAAAATGAGCCTCTAGATTTGAGCGATACCACCATCAACAAAAAGTTCGATACCAGTAATGTACGAACTATCGTTTGAGGCGAGAAAAAGGACGGCACGAGCGACTTCATCCGCGTGACCAACTCGACCGAGAACTGTAGCTGTAGTAATTTTTTCAGCAAATGCTTTGGATTTCTCCTCGGTATCATACATATTCCATAACATAGCTGTATCGATTGGACCTGGACTAATAGTATTGACACGTATTCGGCGAGATTTCAAATCAACAGCCCAGGAACGAGCAAATGAACGGAGCGCCGCTTTTGTTGCACTATATATACTCGACGCTGGTGGACCTTTGATAGTAGCAATAGAAGCATTGAGAATGATCGAAGCACCATCATTTAAAAGTGGTAAAACTTCTTGAACAGTGAACAGCACACCTTTAACATTGACGTTGAACATTTCATCAAAATATTGTTCAGTAATTGACCCCAACGGCATTGTACCAGCAAGACCTGCATTGGCAAAGATTATATCAAGTTTACCTTTTTCTTTCTTAATTACATTGTGCACGTGACGATGTCCATCGAGTTTCGATACGTCTGCTTCGATTGTTGTGATACTTTGCTTACCAATTCGTTCGACTGCCAAATCTAACTTTTCTTGGTTTATATCTGTAATGAAGACGTAAGCACCCTCGCTAACGAACTGCTGAGCAGTAGCGAAACCTATTCCTTCTGCACCACCAGTGATATAAGCAACTTTTCCATCAAGTTTACCCATCGTTGCGACCAGTCTTTTGTGTGAAAATGATGCTATCGACGCAAAAAAGGCAGTGAGAGTGTGTGTGTGCGTGTATGACTTCGAATGTATAGAGATCAATGAATTCAAATAGATAAGAACAAACCAATAGTTGTGAAAAAAAGCAACCGATATAACCCGTAAACTGTTAAACCACATGTTTCACTAGATGTCGCTGATAATATATTTGTTTTTGAATCAGTCAGATATTCGTCCGTTAAAATAAATAAAGGATGACTATTCTCAAAGCTTGTCAACTATCGATTTTAACATTATTTCATTCATCATGATACGTTGCTTAAAGTTCTTATTTCCATGTTCTATAAAACCACTTGACACTTCACTTAAACTACACACTCAGACACGATCTAAAGGTAAATATATGTAGTTGTAATCATCAACTGTCTTTATTGTATTGTTAACAGCTTCCGGTGTATTGATACTCATCATCACATTGTTCCGGATTTCTATTCGAAAGCAGTGAGCGATACTGGTGGTGATCCTAGTGGATGGCCAACTCCACAATGGTCTGTCGAACAAGCCAAACAGCTATTGTTTCGATAACAGCGCCTGGCACGAGAATTTATGAAGGTAATAGTACAAAAAGTAGACGACTCGCACGACAATTGAATGAATTCGCGGCTAATTTGATTCAGAAGTATCCTAAAAAATTTGGTTTTTGCGCAACTCTTCCATCCTTCATCGATGTTGAAGGAGTCATCGAGGAAATCAATCATACTCATTCAGTTTTCAAACCCGACGGATTTATAGTTTACACTAGTTATGGAAAAGGTCAATATCTCGGTCATCCATCATTTCTGCCGATCTGGAAAAAGTTCAACGAGCTACAGACTGTCGCCTTCATTCATCCAAGTGAAGCACCAACTCCTATTGGCAATCGTTACGCACCATACAACCATTATACTTGACTGTCCTCAAGAGACAACTCGAACGGCAGTTGATCTTGTCCTCACCGGTACTCGCGCTGCATTTCCGGATGTAAAATTCATTCTTTCACATGCTGGTGGTATACTCTGCCTTTTCTCGCTCAACGGATTGCCATGATGAGTGATCTGCCATCCTTTCAATGTCCGAGAAATGCTCGTGAAATTTTGAGTGATTTTCGTTCGTTTTATTATGATACAGCTTTGTCGTCAAGCGTTCCTCAATTGAAAGCATTACTCGCATTTGGTACCGATGTGTCATACGCTCCATTGTCAACAGCAATCGTGACAATGCGAAAGCGCTTTTTCCGAACACAGTTCAAAACTAACAACAAAATTGTTGTGAAACTACTTTGAATTTTATTAAAGTTATTTTAAAAATGTCTCAAAACCTTCGGATACGTGTTCTCGAATACACATCAAACACATTGCAGTGAGTGGCCGTACCTCATACTCACCAAGTCGAACTTCAGCTGGCTGGATGTGACCATGTTGTGCTAGTTCATTATGGGTTGCTTCGCTAATTAAATAATTGTTCCATTCTGGCAAGCGTTCTAGTACAAGTGTCAATGGAAACCAATGTAATGAAATCATTTCTTCATTTGGCGTAAAATTTTCTGTCAGAGAATCGGCTTCGCTTTCAGTTACATACCATGGATAGATAACATTTGCATGTTGCAAAGAGAAAACGTGATTTTAAACCTTGTGTTCCAATATCTCTATTATCACTAATAGATTGAAACGCACGATGTGCTATTGGTTTACCATACTCATCACGTTTACGTGGTTCGGAGTATGGAAATGAAAGCAAAGGATGTCGAGTTGCTTCGTCAGAAGTATTCCTACGATGGCTCAATCCGAATAGAACTTCTTTTTTGCCATTGGACCGAATTCTATAAATCAATAAGTGGACTCTTGTACACCCAGTTGGATTGTGACTCAAATCGACACGGCTCAAACCATCACGAGCGAAGCGCTTGTAAATACCATTGGGTGAATAATAAATGCCTAATTTGCCATGCAATTCCTCTCGCCGCCTTGAACAAGTTGTTAGTTCGTGCTGACCGCAGCAGGAATCTAACCAGTAACATGAATAGTGTGGGTTAACAGCTATGGAGCTGCTTTGACTTCTGTAACCACTGGAAGTAGACGACGCCATTGAGAAACATGCTGTTGTTTGATGTATATATACACACAAACAACTGGGAAAAAATGTTCGTATTATTTTTTTTCTTTCTGTTCTCTTTGTCAACAACCTGGTTCTGTTTTTAATAAGAGAATAATACTATCGCACTTTTGTAATTCATTCAGCATGATATTTATTATTTCATATAGAAAACTAAACTATGCACATTTAATAGTCGATGTTCTTTCTGAAACTCCATTTTCGTTGAAAGCTTCGACCGCAAAATAATAACTTTGATCAACTGTTAAGCTTTTCAATTGTAAAAAGTTCTTGTCATACACCAACCATGAACTATACAATTTGTTCGGAGCAATACCCCAAAGAACGTTATAGCCTTGACAATTCGCTTGTTGTTCCCATGTAATTATTGCATCACGTCGATCTTGATATCGTCTCACCAATAAATTTGTTACTTTTCTGGGTGATCGACCTCTACCACGACCGAAGATTCGCAAGTCCGATATTGCAAGTCTTGGCGTTGGTACATGAATGTTTCTGTAACGAACATATCGAACCATTCGAGGAGTACCTATTTCAATATAATCATTAGGCACATCTTTGTAACTTGTTTTTCTATCGACTAACACCCACCAAGTTTTCCGATCAAGCGAAGCTTCGATAAAATAACGATGATACAATCCTGGTTTCTTGCCAAATATATTCGATTGAAAATCATGATAATTGAGCTGAATTGCATTGACAGTTGACGTATTAACCAAATCAATTTCTATCCATTGTTGACCATCGTTCTTTTCTGCTACCCAAAATGTTTTCACATTTTCATCAACTAAATGTTCTCCTCGATATCTCTCATAGGTAGACGACACTTGAACTGGTTTCTTATAAGACAACAACATCCAACCAGTAAATGTACCCATCTTTCCTGCAACAGCTGGTGCATAATGAGGATAATCTCCAAATGTTGTATCGGTGTACATCAAACCCTCTTTGTCGAAACCTGTTAGAAACATACATATACGTCGTTCCCAATTCATATTGACAGACAGAGCCATCGTCGCAAAATGCCAATGTTTATTCTCGGGTCCTATGACTGTACTACCATGTCCAGCACCGTTCATAAATCCACCCGGTTTATACGACACCGGGTTGTTTGGTGCATAACGATATGGTCCAAGCGGTGATTTACTCATGTAAACACCGTCACCGTAGACATTGAATTCGGTACCAGGAGCAGCATATTGCATATAATATGTATTATTGTATTTAGTTAACCAAGCACCTTCCATATATCCTTCAATAACGGTGTCACCATGATTTTCACCGAAACGTTCCCATCCATGTTTGCTTTCGTCTAGATTGAACAGTTCATAGATTTGTTTCGATGGACGAAAGAGATCATTTTTGTCCAATGTTCGTGCTCGAAGGGGATAAACATTTGATGATCCCCAGAACATGTATGCCTTATCATCATCGTCAATAAAGAGTGCTGGATCTTGTAAATCACTTAGAATGAAAGGTACTGCTTTCCAATCGCCTTTCTTCGGATTGTCGGTGTAGAGAATACTCATCGAACCGGAGGGATCGCCGGCAACATATAAAACTAAATCTTTATAATTATGAGCAGCTGGTGCGTTCGATCCTTGAAAATACCATTTTTCAGGTGTGATGAATGTCCAAGTAAGTAAATCCGTGGAATGCCAATAGCCCATCGAACGTGTCACAAACATATAATATTCATTTCGAAATTTCACCACGGCTGGATCAGCTCCTGAACGATACGAAATATTTTCGTGCGCATTGTAAATTGCGTACGTGTAATCAATATTGATTGGATTGCAATATGTATTCAATTGTGTTGATTGTCCATTGACAGATAATAGATAACTGATATTCAGTACAGTAAAAATCAATGCTGTCTGGATTACTCTATCCATGATGATGTACGATTATCAAGGACGTTTGTTACATAAATAGTCAAATAAGCAGAGAAAACCAAGTTACTTTACTTAGAGATTACGATCGATGCTATGGTATTCAAATAGGTTGTTTGACGAAATGTCAAATGGATTATAATTAGTAAGAAAAAAAAACAATGTGACAGAATAAACGAGGGTTAAATATCACGATAATGGATAATATTTACCAACAATCTATTCCCTGGTGATGAATGACAATCCAATATTATCGAACAAAAGAAATCGACCGCAAATCTCAGTCATCGCACATATTCTTATTCGTATAAACACGAGTATACACGCGAGTCATGTAATCAAGCTACTACCCTAAGAATGCAGATAGAGAAATATGAAAAGTTTGAATGGCATAAATAAACGTATTCAATAGGAAAATCTTCATTCTAGATATTTCTCAAGACTAAACGAGCTGTTGCTATGGAGTGTTCTGTCGATTCGTTGTATAAAACCGGTTTCCAACAATCGAATGTGAAAGCCGTAAATGATTGGTCTGTTGCTTCGCCCACATCAATCTTCCAGCAGAGTATTCTATAGGACTGTAGACAAGGGAATGTTCTGATGAGAAAAATCGGAAGACTTTTCCATGACTCTTGAAGCAACGTCAAAAATGAAACACACGTTTATCGATCAGTGTTTAATGAAGATTACGCTCAGCCAGAAGAGAAAGATATGCAAGTATGCTTCTAGCAATCATATATCGAAGGATAAAAACAGAAAAAAATCTATTTTGTCAGTTTTTCAATGAAAAATGTCCTTTGCGGATGTGGGCGATATCTAAAAAAAGGAGTTCATCTGAAGTTGATACGTTCTTCTGCTTGCCATCGATCTTAACAAAGAAAGTCTTTTTTATTGGAGCACACGTGAAACTGATCTATCAAAATTCTGTGAAATACGTCAGCTCTTGTTGAATAATACACTGACACCTGCTGTGGAATATTAATTTTATCAACAATTAAAGGAAAGTTTTTTTTTTCTATTTTGCGGAAAACGGAACAAATGTTCTTTATACAATTGACACTCAAAGTGCATACGCAGAATCAGTTTATTCTTTTCTATGGAAAACATGTTTTACCTGAAATACATCTTTCTCGTCCAGTGGATTGTAGCAACACCACATATTCATCTTTACTTTCCGATGGATGACATAAGTAACAACGAATACAGCGATGCGATAGGCATCCGATACAATTGCTTTCGCCTCGCTGCGAATGCAGAACAAGCAAAGATTACTCGACAGATCTCCTCGTATTGCTTGAGCGAATCACCGTCAACCTTCCGCATCGAAAAAGATCCCACACTACCAACACATTCCTTCTCAAGTCTCGCAAAAAGGAACATCACCGGTGAAGATCTATACCTTTGGTCAGCACCGATTGATATCATCGAACAATATCAAATCTTTTTACAGTCAAATGATTTATTATTAGCCAAAGCCATCTTCTACAATTGTACATTACCGCGATTCGGATCGGTATGCCAATACGAATTGTTTTACCAATACGAAAATGATTCATCCTTACATGAGATGATTCATAACTATTATGAAAGTTATCGATATCACTCAACTGACATGACGTGTTACGTTCACATGAAGTGCAAACGTGGTTACCCACCTGCGTGTTTAGATTGGACGGAGATTTGTGATGGTAAAGTTGATTGTCTTGATGGAAACTATGACGAAGAACATTGTTGGCAGTTGGAACTGAATCAATGTGAAGAAAATGATTATCAATGTACGATTGGACAATGCATACCAAAAGAATTTGTTGAAGACGATTCGAGAACGTTTGATTGTGTTGACAGTTCAGATGAACATAATACATTAGTTACTGACTATTTGGCTGTGCGTGGCAATTATGAGCCGGCATTCGGATATGAAGACATTCGATGTCAACGTACATTTTTGACAAGTTCTTGTCGAGAAGAACGACGATATTTACTCGTTCAATCGATGTTTTCTATCAAAGATGATTCGATTTCGGACAAATGTTGGTCCGCTTTTAAATGTTACTTTGCTTTACCGAATCCAACTTATCCCACGATCACAAAAGAGATTATCGATACAGAGTGTGTGCCAACATTACAACAAACTTGTCCAGACATGCTAGCTGTTCCTAATACTCCGGCCTTCTTCGGATACATTTACACCGCTTATAAAAAGAACGATCCGCCTTACGTCGACAACTATGTTTTACCTTATTTGTGCTCGAATAAACCCTTTGGCCATGGATTACTCGATCTAGTTCTCGATGTGTCAACGAACGAAACAACTTGTTTTAGAATTAATCACTCAATTAACATCATGACTTTTCATACAGCTAATTGGAATTCGCAGTACGAAACGCCCATCAATGGTATATTTCGTCAAATACGAGAAATCGAACCGATGATCAACTTTCCGCCAAAGCTATGCAATGAATCGCATTTTTATCAATGCAAGAATTCGTTGAAATGTATTCCATTCCATCGTTTGATGAATGGCGTTCCTGACTGTCCGTACGACGATGATGAGAACATTTTCAAACATACCAATGCTAGGCTATTCGCGAGGTTAAAATCGAAGTATTATAAGTGTTATTTTATTGATAAGTACATTCCTCACTCAGCAATTTCAAATTTTAAGTGTGATTGCAGAGAGTTGGACGACCTTTTCTGTGAAGATGAACACATTTTTGAGAATTTTACCAAGCGAACGATATCGTTTCAAACCATTTGTGATGGATTTCAAGAATTGTATCCAATCCAGATCGACGGAAAGAACCAAACCGATGAAACTAGGTGTGAACAATGGGAATGCGATAATATCTATACACGTTGTGATGGAATATGGGATTGTTTACACGGAGAAGATGAACTTAACTGTGATTCCTCACCGGCGTTCTCAAAATGCTCTTCTGATTCTCGACTCTGCGTAAATAAAACGACATCGGCGTTCACGTGTTTACCAGTTGAGTACGTTAACGATGGTAAAGTCGACTGCCTTGGTGGTACCGATGAACAAAAGTTATGTCCGGCGACACTACTGTATACACAACGGCGATTTTACTGTATTACCAATAACTCTTTACGGTGTCTGCCATCCGCTCAGCTGTGCAATGGTCACAAAGATTGCCTATACGGAGACGATGAACAGTTCTGCCAGCAAAATCGATCGATGTACATGAGTATTTGCAAAGATGAATACATATTATTAGCTTCCGATGTGGAAAGATTCTTATGTAACGTTTCAGGAGGTACCCGAAGAGCTGCACTGAAACATTTTACAATTAACGGATTTTCTCAATCATCCGAAAATCAAGTGGACGATGATGAAACCATCGACATAGCAAGTTTAAACAAGTATAGGCCAGTTCGGTTATTGGATGATCCTCGTTGCTATCGTGGCCTTGATGTACGTGTTTGGTTGAACAAACCAATGAATATCTATACAAGCGCTTGTCTTTGTCCGCCGAGTTATTACGGAGATCGATGCCAATATCAAAACGAACGCTTAAGTCTATCCATTCGTTTTCATGCATCTGCTCTAGCAAGACAAAGTCCGTTCATAATACTCGTTTTGTTAATTGATAATACCAACCGACGAACGATTCAATCTTATGAGCAATTCACTTATTTGCCCATTCGAGATTGTAAAATCAAATTTAATCTCTATTTACTCTATTCAACGCGACCAAAGCAGATGAATAAAACTTACTCGATACATATCAATATTTATGAACAGCACTCGTTACAACATCGAGCGAGTTTACTCTACCCTGTGAAATTCTTATTTCTACCGGTTCATCGTTTGGCATTCATCGTCGACATTCCATTTGTGGACGATGAATATTTTACACACAGAATCTGTTCAGATAAGCGATGTCTTCATGGACGCTGCGTTCAGTATGCCAATACAAAGCAAACGTTTTGTCAATGCGAACAAGATTGGTCAGGGAAGTTTTGTCACATTCCGTACAACTGTACTTGTTCATCGAATTCCTTGTGTGTGGGTGCCTTGAATAACCGTCGACCGATATGCATTTGTCCGGAGAAATACTTCGGCGCTCAATGTTATATTCGAAATCGATTCTGTGATAGTTCTCCGTGCCAAAACCATGGTAAATGTGTTCCACACGATGATTTTATGCTATCGACAAATGAAGAGAATTATTTCTGTATTTGTTCGAAAGGTTTCAGCGGAAAACAATGCGAACGACTCGATACTCAAATTGATTTGATATTCGATAAAAATCTTCGTCTCTCTCCTTCGCTTTTCATTCATTTCATAACGATCATTCCAATCTATCCATGGATTCTTAGCATTCCTAAATCTTCACCACAGAGATTAACAACTTTGCAAACAATATCTCAAGCAACGAACTCGTTGAAAATCTATTGGTCTCGACCATTCCATCTAACATTCATCGAAACCTTCGATAAAACTTACTATTTACCTGTTATTCAACCAGTGTATAACTATTCCCAAACAATCGTGAGAACAGTCGATTTGTCAAATCGCTGTCCACCGATCAGTGAACTAATGAGTGCAACTTTTGCCCAACTTCATCTACTTGATCGGATCAAATCCTATCATTTGATTTGTCAACGTTCTTCTCCGCATCTGCAATGTTTTCACGATGATGTTCACCTTTGTTTATGTTACGACCATGGGAAAAAACGTTTAGCAAACTGCTTCAAATTCGATCATCAAATGAAATTCGATTGTTTCGGGCGCAACGAATGCGAAAACGACGGACAATGTTTTCAAGACTCACCCGTTTGTCCTAGACGATCGATCTGTGTCTGTTCTCTATGTCACTATGGAAGTCGATGTCAATTTACAACGAGCGAGTTCGGCCTATCACTCGACGCTATTCTAGCTTACTATATCATTCCAGATGCTAATATTTTCCATCAAACACCCATTGTGAAACTCAGCTTTTCATTGACGATCGTATTTATTATTCTAGGATTGATCAATGGAACTCTTTCATTTGTCACATTCAAAAATAAACGTGTACTGACAGTTGGTTGTGGGATCTATTTATTAAGTTTGTCGATAATCACGATCTGCACGATGATTTTATTTGGGCTAAAGTATTTTATTTACTTGTCGAGTCAAATCACGATACCATCGAACGTCTCGTTCCTTCGAATGCAATGTTCTTCGTTAGATTTTCTTCTACGGATTTGTCTTCATATGGATCAATGGTTAACAGCGTGCATTGCGATAGAGAGAGTAATGACTGTGATTCAAGGTGTTCATTTCGAGAAAGAAAAAAGTAAAAGGTGGGCGAAAAAGATACTAATTCTGCTTTTGATTGCCGTTGTGTTAACATCATTACATGATCCGCTCCATCGTCGATTATTTGAAGAGCAAGATAATGATAATAAGAGACGAATTTGGTGCATCGTAAGTTATTCTCCGAAAATGCAAACCTACAATCGAATTATCAATACACTGCATTTTTTCATTCCATTTCTTGCCAATTTGATATCATCGATTATTTTAATCACCAAAAAATCACATCACCACTCGTCTCTACAACAACATTGCTCGCGTAAAAAAACGTTATGTCGACAATTCGCCGAGCATCGGCATCTGTTAGTGGCACCTGTTATACTATTCTTTCTCGGGCTGCCACGACTGTTTCTTTCCTACGTATCCAAATGTATGAATTCCGCGAAAGATTCGTGGATATTTCTCTGCGGATATTTCATTTCTTTTATTCCGCCGGTGATTTCTTTTCTCATCTTTGTTCTGCCATCTAAATTCTATAGAAAAGAATGGCGAAAGTCGATTCGTTGGCGACCAAACAGCATCTTTCCGAATTGATTCTTCGTTTCTGCTTGCTTTGCTTTCTTTCTATATCGCCGATCGAGTCAATGTGTTTGCTGACCCACTCGCTATTGTCAAATATTTCACTAGTTCTTGTATTCAATACGAGAACAAACTAATCTATCTATCAATTAAACCGAAACCGTCCAAAGTACTATATTTTATTTCCATTCTTTTTCTTTTCATTTAGCTTCTTTTTTCATATGACACATCACACATGTTGCCGATTTTTCCACGATTGTGGCGCAGTTACGCGCAATCGTACCGCAATTACGGGTCACAGACGCACACCAATACCATACATACACAAACCTATATTTTTCTCTATGTTTATTCTCTCTTCTCGAACAAAAGACATAAGTCATGGATCCTTTTCTCTTTTGTTTCATGTGGCCAGCTTTCGTGTGACAACTAACCGTTGGTTTTTTCGTCTAAGTAGTAATATCACACTAATAAAGCTTTGTTGTAAAAAAAAACACTTGAGAATGTTCTCGTTGAATTTCGATGAAAAACATCGATGACACATATAAGAATGCAACGCATCGGTACGTTTTCTCGTAGTTGTGAAATTACACTTTTCGAGAACGTTTAAATATGCAGCAGTGTTGCCTTATTTGATTTCATTTCGAATCTGGAAAGATGGCGTTTAGCATAAGCTTTGCAAATGTGTTAAAAGAAGATTCTGCAAGTATTAAAAATCAGTTGATCGAACTAGTTCGTTCAGGTAAATCGGCCGAACTGCAGGTATTCCTACGTGATAGAAAGTCATCACGTAGTTTACTCACTTCAATGTTCACAAATGCATCGACAAAGGATTATATAAGTCTATTGATGATGGCTGTCACCGCTGGTAATGATGTGATAGTGCGTCAGATACTCCTCCACTCACCAAATATGGCCGAAACTATTCAATTGAGAGGTCGAATACATAGTGTTGATGGGACTTTCGTCGACAATGTAACTGCACTATGGTGTGCGCTTGATCGAGCACATTTTACGGTGGCCCGTACTTTGATTGAGGTGGGTAAAGCGAATGTTAATCATGGTCCCATTCACCCATTGTTAATTGATGCTGTCATTAGAGGAAGACTTGATATCGTCCGTTTTCTAGTTGAAAATGAATACGCTGATATAAATGAAGTTAAAACCAAGGATCAAGTTGAATGTAACAGTTCAATTCTAGCGACTATGATCGGTCAGTCAGAGATGGCCAAATATTCCATGAAAAACAATGCTCAGTTAGAAGCGAAGATGTCTCTAGGTGGAAATACCGCACTAGCCGTTGCGGCCATCAATGGAAATCTAGAATTGGTACGATGGTTGTGCATGGCTGGTGCTTCACTAACGACATATAATGATGCGAAAAAAACACCAATAGTATTAGCAGCCGAAAATGAATATTTTGACATCGTTGGATATTTCCTTGAGCAAGATCATCGTGAGGCTGTATTCGATGATTTGGAACTTGCTGCCGCGTTATATATACTTACCGATAAAGAAACTTCAAAAGAAAAATCCGAATGGAGCATCGAATTATTAAAATATTCACTAGTCAAACGGATACAGTTCGAGGTATTGAAGGTTGTCGCTGAACCAGTTGATCTCTATAGCAATCAACGTGAATGTCAGACAGTTGACGAGTTTAATCAGATTCAAGCTGATGATAATCGTTTACATGTTGAAGCGTTACTTATCCAAGAACGTGTTCTGTTGTCTAGAGATGAAAATCTATCGCTGTCTTGGCTATTCGACCGAGCGATGGCATTCGTTAACCGAAATCAATTTGACCAATGTCTCGATCTGATTCTGCATATTTTTCATTTATCTCAACACGGTAAATCTCAGCCTTCTCCCGAACAATACTTCTGGCTCTTCTACACCATGTTTAAATCAGGAGAACCGATTCCCGAACAACGATTCTGGGAAGTTTGTGATCTAATCTTTCAGTCGGTGGCACAAGATTTCGATCCATCTCACAAAAGAGATCAACTACATTTACTTGGACTGGCTACAAAAGTGAGTCGAACAAACCATATTCCTAGAAAGTCAAAACTGTTTCTTATGCTTTTCAGATTGAGCATTCCGAGATTTTGTCGATCTTGCGTGAAATCAATCTGGATTACAGTGATATCGCCAATCTCTATTGTCACGGCTCAAGGACTCAAGGAACATGTACATCGACATCCGATCGAGATTTGATAATTGTCGCCTATTCTAAACAGAAACCGCTGACCTTCTGGGAGGACTTCGACTATTTTCATGAATTCCAATTACATAAATTACACAATAAGTACGACGTATGCGTTTATTCTGTGGAAAACTTTGAAAAATTACTGGAAAAGAACTATTTGCTATGCATTCAATGCTTATTCTTACCGAAGCAGTTCGTAGTGAAAGAAGGGATCGACTTTCGTTCGGTTTATTTAGACAAATATTATGATCCAAAACGGATTAAACTAGTTGCTTTGTATGAAATGTACGTTTCGATGGGAATGATGCGTCAACCGAAGAGATCGAGTGATTCTGAAGCGGTTTCAATAACAGACGATAAAAGTCAAGCAAGACGAGATTTTATATTCAAAAATCTGTTTCACGGAATTCGATTCTTAGATCTTGCTGAGCAATTAATTGAAACACGATCGATACATGATTTAACACGTGTTTCACACTTGTTAGGCACTATGAAAGAGATAAGGGGCGATCCAACAGATGAATGCGCTCTAGATCGGTAAATTGAGCACCTTACATACAGAACTGTTTTGATTTTCTTTCTGAATTTAGTGTGTTGCAATTCGTGCGTGTCAAAAGTACCGAGATGCAATCTCGACTGAACGCACTTGTACCAAGAGAACCTCTCGTAGGTCTTTTCAAAGTTCATATTACATTTGAATATCAATCGAATTTTCAAGAAATGCGGACGAAACTTAAAAGCAAACATAACTATTCAAATTATCAATTCGCAATTCTTCGAATTTTAGACAAGAAAGATTTTCCTCATCTAACTGCGACACGATTTTATCACGGTGAATATCCTTCAATGATTCCATCGCTTGAAAAAGAAATACGTGAAGAATTAGCCGACTTCAGCATAGAAAGTATCACGATAACATCGTCTATTTCAAATGATGGTGTACCAAACAGTAATATGGAAATGAAATTACTTTGGGATGAGCAAATTTGCTGTTTTCAATTGTGCTATAAGGTATTTTCATGCAATCAGCGTGTTAAGAATTCAATCAAGTCAATAATATCGAAAAGAAAATCGAGCCAATCATTGCAAAGCTGTCTTTCAAGTTATAAAATGACACGAGTTGATGAGGATAAATTTGAGTATATACTCAAAGTATCATTATCTGACTTTGATCGAAAAACAGTGTTGGAAATCCATGATGAAGTAATGAAGAGTTCAAAACTGGGTATTGTCGCATCGTCAAATATAGAACCAGAACTTGTTGTTTATCGGACGAATGAGATAACTCAATGACATTGTCTTCTTCTCGAATATATTCTATCCAATTTGCCACACCGAATAAAAAAAGAATTTTAGTAGAGAGAGATTCACAAAAGACATCGATGTTGAATTTGCACTGATAGTGAGTCATCTTTACCAATGTTTGATAAGAAAGAACATGTGGAACACAACATGTTGTTTTTGCTTCTTATGACTTGTTATGTCAACGAATACAGTTTGGGTAAGAGATTAGCTATTTGTTCTGTTTTACTCATCAACGCATATCTGACTAATCCTATCGAAAGATTATATTTCATCCGATATTTTCAAAAAGAGCCGCTTTACGCAAAATCGTTCTCAATTTCAGACTAAATGATAGACAAATCGGCCATGAAAACATCTCATTTTGTACTACTCATGGTAATCATTCATTCGAGTGGATGTTTTCCAACCATCGATAAAGATTTTCTTTCTCCCGGCGACTATTCATTTGGTCAAACATCCTACGAATATCCCATAGTAAATGATCACGAGTTAACGCCAACATCCAACAATTTAACAACACAAATTCGTGGCGAAGTGTTTTATCCTAATACGACTAAGAAAAATGTGAACACATCTTATCCGATATTGATATTTCTTCCCGGCAAACATCCTGATTGTCGAATTCAAGTCCCCCCCGGATATCCATTGCTTGATATTGGCTCCGCAGATGTTCAAGGAAACTGTCCCGAACATACGTCAAAAGTACCAAGTCATTTAGGATTTTCGTATATAGGAAGACATTTGGCTTCATACGGATACATTGTTGTTTCGATTGATGTGCTTCTAATTAATAATAAATGGTCAATATTAAATGATTCGGCGTTAAATTTTGTTCGCGCTCGAATTGTATTCCGAACGATCGAGAAAATGATGGAATGGAATAGCGATTCTCAAGTGTCAAAAGAGATTCTTCACGGAATTGACTTGTCAGACCAGTTCGATTTCACGGAAATTGGTTTAATGGGACATTCACGCGGTGGTGAAGGCGTGAGAAATGCTTATAACATGTTAATGGAAGGCAAAGGCGCATCTGATGCACTTCGATGGAAAAGTAAATTACCCAATGTTCGTTTCAAAGCCATTTTAGAAATCACTCCAATGTACTATGGAGAAAACGGTATAAGATTAGGTGTTGAAAACATTCCCTGGGCAATGATTGTTGCCGGTTGTGAAGATGATGAAATTGATTATCGTAAGAACTGTTTGATCTACTCTTTTCAATGGAATTCGATGAAATATTTTGTAGTTCATGTCAATCTAGCTTATCGACAAAGACAAATCTCTAAACAGGCGAACTATGTCTTTCATGTCTATGGTAATGATTCAATTTTGTAGTGAAATTCATATTTTCCTCGACTTGCAGGTGCAAACCATGAGTATTTCAATACGGAGTGGCAAGTTGGCTTTTCAGCGTGTTTCGGCGATCAAGATCCATTGTGGGATGTAAACGCAAGTGCATTTCGCGTTAGTGATATTTATCCTCCAGCGAAAAATACGTCGTATGATGTCACACTTCTAAAAGTCAATGGATCAGAAACTCAGCGGAACGCAACAACTTTTATACTTTCAATCTTTTTTCTATCATATGTGGGTCAAACGGCCAATCCGAAGTTAGCGGAGAGTTTTCAACTTTCACGACCGTATGTTCAAGAAGGATTTTTCTTCAACATTATTTCTTCATTTATGTAGGTCTTCGGAAAGTTTTCCAGAGATTGGATGGGAACACTTCAACAATAACGAATCTATTGTTATATTCGATGGCACTAGAACAGTTGAAGGAAACGATCGAGCTGAGATCATGCTATTGAAGGATTATGCAAAACGGGAATTTCCATTATTTGTTTCTGCTTACAAAAACTCGAATGATACTCCACCACAATTTCAACACCACATTCCCAATAAGGACCAATTAGAACTCAATTGTCTTGACCAAATCGAAAATGCTTTACACATCCATTTTCTCGATGGTTCTTCAGGAGAAATTTCTCTAAAATTCAATTCATCAGAAAGGATTCAATGGCTTGATGTTCATCTAGCGCGTCGAAGTTCATGTTGGTTTAATTCAACGGATCCAATGAAATGTTCGCAACCGAGAATAATGCAATTACAGCTTCAAATTCAAACTCCAACTCGCTTCTATCCACCAGTGAAAGTTGTATTGAAAAGTCGTTTTAATTTAGAATTCGTTCGTTGTAATGCCATGGATCTTTCCAAAGAACAAATTTCGTTTCTACCAGTGATGTTTGAAACAACAAGAATTCTGTTAACAAAGCCAGAACAAATTCTTCAGTTGAAAATCAGTTCATTAAATGCCGGTTCGTTCATTCTAGGCGACATTCGAGCGACGCCTTCATCAATACCAACATCAATAGCGTCACATCTTTCCATTTCAATTTTTATCTGTATTCTTTTTATGCTCATTCATATGTTATCAGTGTATACAAACTATAATGGCATAGCTAATTGATTGAACACTATGCCAAATGATCAAAGAAACTGTTCAGTATATTCTTTATTCATTTCGTCATAAAAGATTATTCGTGACACCTCTCTATTATCTTTTCTTTATATTCTTATCAATTTGTGAAGTTTCACTTTTCATTCTCACTAAGAAGATGCGAACGACTGTTTGCCGCATGGCAAACCGAATGACATCGATGATGTACAGATCCACTAAACCGGAAGGTGACGTCTCATCGGTGTTTGCTTCTCTCTCAGGTGACGACATGAACAAACCACTTGAAGCTCGATTTGCAGAGTTAAAACAAGAAATTATTCAAGGTTATGAACAACAAGTGAAAGACAGTTGGTTTCGTTTATTAGACGTTCTAAAACAGGAAACAGAGACTGTTCGTCGTTCAAAACAATCGAGTATTCCTGAAATTCAATTCAATGACATACATAACCTTTCATCAGAACTCCAAAACAATATTCGAACTCGTGGTGTTGTGATCGTTCGCGGTGTCTTACATGAAACAGATGCACTGAAACTGAAAACTGGTGTAAAGAACTATATTAAACAAAATCCTCATACGAGAGCATTTCCACAAGAGAATCCAGTTGTTTACGAACTCTATTGGTCGTCTGAACAAGTTCTTGCTCGGTCAAACTCTCGAGTTCTTCAAACATTAACATTTGTCAATGCGTTTTGGCATGCATCACCTGATACACAAATCTGCTTGACAGAAAATATCATGTATGTCGACCGTTTACGAATCCGCCAGCCAGGTGACAAGGAATTTGCTCTCGGACCCCATATCGATGGCGGTGGTATTGAACGATGGGAAGATCCGGAATACCGATCATGCTATCAATCGATTTTTCAAGGTCGTTGGGAAGACAATGACCCTTTCGATGCGACACATCGTGTCCAAGCACAAATGTCGCTCTACAATACTGCAGGTGGGTGTTCAGCTTTTCGCTCCTGGCAAGGTTGGCTTAGTCTGTCCACAGTCAATCCGGGCGAAGGTGGACTTCTAGTTAATCCACTGTTAAAATTTACGACACCTTATTGGTTGCTTCGACCTTTCTTCAGAAAGGTAAAAGAAAGAAATTCCTGGGAAATGGATACTGCTTCGAGTTTTTGGCCAGGTGCTGTCCCTGGTCGGGGACAAGAAATGAACGATTCGTTACATCCTGACCTCAAACTGTCGACCACAATGGTATCAATTCCAATGGTACGTCCCGGTGATATGGTCTTCTGGCATTGCGATACAATTCATGCAGTTGATTCTGTTCACCGTGGACAAGACGATTCGAGTGTATTTTATATACCAGCAGCACCTTTATGTCAAATCAATGCCGAATATCTTGCTGAGCAACGTCATTGTATCGCGCATGGCGTACCACCACCTGATTTTCCTGGCGGTGAAGGTGAATCGCGTCACGTCGGAAGAGCAAATGACAAGCATATCAACACGATTGAAGGTCGACGTGCAATGGGCTTCGAACCATTCGTATTGAAATCATCCATGACACAAGGAGAAAAAGAAATGATTACAAAAGCAAACCGCCTTTTGAATTTCTAAAATCTGTTTATTTGTGCTTGTTACTTTCCTTTCAGCTGAAAGAATTGTTCTCAATGTCAAAGATTCAAGAACTCAAAAAGGCCAAGAGGTTTCCTAACAATAACTGAACACTGTTCTTGTGTTTTATTTATAATTCATATTATTAAAAAAATTATAGAAGCTATACGAGTAATTGAACATGCCTGAGAAATTCAAAGCTTTATTTATAGAGACGAGAAAGAAATCTCGTAAGTATGTATCTCGAACAAATCTTTCTCAACAATGAATAACACTACGGTCGCGATAGTCACTCCTTTTCCTTTCACAACATCCTTTCAAGCTAATCGAATTAAATTCGGCGTTCTTCTCGTTTTACAAATCCTATCAATTCCATGTTTTCTCTACGTTTTCACTCAATTTTGTATCCAACGGCACCTTCGTCAATCATTAAACCATCACATCATTTTTCTCCTGCTAACTACTTCGTTCATATTCGTAACTATCTCCTTACCACTGTCTCAAGCTTATCTCTACAATTCGTATGTCTACCCTACCAGTAACATTTATTGTCATTTTTGGAATTGGATTCATTATTCGTTGAACATCACGAATTTGTTTCTGATGGGTTTTGTCGGTTTCGAACAGAACTGGTTCATATTCTATCCGGGCTTATTTGAAAACTTGATCGGAAAAATTCTTTTTCACTACTGTCCGATTCTATGTTGTCTAGCTTATCCGACGACTTTTTATTTTATCCTCATTTTTCTCTACCCATGTCGACAATGGTATAACTTTACACAATTATTATGTCGATGGCCATGCTATTATCGCAGTAAATTTTTCACTCAATTTGACTTATATTTCAATAATTATCTTCCGTTAATAGCCATTCCATTCTTTTCCATATTTGTTTATATTCGAGTTCTCATACGGTTACGCTCATTAAAATTACAAGTGCTTAGGTGGAGACAAAATAGACAAATGATCTTACAGTTATGGGCGATATCCAGTTTATATTTGGGTATGTGGATGCCATTACAGTTACTTGGCATTATTAATCTGTATTTTAACACGTATTTTCTGTACCAGGCGCAGGTTGACTACATATTTCTGTTCCCTTATTTTATTCATATCATCTATCCGTTTATTGTGCTCATTACTCATCACAAGGAAATGCTCAAATTTAGAAGGAACATTGTTGTTCCATGTAGAGTACATTAGCTATGTTCGAAGCGGATTTGCATCATTGAACAACTTAGCCTACGGGGATTAAAACATTGCTTCATGTTCCATGTTGCGAAAGGACAACAGCCAACAAGGACACTTCAAATGATTTTTTTATCTCCTAAATTTTAGAAGAGAACAGGTTTGGTTTCGATGTCAACATTGTTCTGCCGTAGTAGTCATTAGAAAATATTTATGAATAAACTTCTCTTTGAATTAATGCCTCGTGTAGTATTGTACGATGTGTCATAAGCGCACTACTCCTGAAGTTTGAATAGTAGAGATGGAGGGATGGAATATCTTTGTGCAATGAAGCACTAAAGAGACAGTTTGCATGCTATGCGCAGTTACGATAAATTCTAATAGCCTTAGTGGTACAACATCTAGTGTTATTCAAGATAATTGTGTGTGTTGACCGGAAAAAGACGTAAGCAAATGATAACAATTTTAACAGCAACTTTAAATTTCATTGTAAGTTTTAATTATTACGCGTTTCGAAAATTTATTTCATCTTCAGATTATACAATTGATAAAAAACATATTGAAAACGATTTTAGAACGATGTGACTCATTACACTTTGTGTAACACTTTGATGATTCATCTTATTTGTTTTACTGGAAATTTACAGTAAAACAAATATCACCCGGGTATGCGTCTGTCATGTTGGTACTTCATTTTGACTTTCTTCTGTATTCTTCCAGATGGGTAGATGATTAACGGTACGCTCTGTACCGTGCGATTAAGTGTTGGTTTATGCTTCAAGATGGCAAGTGATTCACGAACGAGTAGGCGATATTTGTGTGAATCTTTGCTGATAATCTTCCAAATTTCCCAATCAAGTTGGTGACCCGTGTCTGTTTGATGTTTGTGGAGAGCAGAATTTTTTTCAGTGTTGACAGCGGTAGTTATCTGTCTATCATCAATATTTGTTTCATCAGAGGATGATGTGTTTTTATCTTTATAATTGATAATTTTTTTAGTATTTCGTTCGGACCGTCGTAGACTTGTTTCTTCGTTATGAAGTAGTTTTGGTTGTGATAATGGAAAGTCCGGTATTTGTTGACGCGATCGAATTTCGGTTGGTGATGCGCCATGTTCAATATGTCTACGAGTGGCTTGTCGATATGTTTTTCCGATGTATTCGTCAGAACAATTTTTACAAGCAATTTTATAAACTATATTGGCTTGTAGATTTTTGTCGAGTGAATCCTTACGAGGAAATATTGTTTGAATTTTCGGAGCAGGTCTTGGAATAGGTTGAAGCACAATATCTGGTCTTGCTTGTTTAACAATATTAATCAATTTTTTTCCTAGTGTGAGTGTTGGTTGACCTGTGTAAGGAATATCAATGAGTATTGGTGAACGTTTTTGGTTTCCTTTATTGATGGATTTGTTGGTTGATTTGTTAATTTCATCTGTTACGTTTGAGTGTTTCTTTTGATTTTCAAAGAAACGATTAAGTGTTTTTCCAATGATGTTGTTTACAAATGAGGTTGGATAACCATTTGCAACACTTATTTCCATTATTGTTGATAATTCTTGATCAATCAGATGATAGTTTGAGCATATCTGTATAGCACGATACGCCATAGATGAGATTGCATTTTTTTTGTATTCAATCGGTACAAAAGAAGAATATTTTAATATGGAGCCTGTGAAAGTGTCTTTGCGGTATACGTTTGTATCGAACCATGATGATGCTTTCATTGATCTTGGTGTAATTTTAACATCTAGAAACGAAATGGAGTGATCCATTTCATTTGCGGACTCAAATGTGAATTTGACAGCTTCGTCAAAAGAATTGAGAATAGTCTGTATTCTCTCTTCATTGGCGTCTTTTCTTGCAATGATAAAAGTATCATCAACAAATCGACGATAATATTCAACACCGTTGGCCTTGAGTTCATCCATTAATTTTTTCTCTAGATTTACGAGAAAAATATCGGCCATGAGTGGTCCAAGCGGAGATCCCATGCTGACACCATTGTGTTGTAGATAAATATTCCCATTGAAATGAAAATGGGTCTGAGCTGTTGCAACTTCTAATAACCATTTGAGATTAGTTTTATCTATGCAATTTTTGCATTTTTGTTTCTTCTTCTTCTTTCTTTTTTGTGTTGTTTCAGCAATTTTGCATTCACAGTGATCACCATATTTTGCTTGTAAGATAAATTCGATTGTTTTTTGTAAAGGAACGTTCGTAAAAAGACTAATTGCATCGTAGGATAATAACTTGTGTTGGTTCATATCAATATCTAATTGATGTAAATTTTTAACAAATGAAAATCTATCTTGTATTATTGTTTCATGTTCTCTGAGATGTGATAATTGTGTAACTAGCCATTTCGCTAGTTTATAATTAAAAGTGCCATTTGCTGATAGTATTGGCCGTAATGGTGTTCCGTTTTTATGGACTTTAGGTAGTCCATAAATACGACCAGGTTGCGAACCCACAGGCCGACATTGATTGTATTGGTTTTCGTTTATGAAGCCAGATTCTTTGAGAGTTTTTAACTTTCGAAGGAGTCTATCTTCTTGTTTCAGCGTTGGATCTGTTTCTAATAATTGGAATGTCTTCTTATCGTTGATAATGATGTTCATCTTTGCGATATAATCGTTTTTATTCATAACTACCACAGCGTTGCCTTTGTCAGCTTTTGTAATGTAGATATTCTTGTCTTTTGCAAGATTTTTTAATGTTCGTTCGAGTTTTTTGCTGCTGGGGTGACTTTTCAAAGCTCTATAGGTAGAATCAGTGAATTTGTCACATGCTGAACGAATTTTTTGAGCTGCAGTTAATTGTTCAGTTGTTAAGTTGTATTGAGTAGGTTCATCTTCTAGTTTGTTTTCATAATCATATGTGTCTGTCGTTCGTCCAAGTAATTGCACAAAGCAATTTTCAATATTGCTTATGAATGTTTCTTCATCGAGTTGTCTAGGAACTGGTACAAAATTCAAACCTTCACTGAGTGCTTCTAATTCATCTTGTGTTAATTGTCGTTCGGATAAGTTATGAACAGGTGATATTGGATATTTATTTGAAGTTATCGATTGTGGTTGTTTCTTTTTTAAATCATTGGTACATAAAAGGTTAAATTTATTGTTGTGTGTGTGGATCCATTGTCGTTTTTTGTACTTTACTAAAGTTTGAATAATGGTTATTGTACGTGAATAAAGCAAAGGATCAAGTGTGGTCATTAGATCACTTTTTAATCTGCTTGAGTGTCGATGGAAATACGAGAGTTCTTTCTTTTTTAATTTTATTTCGTTTGATAAAATTTGATGATAACAATTTTCGACGACGGGTCGATGGCGAGAATAAACTTGTGCTATTCGAAATCGAACAAAATTTGGAAGTAGTTTATGTTGTTTGCATTTCTTAAGGAATTTCACATCTAAATATGTTTTGGTTAATTTCAATTGTATTTTGCCATACTGGAATGCAGTAATGGCGTAGAACGGTCCATTGTGTTGCCTTATATAAACAAGATGATTGTGTGTGTTGACCGGAAAAAGACGTAAGCAAATGATAACAATTTTAACAGCAACTTTAAATTTCATTGTAAGTTTTAATTATTACGCGTTTCGAAAATNAGCTTTTCAATTGTAAAAAGTTCTTGTCATACACCAACCATGAACTATACAATTTGTTCGGAGCAATACCCCAAAGAACGTTATAGCCTTGACAATTCGTTTGTTGTTCCCATGTGATTATTGCATCACGTCGATCTTGATATCGTCTCACCAATAAATTTGTTACTTTTCTGGGTGATCGACCTCTACCACGACCGAAGACTCGCAAGTCCGACATTGCAAGTCTTGGCGTTGGTACATGAATGTTTCTGTAACGAACATATCGAACCATTCGAGGAGTACCTATTTCAATATAATCATTAGGTACATCTTTGTAACTTGTTTTTCTATCGACTAACACCCACCAAGTTTTCCGATCAAGCGAAGCTTCGATAAAATAACGATGATACAATCCTGGCTTCTTGCCAAATATATTCGATTGAAAATCATGATAATTGATCTGAATCGCATTGACAGTTGACGTATTAACCAAATCAATTTCAATCCATTGTTGACCATCGTTCTTTTCTGCTACCCAAAATGTTTTCACATTTTCATCAACTAAATGTTCTCCTCGATATCTCTCGTAGGTGGACGACACTTGAACTGGTTTCTTATAAGACAACAACATCCAACCAGTAAATGTACCCATCTTTCCTGCAACTGCTGGTGCATAATGAGGGTAATCTCCAAATGTTGTGTCGGTGTACATCAATCCCTCTTTGTCGAAACCTGTTAGAAACATACATATACGCCGTTCCCAATTCATATTGACAGACAAAGCCATCGTCGCAAAATGCCAATGTTTATTCTCGGGTCCTACGACTGTACTACCATGTCCAGCGCCGTTCATAAACCCACCCGGTTTATACGACACCGGGTTGTTTGGTGCATAACGATATGGTCCAAGTGGTGATTTACTCATGTAAACACCGTCACCGTAGACATTGAATTCTGTACCAGGAGCAGCATATTGCATATAATATGTATTGTTGTGTTTAGTTAACCAAGCACCTTCCATGTATCCTTCAATAACGGTATCACCATGGTTTTCACCGAAACGTTCCCATCCATGTTTGCTTCCGTCTAGGTTGAACAGCTCATAGATTTGTTTCGACGGACGAAAGAGATCATTCTTGTCCAATGTTCGTGCTCGAAGGGGATAAACATTTGATGATCCCCAGAACATGTATGCCTTATCATCATCGTCGATAAAGAGTGCTGGATCTTGTAAATCACTCAATATGAGAGGTACTGCTTTCCAGTCACCTTTCTTCGGATTGTCGGTGTAGAGAATACTCATCGAACCGGAGGGATCGCCGGCAACATATAAAACTAAATCTTTATAATTATGAGCAGCTGGTGCGTTCGATCCTTGAAAATACCATTTTTCAGGTGTGATGAATGTCCAAGTAAGTAAATCCGTGGAATGCCAATAGCCCATCGAACGTGTCACAAACATATAATATTCATTTCGAAATTTCACCACNGTCTTTGCCCGCCGAGTTATTACGGAGATCGATGCCATCGATCTTAACAAAGAAAGTCTTTTTTATTGGAGCACACGTGAAACTGATCTATCAAAATTCTGTGAAATACGTCACTTCTTGTTGAATAAAACGCTCACACCTGCTGTAAAATATTAATTTTATCAACAATTAAAGGAAAGCTTTTTTTCTATTTCGCAGAAAACGGAACAAATGTTCTTTATACAGTTGACACTCAAAGTGCATACGCAGAATCAGTTTATTCTTTTCTATGAAAAACATGTTTTACCTGAAATATATCTTTCTCATCCAGTGGATTGTAGCAACACCACATATTCATCTTTACTTTCCGATGGATGACACAAGTAACAACGAATACAGCGATGCGATAGGCATCCGATACAATTGCTTTCGCCTTGCTGCGAATGCAGAACAAGCAAAGATTACTCGACAGATCTCCTCGTATTGCTTGAGCGAATCACCGTCAACTTTCCGCATCGAAAAAGATCCCACACTACCAACACATTCCTTCTCAAGTCTCGCAAAAAGGAACATCACCGGTGAAGATTTATACCTTTGGTCAGCACCGATTGATATCATCGAACAATATCAAATCTATTTACAGTCAAATGATTTATTATTAGCCGAAACCATCTTCTACAATTGTACATTTCCGCGATTCGGATCAATGTGCCAATACGAATTGTTTTACCAACACGAAAATGATTCATCCTTATATCAGATGATTCATAGTTATTATGAAAGTTATCCATATCACTCAACGGATATGACGTGTTACGTTCACGTGAAGTGCAAACGTGGTTACCCACCTGCGTGTTTAGATTGGACGGAGATTTGTGACGGTAAAGTTGATTGTCTTGATGGAAACTATGATGAAGAACATTGTTGGCAGTTGGAACTGAATCAATGTGAAGAAAATGAATATCAATGTACGATTGGGCAATGCATACCGCAAGAATTTGTTGGAGACGATTCGAGAACTTTTGATTGTGTTGACAGTTCAGATGAACATAATATATTAGTTCATAACCATTTGGCTGAACGCGGCAATTATGAACCGGTATTCGGATATGAAGACACCCGATGTCAGCGTACATTTTTGACAAGTTCTTGTCTTGAAGAACGCCGATATTTACTCGTTCAGTCGATGTTTTCTATCAAAGATGATTCGATTTCGGATAAATGTTGGTCTGCTTTTAAGTGTTACTTTGCTTTACCGAATCCAACTTATCCCACGATCACAAAAGAGATTATCGATACAGAGTGTGTGCTCACATTACAACAAGCTTGTCCAGATATGCTAGATATTCCCAATACTCCAGTCTTCTTCGGATACATTTATACCGCTTATAAGAAGAATGATCCACCGTACGTCGACAACTATATTTTACCGTATTTGTGCTCGAATAAATCCTTCGGCCACGGATTACTCGATCTAGTTCTCGATATGTCAACGAATGAAACAACTTGTTTTAGAATTAATCACTCAATTAACATTATGACTTTTCATACAGCTGATTGGAATTCGAAGTATGGAACGCCCATCAATGATATATTTCTTCAAATACGAGAAATCGAACCGATGATCAACTTTCCGCCAAAGCTATGTAATGAATTGCATTTTTATCAGTGCAAGAATTCGTTGAAATGTATTCCATTCCATCGTTTGATGAATGGCGTTCCTGACTGTCCGTACGACGATGATGAGAACATCTTCGAACATACCAATGCAGGGCTATTCGCGAAGTTAAAATCGAAGTATTATAAGTGTTATTTCATTGATAAATACATTCCTCACTCAGCAATTTCAAATTCTAAGTGTGATTGCGGACAGTTGGACGACCTTTTCTGTGAAGATGAACACGTTTTTGAGAATTTTACCAAGCGGACGATATCGTTTCAAGCCATTTGTGATGAATTTCAGGAATTGTACCCAATCCAGATCGATGGAAAGAACCAAACCGATGAAACTAAGTGTGAACAATGGGAATGCGATAATATCTATACACGTTGTGATGGAATATGGGATTGTTTACACGGAGAAGATGAACTTAACTGTGATTCCTCACCGTCGTTCTCAAAATGTTCTTCGGATTTTCGACTCTGCGTAAATAAAACGACATCGGCGTTCACCTGTTTACCAGTTGAGTACATTAGCGATGATAAAGTCGACTGCCTCGGTGGTACCGATGAACAAAAATTATGTCCGGCGACACTGCTACATACACAACGGCGGTTTTACTGTATCACCAATAGCGCTTTACGGTGTCTGTCATCCGCTCAGCTGTGCAATGGTTACAAGGATTGTCTATACGGAGATGATGAACAATTCTGCCAGCAAAATCGATCGATGTACATGAGTATTTGCAAAGATGAATACATATTCTCAGCTTCCGATGTGGAAAGATTCTTATGTAACATTTCAGGAGGTACCCAAAGAGCTGCAATGAAACATTTTACAATCAAGGGGTTTTCTCAATCATCCGAAAATGAAGTAGACGATGATGAGACCATCGAAATAGCAAGTTTAAACAAGTATAGGCCAATTCGGTTATTAGATGATCCTCGTTGCTATCGTGGCCTTGATGTACGCGTGTGGTTGAACAAATCAATTAATATCTATACAAGCGCTTGTCTTTGCCCGCCGAGTTATTACGGAGATCGATGCCAGTATCAAAATGAACGCTTAAGTCTATCCATTCGTTTTCATGCATCTGCTCTAGCAAGACAAAGTCCGTTCATGATACTCGTTTCGCTAATGGATAATACCAACAGACGAACGATTCAATCTTATGAGCAATTCACTTATTTGCCCATTCGAGATTGTAAAATCAAATTTAATCTCTATTTACTCTATTCAACTCGACCAAAGCAGATAAATAAAACTTACTCGATACATATCGATATTTACGAACAGCATTCATTACAACATCGAGCAAGTTTTCTCTACCCTGTGGAATTCTTATTTCTCCCAGTTCATCGTTTGGCATTCATCGTCAAAATTCCATTTGAGGACGATGAATATTGTACATACAGAATCTGTTCAGATAGGCGATGCCTTCATGGACGCTGTGTTCAGTATGCCAATACAAAGCAAGCGTTTTGTCAATGCGAACAAGGTTGGTCAGGCAAGTTTTGTCACATTCCGTACAACTGTACCTGTTCGTCGAATTCCTTGTGCGTGGGTACCTTGAACAACCGTCGACCGATATGCATTTGTCCGGAGAAATACTTCGGCGCTCAATGTTATATTCGAAATCGAATCTGTGACAGTTCTCCGTGCCAAAACCAGGGTAAATGTGTTCCACATGATGATTTTATGTTATCGACAAATGACGAGAAATATTTCTGTATTTGTTCGAAAGGTTTCAGCGGAAAACAATGCGAACGACGCGATACTCAAATTGATTTGATATTTGATAAAAATCTTCGTCTCTCTCCTTCGCTTTTCATTCATTTCATAACGATCGTTCCAATCTATCCATGGATTCTTAGCATTCCCAAATCTTCACCGCAGAGATTAACGACTTTGCAAACAATATCTCAAGCAACGAACTCGTTGAGAATCTATTGGTCTCGACCATTCCATCTAACGTTCATCGAAACCTTCGATAAAACTTATTATTTACCTGTTATTCAACCAGTTTATAACTATTCCCAAACAATCGTGAGAACAGTCGATTTGTCAGATCGCTGTCCCCCCGATCAGTGAACTGATGAGTGCAACTTTTGCCCAACTTCATCTACTTGATCGGATCAAATCCTATCATTTGATTTGTCAACGATCTTCTCCGCATCTGCAATGTTTTCACGATGATGTTCACCTTTGTTTATGTTACGACCATGGGAAAAAACGTTTAGCAAACTGTTTCAAATTCGATCATGACATGAAATTCGATTGTTTCGGGCGCAACGAATGCGAAAACGATGGACAATGTTTTCAAGATTCACCCGTTTGTCCCAGACGATCGATCTGTGTCTGTTCTCTATGCCACTACGGAAGTCGATGTCAATTTACAACGAGCGAGTTCGGCTTGTCACTCGACGCTATTCTAGCTTACTATATCATTCCCGATGCTAATATTTTTCATCAAACACCCATTGTGAAACTCAGCTTTTCATTGACGATCGTATTTATTATTTTAGGATTGATTAATGGAACTCTTTCATTTGTCACATTCAAAAACAAACGTGTACTGACAGTTGGTTGTGGAATATATTTATTAAGTTTGTCGATAATCACGATCTGCACGATGATTTTATTTGGGCTAAAGTACTTTATTTACCTGTCGAGTCAAATCACGATACCATCGAACATCTCGTTCCTACGAATGCAATGTTCTTCTTTAGATTTTCTTCTACAGGTTTGTCTTCATATGGATCAGTGGTTAACAGCATGCATTGCGATAGAGAGAGTAATGACTGTGATTCGAGGTGTTCATTTCGAGAAAGACAAAAGTAAAACGTGGGCGAAAAAGATACTAATTATACTTTTGATTGCTGTTATGTTAACATCATTACATGATCCGCTCCATCGTCGATTATTTGAAGAGCAAGATAATGATAATAAGAGACGAATTTGGTGCATCGTAAGTTATTCTCCGAAAATGCAAACCTACAATCGAATTATCAATACGCTGCACTTTTTTATTCCATTTCTTGTCAATTTGATATCATCGATTATTTTAATCACCAAAAAATCACATCACCATTCGTCTTTACAACATNATCCTCCTTGCTCGCGTAAAAAAACCTTATGTCGACAATTCGCTGAGCATCGGCATCTATTAGCGGCACCTGTTATACTATTCTTTCTCGGGCTGCCACGACTGTTTCTTTCCTACGTATCCAAATGTATGAATTCCGCGAAAGATTCATGGATGTTTCTCTGCGGATATTTCATTTCTTTTATTCCGCCGATGATTACTTTTCTCATCTTTGTTCTGCCATCTAAATTCTATAGAGAAGAATGGCGAAAGTCAATTCGTTGGCGACCAAACCACATCTTTCCGAACTGATTCTTCGTTTCTGCTTGCTTTGCTTCTTTTCTATATCATAAAACTTTATTCATTGAAAATACAAATTCTTGTGTTAGTCGAATCTGTACAACAACATGATGTCGGAATAACATATGAAGAGTTTAGTATATATGCAACAACATATACAATATAAAACGAGTTCAATTCAGCTGACTGTACTTTCGATCCCTTCTCTCGTTAGATCTTCTTTACATAGATGATATCGGATCGAGTCAACGTATTTGCTGACCCACTCGCTACTATCTAATATTTCATTAGTTCTTGTATTCATGCAATGCGAGAACAAACTAATCTATCTGCCAATTAAACCAAAACCGTCCAAAGTACTATATGCTATTTCCATTCTTTTTCTTTTCATTTAGCTTCCTTTTTTCATATGACACACCCACATGTTGCCGATTTTTTAACGATTTCGACGCAGTTACGCACATCAATATCATATACACGAACCTATACTTTTCTCCATGTTTATTTTCTCTTCTCGAGCAAAAGACATAATTCATGGATCCTTTTATTCTTTTGTTTCATGTGGCTAGCTTTCGTGTGACGACTAACCGTTGATTTTTTCGTTTATGTAGTAATATCACACTAATAAAGCTTTGTGATAAAAACAATCGAGAATGTTCTCATTGAGTTTTGATAAAGAACATCGATGACACATATAGGAATGCAACGCATCGTTACGTTTTCTCGTAGTTGTGAAATTACATTTTTCAAGAACGTTTAAATATACAGCAGTGTTGCGTTATTTGATTTCATTTCGAATCTGGAAAGATGGCGTTTAGCATAAGCTTTGCAAATGTATTAAAGGAAGATTATGCAAGTATTAAAAATCAATTGATCGCACTAGTTCGTTCGGGTAAATCGGCCGAACTGCACGCATTCTTACGTGATAGAAAGTCATCACGTAGTTTACTCACTTCAATTTTCACAAATGCATCGACAAAGGATTATCTAAGTCTATTGATGATGGCTGTCACCACTGGTAATGATGTGATAGTGCGTCAGATACTCCTCCGCTCACTAAATATGGCCGAAACTGTTCAATTGAGAGGTCGAATACATAGTGTTGATGGAACTTTTGTCGACAATGTGACTGCACTATGGTGTGCGCTTGATCGAGCACATTTTACAGTAGCCCGTACTTTGATTGAGGTGGGTAAAGCGAATGTTAATCATGGTCCCATTCACCCATTGTTAATTGATGCTGTCATTAGAGGAAGACTTGATATCGTCCGTTTTCTAGTTGAAAATGAATACGCTGATATAAATGAAGTTAAAACCAAGGATCAAGTTGAATGTAACAGTTCAATTCTAGCGACTATACCCGGTGAGTCAGAGACGGCTAAATACTCCATGGAAAAAAATGCCCAGTTAGAAGCGAAGTTGTCTCTAGGTGGAAATACCGCTTTGGCCGTTGCGGCAATCAATGGAAATCTAGAATTGGTACGATGGTTGTACATGGCTGGTGCTTCATTAACAACATATAATGATGCAAAGAAAACACCAATACTATTAGCGGCCGAAAATGAATATTTTGACATCGTTGGATATTTCCTTGAGCAAGATCATCGTGAGACTGTATTCGATGATTTGGAACTTGCTGCCGCGTTACATATACTTACCGAAAAAGACACTTCAAAAGAAAAATCCAAGTGGGGCATCGAATTATTAAAATATTCACTAGTCAAGCGGATACAGTTCAATGTACCAAAGATCGTCGCTGAACCAGTTGGTCTCTATAGCAATCAACGTGAATGTCAGACAGTTGACGAGCTTAATCAGATTCAAGCTGATGATAATCGTTTGCACGTTGAAGCGTTACTTATCCAAGAACGTGTTCTTTTGTCTGGAGATGAAAATCTATCACTGTCTTGGCTATTCGACCGAGCGATGATATTCGTTAACAAAAGTCAATTTGAGCAATGTCTCGATCTGATTCTGTATATTTTTCATTTATCTCAGCATGGTGAATCTCAGCCTTCTCCCGAACAATACTTCTGGCTCTTCTATAACATGTTTAAATCGGGAGAACCGATTCCCGAACAACGATTCTGGGAAGTTTGTGATCTAATCTTCCAGTCAATGACACTAAATTTCGATCCATCTCACAAAAGAGATCAACTACATTTACTTGGACTGGCTACAAAAGTGAGTCGAACAAACCATATTCCTAGAAAGTCAAAACTGTTTCTTATGCTTTTCAGATTGAACATTCAGAGATTTTGTCGAACTTGCGTGAAATTAATCTGGATTACAGTGATGTCGCCAATATCTATTGTCACGGCTCAAGAACTCAAGGAACATGTACACCGACATCCGATCGAGATTTGATAATTGTCACCTATTCTAAACAGGAACCACTGACCTTCTGGAAGGATTTCGATTATTTTCATGAATTCCAATTACATAAATTACACAATAAGTACGATGTATGCGTTTATTCTGTGGAAAACTTTGAAAAATTATTGGAAAAGAACTATTTGCTGTGTATTCAATGCTTATTCTTACCGAAGCAGTTTATAGTGAAAGAAAAGATCGATTTTCGTTCGGTTTATTTAGACAAATATTATAATCCAAAACGGATTAAACTAGTGGCTTTGTATGAAATGTACGTTCCAATAGGAATGATGTGTCAACCGAAGAGATCAAGTGATTCTGAAGTGCTTTCAATAGCAGCCGATAAAAGTCAAGCAAAACGAGATTTTATATTCAAAAATCTGTTCCACGGAATTCGATTCTTAGACCTTGCTGAACAATTAATTGAAACACGATCGATACATGATTTAACACGTGTTTCACACTTGTTAGTCACTATGAAAGAAGTACGGGGCGATCCGACAGATGAATGCGCTCTAGATCGGTAAATTGAACACCTACATACAGAACTGTTTTGATTTTCTTTCTGAATTTAGTGTGTTGGACTTCGTGCGTGTCAAAAGTACCGAGATACAATCTCGACTGAACGCACTTGTACCAAGAGAACCTCTCGTAGGTCTCTTCAAAGTTCATATTACATTCGAATATCAATCAAATTTCCAAGAAATGCGGACGAAACTTAAAAGCAAACTGAACTATCCAAATTATCAATTCGCAATCCTTCGAATTTTAGACGAGAAAGATTTTCCTCATCTAACTGCGACACGATTTTATCACGGTGAATATCCTTCAATGATTCCATCGCTTGAAAAAGAAATACGTGAAGAATTAGCCGACTTCAACATAGAAAGTATTACGATAACATCGTCTATTTCAAATGATGGTGTACCGAACAGTGATATGGAAATGAAATTACTTTGGGATGAACAAGTTTGCTGTTTTCAATTGTGCTATAAGGTATTTTCATGCAATCAGCGTGTTAAGAGTTCAATCAAGTCAATAATATCGAAAAGAAAATGGAGCCAATCATTGCAAACCTGTCTCTCAAGTTATAAAATGACACGAGTTGATGAAGACAAATTTGAGTATATACTCAAAGTATCATTATCTGACTTTGATCGAAAAACAGTGTTGGAAATCCATAATGAAGTAATGAACAGTTCAAAACAGGGTATTATCGCATCGTCAAACATAGAACCAGAATTTGTTGTTTATCGCAGACAAATTTGACAATCCAATCGTATTCTCTTCTTCTCGAATAAATTCTATCCAATTTGTCACACCAAATAAAAAATGAATTTTAGTAGAGAGAAGTTCACAAAACACAGCAGTGCCGAATTTGCATTGAAAGTGAATCATCTTTGTCAATGTTTGATAAGATAAAAAAACATGTGGAACACAACATGTTGTTTTTTCTTCTTATGACTTGCTATGTCAATGAATGCAGTTTGGGCAAGAGATTAACTATTTGTTCTGTTTTACCTATCAACACATATCTGACTAATCCTATCGAACGACGATATTTCATCCGATATCTTCAAAACGAGCCGCTTTACGCAAAAGCGTTCTCAATTTCAGATTGATAGACAAATCGGCCATGAAAACATCTCATTTTGTACTACTTATAGTAATCATTCATTCGAGCGAATGTTTTCCAACCATCAATAAAGATTTTCTTTCTCCCGGCGACTATTCATTTGGTCAAACATCCTACGAATATCCTATAGTGAATGATCACGAGTTAACACCAACATCCAACAATTTAACAACACAAATTCGTGGCGAAGTGTTTTATCCCAATACGACTAAGAAAAATGTGAACACATCTTATCCGATATTGATATTTCTTCCAGGCAAACATCCTGATTGTCGAATTCCAGTCCCCCCAGGATATCCATTGCTTGATATTGGCTCCGCAGATGTTCAAGGAAATTGTCCCGAACATACGTCAAAAGTACCAAGTCATTTAGGATTTTCGTATATAGGAAGACATTTGGCTTCATACGGATACATTGTTGTATCGATTGATGTGTTTCTAATTAATAATAAATGGTCAATATTAAATGATTCAGCGTTAAATTTTGTTCGCGCTCGAATTGTACTCCGAACGATTGAGAAAATGATGGAATGGAATAACGATTCTCAAGTGTCAAAAGAGATTCTTCACGGAGTTGACTTGTCAGACCAGTTTGATTTCACGGAAATTGGTTTAATGGGACATTCACGCGGTGGTGAAGGTGTGAGAAATGCTTATAACATGTTAATGGAAGGCAAAGGCGCATCTGATGCACTTCAGTGGAAAAGTAAATTACCCAATGTTCGTTTCAAAGCCATTTTAGAAATCACTCCAATGTACTATGGAGAAAACGGTATAAGATTAGGTGTTGAAAACATTCCTTGGGCAATGATTGTTGCCGGTTGTGAAGATGATGAAATTGATTATCGTAAGAACTGTTTGATCCACTTTTTTCAATGGAATTCGATGAAATATTTTGTAGTTCATGTCAATCTAGCTTATCGACAAAGACTAATCTCTAAACAGGCGAACTATGTCTTTCATTTCTATGGTAATGATTCAATTTTGTAATGAAATTCATATTTTCCTCGATTTGAAGGTGCAAATCATGAGTATTTTAATACGGAGTGGCAAATTGGCTTTTCAGCGTGTTTCGGCGATCAAGATCCATTGTGGGATGTGAATGCAAGTACATTTCGCGTTAGTGATATTTATCCCCCAGCGAAAAATACGTCGTATGATGTCACACTTCTAAAAATCAATGGATCAGAAACTCAACGAAACGCAACAACTTTTATACTTTCAATCTTTTTTCTATCATATGTGGGTCAAAAGGCCAATCCGAAGTTAGCGGAGAGTTTTCAACTTTCACGACCGTATGTTCAAGAAGGATTTTTCTTCAAAATTATTTCTTCATTTATGTAGGTCTTCGGAAAGTTTCCCAGAGATTGGATGCGAGCACTTCAATAATAACGAATCTATTGTTATATTCGATGGCACTAGAACAGTTGAAGGAAACGATCGAGCTGAGATCATGTTATTGAAGGATTATGCAAAACGGGAATTTCCATTATTTGTTTCTGCTTACAAAAACTCGAATGATACTCCACCACAATTTCAACACCACATTCCCAATAAGGATCAATTAGAACTCAATTGTCTTGATCAAATCGAAAATGCTCTACACATCCATTTTCTCAATGGTTCTTCGGGAGAAATTTCTTTAAAATTTAATTCATCAGAAAGGATTCAATGGCTTGATGTTCATCTAGCGCGTCGAAGCTCATGTTGGTTTAATTCAACAGATCCAATGAAATGTTCGCAACCGAGAATAATGCAATTACAGCTTCAAATTCAAACTCCAACTCGCTTCTATCCACCAGTGAAAGTTGCATTGAAAAGTCGTTTTAATTTAGAATTCGTTCGTTGTAATGCCATGGATCTTTCCAAAGAACAAATTTCGTTTCTACCAGTGATGTTTGAAACAAAAAGAATTCTGTTAACAAAGCCAGAACAAATTCTTCAGTTGAAAATCAGTTCATTAAATGCCGGTTCTTTCATTCTAGGTGACATTCGAGCGACGTCTTCATCGATGCCAACATCAATAGCGTCACATCTTTCCATTTCATTTTTTATCTGTACTCTTTTTATGCTCATTCATATGTTGACAGTGTATACAAATTGTAATGCCATAACTAATTGATTGAACATCATACCAAATGATCAAAGAAACTGTTCAGTGTATTCTTTCATTTCGTCATAAAAGATTATTCGTGACACTTTCGCTATTATCTTTTCTTTATATTCTTATCTATTTGCGAAGTTTAACTTTTCATTGTCACTAAGAAGATGCGAACGACCGTTTGCCGCATGGCAAAGCGAATGACATCGATGATGTACAGATCCACTAAACCGGAAGGCGATGTCTCATCGGTGTTTGCTTCTCTCTCAGGTGACGATATGAACAAACCACTTGAATTTCGGTTTGCAGAGTTAAAACAAGAAATTATTCAAGGTTATGAGCAACAAGTGAAAGACAGTTGGTTTCGTTTATTAGACGTTCTAAAACAGGAAACAGAGACTATACGTCGTTCAAAACAATCGAGTATTCCTGAAATTGATTTCAATGACATACATAACCTTTCATCAGAACTCCAAAACAATATTCGAACTCGTGGTGTTGTGATCGTTCGTGGTGTCTTACCTGAAACAGATGCATTGGAATTGAAAACTGGTGTAAAGAAGTATATTAAACAAAATCCACACACGAGAGCATTTCCACAAGAGAAGCCAGTTGTTTACGAACTCTATTGGTCGCCTGAACAAGTTCTTGCTCGGTCAAACTCTCGAGTTCTTCAAACATTAGCATTTGTCAATGCGTTTTGGCATGCATCACCTGATACACAAATCTGCTTGACAGAAAACATCATGTATGTTGACCGTTTACGAATTCGCCAGCCAGGTGACAAGGAATTTGCTCTCGGATCCCATATCGATGGCGGTGGTATTGAACGATGGGAAGATCCAGAATATCGATCATGCTATCAATCGATTTTTCAAGGTCGTTGGGAAGACAATGACTCTTTCGATGCGACACATCGTGTCCAAGCACAAATGTCTCTCTACAATACTGCAGGTGGTTGTTCGGCTTTTCGCTCCTGGCAAGGTTGGCTTAGTCTCTCCACAGTCAATCCGGGCGAAGGTGGACTTCTAGTTAATCCACTGTTAAAATTTACGACACCTTATTGGCTTCTTCGACCTTTCTTCAGAAAGGTAAAAGAAAAGAATTCATGGGAAATGGATACTGCTTCGAGTTTTTGGCCAGGTGCTGTCCCTGGCCGGGGACAAGAAATGAACGATTCGTTACATCCTGATCTCGAACTGTCAACCACAATGGTATCAATTCCAACGGTACGTCCCGGTGATATGGTCTTCTGGCATTGCGATACAATTCATGCAGTCGATTCTGTTCACCGTGGACAAGACGATTCAAGTGTATTTTATATACCAGCAGCGCCTCTATGTCAAATCAATGCTGAATATCTTGCTGAGCAACGTCATTGTATCGCGCGTGGCGTACCACCACCCGATTTTCCTGGCGGTGAAGGTGAATCGCGTCACGTCGGAAGAGCAAATGACAAACATATCAACACGATTGAAGGTCGACGTGCAATGGGCTTCGAACCATTCGTATTGAAATCATCCATGACACCAGGAGAAAAAGAAATGATTACAAAAGCAAATCGTCTCTTGAATTTCTAAAATCTGTTTATTTGTGCTTGTTGCTCTTCTTTCCGTTGAAAAAATTGTTCTCAATGCCAAAGATTCAAGAACTAAAAAAGGTCAAGAGATTTTCTAATAATATCTGAGCATTGTTCTTGTGCTTTATTTAAAATTCACATTATTAAAAATTATAGAAGCTACGAGTAATTGAACATGCCTAAGAAATTCAAAGCTTCATTTATAGAGACGAGAAAGAAATCTGGTAAGCATCTTGAACAAATCTTTCTCAAAATTTTTTTCAACAATGAATAATACAACGGTCTCGATAGTCACTCCTTTCCCTTTCACAACATCCTTTCACGCTAATCGAACTAAATTCGGTGTTCTTCTCGTTTTACAAATCCTATCAATTCCATGTTTTTTCTACGTTTTCGCTCAATTTCGTATCCAACGGTACCTTCGTCAATCATTAAACCATCATATCATTTTTCTTCTGCTAACTACTTCATTCATATTCGTAACTATCTGCTTACCACTGTCTCAAGCTTATCTCTACAATTCATATGTCTACCCTATTAGCAACATTTATTGTCATTTTTGGAATTGGATTCATTATTCGTTGAATATCACGAATTTGTTCCTGATGGGTTTTGTCAGTTTCGAACAGAACTGGTTTATATTTTATCCGGGTTTATTTGAAAACTTGATCGGAAAAATTCTTTTTCACTACTGTCCGATTGTATGTTGTTTAATTTATCCGACGACTTTTTATTTTATCCTCATTTTTCTCTACCCATGTCGACAATGGTATAACTTTACACAATTATTATGTCAATGGCCATGCTATTATCGCAGTAAATTTTTCACTCAATTTGACTTATATTTCAATAATTATCTTCCGTTAATAGCCATTCCATTCTTTTCCATATTTGTTTATATTCGAGTTCTCATACGGTTACGCTCATTAAAATTACAAGTGCTTAGATGGAGACAAAATAGACAAATGATCTTACAGTTATGGGCGATATCAAGTTTATATTTGGGTATGTGGATGTCATTACAGTTACTTGGCATTATTAATCTGTATTTTAATACGTATTTTCTGTATCAGGCGCAAATTGACTACATATTTCTGTTCCCTTATTTGATTCATATTATCTATCCGTTTTTTGTGCTCATTACTCATCACAATGAAATGCTCCAATTTAGAAGAAACATTGTTGTTCCATGTAGAGTACATTAGCTATGTTCGGACCGGATTTGCACCATTGAACAACTTAGCCTACAGTGATTAAAACATTGTTCCATGTTCTACGTTGCGAAAGGGCAGAAGCCAATAAGAACACTTGGAGTGATTTTTTATCTGCTAAATTTTAGAAGAGAACAGGTTTGGTTCCTACGTCAACGTTATGAATAAACTTCTCTTTGAACTAATGCCTCGAGTAGTATTGTACGATGTTTCAAGCGCAGTGTTGAACATATTCAGTGTAAGAGAGAAAATAAAGCGTTGTGAATGTCTCCCGATCTTTTACCTACCTGGCAGCAGTGACCGCTTTGTCACATCAATTTCGAGTTCAGTGCCTACTTTTCCACTAAGGCACATAAATTCAGTGCGCTTTTTTTGCAACACTGTTGTACTAATCATAGAAGTTTACAATTTGAATACGTTGAGAAAGATCGATTGGGTATGCTTATTCACGAACACAAAAAGCGAACAATACTCCAACAATGAAAGCCATAAGAGAGAGAATCAATGAGTTCGAGATGCTTTTGTTTTGGGCTAGTTACCGATGACGCAAATAATGGGATAGACCAGAATGAAGATCCGTGCAAACGAGTGTCGATTAGCAAGAGAAATGCCTCCATCCGCTTCTGTTCTGGTTGTCATTCTCAGTGTCGAAGTTGTAATAGCAAAACTAGCAGATGCCATGAATGAACCTGCACTTGTAGCTAAATAGTATATTCATTTCTATATCAACTGTAAGAAAGCATCGATTCACCTACTTGATGTTGCAAGAGTAATAACTGATGATGACGATGGACCTACATTCACAAATATAAGTCCCTCTATGCAGTTGTCTACTTTACCTGTTACTGATTGATTCGTAGACGCTGTTGATGCAGGGGTCGTGCACGATGCTGGTATAGAATACAAGAATCTGTTATCAGATTATACTCATGTCACTCAAACATACCACAAATAGGAGAATATTTCTGCACACGATTGTTAAACATATCGGCAACGATTAAGGCTCCGCTTGCGTCCAATTGAAGATTTCTCGGACGAAAGAATTGATTTGGCAAAACTCCAGTTGCTGAGCCACCAGCGATAACAGTGCCATATGTCGCTCCTACCACCCAGCTCATAATGCGATCGTTGGAAGTGTCCGCAATGTATATGTAACCATTCCCATTTCCAACAACTGCTCCTGGATAGCATAATTGATTGTATCCATTATTGCAAGTGCCTGTTTGTCCTGCCACAGTTGTGCCACTGGTTGCACCCGACAGCCATCTTTGAATTCGATGGTTATATGTGTCAGCAACATACAATGTATTCGAATCACTTGTGTCAATGAACAAATCCAGTGGATAATAGAACTGACTTGCACCTGATCCATAACTTCCACAAACAACAGTGCCTGTCGCTGAAGAATCCCACCGTACAATACGACTATTTATCGTATCGGCTATCCAAATGCTTGATGAATTGTGTGTCATAAACAGACCAGACGGTCGATTTAACTGATTAGCATTACGTCCACTCCCGTAACCTCCAGCGACAAGTGTTCCGTTGGTAGCGCCAGGTGACCATCGCATGACACGATTATTGTAACTATCAACAATATAAATGCTACCATTCGCATCAACGCTCATAGCATCCACTATATTCCTTTGACTAGCACAATAATAATTTTTGCATAAAGCAACTTACTGCCATGAAACTGATTCCATCCCGTACCATAATCACCACTGACTACTGTCGTTGCGGCTNAAATCGTTTTCAATATGTTTTTTATCAATTGTATAATCTGAAGATGAAATAAATTTTCGAAACGCGTAATAATTAAAACTTACAATGAAATTTAAAGTTGCTGTTAAAATTGTTATCATTTAGTGTTATTCATCATCGCATAAATCAGTTCTAGCAAAACTGAACCGTAATATATAATTATTATTCGTTTTCCATATTTTCCCCGTATAACCTCTCAGTGTTGAACATATTCAGTGTAAAGGAGAAAATCAAGTGTTGTAAATGTCTTCCCCTCTTTTACCTACCTGGCAGCAGTGACCGTTTTGTCGCATCAATTTTGAGTTCAGTGCCTACTTTTCCATTAAGGTATATAAGTTCAGTACGTTTTTTTGCAACATTGTTATGCTAATCATAGAAGTCTACAATTTGAATACGTTGAGAAAGATCGATTGGGTATGTTTATTCACAAACACAAAAAGCAAACAATACTCCAACAATGAAAGCCATAAGAGAGAGAATCAATGAGTTCGAGATGCTTTTGTTTTGAGCTAGTTACCGATGACGCAAATAATGGGATAGACCAGAATGAAGATCCATGCAAACGAGTGTCGATTAGCAACAGAAATACCTCCATCTGCTGCTGTTCTAGTTGTCATTCTCGATGTTGAACTTGCAGTAGCAGAACTAGCAGATGCCACGAATGAACCTGCACTTGTAGCTAAATAGCATCTTCATTTCTATATCAATTGTAAGAAAGCATCGATTCACCTACTTGATGTTGCAAGAGTAATAATTGATGATGATGACGATGGACCTACATTCACAAATAGATATCCCTGTATGCAGTTGTCTACTTTACCTGTTACTGATTGATTCGTAGACGCTGTTGATGCAGCGGTCGTGCACGATACTGGTATAGAATACAATAATCTTTTATCAGACTATACTCATATCACTCGAACATACCACAAACAGGAGAATATTTCTGCACACGATTGTTAAACATATCGGCAACGATTAAAGCTCCGCTTGCGTCCAATAGAAGATTTCTCGGGCGAAAGAGTTGATTTGACAAAACTCCAGTTGCTGCGCCACCAGCGATAACAGTGCCATAGCTTGCTCCTACCATCCATCTCATAATGCGATCGTTGGAAGTGTCCGCAATGTATATGTAACCATTCCCATTTCCAACAACTGCTCCTGGATAGCATAGTTGATTGTATCCATTATTGCAAGTGCCTGTTTGTCCTGCCACAGTTGTGCCACTGGTGGCACCCGATGGCCATCTTTGAATTCGATGGTTGTATGTGTCAGCAACATACAATGTATTCGAATCACTTGTGTCAATGAACAAATCCAGTGGATAATAGAACTGACTTGCACCTGATCCATAACTTCCACAAACAACGGTGCCTGTCGCTGAAGAATCCCATCGTACAATACGACTATTTACCGTATCGGCTATCCAAATGCTTGATGAATTGTATGTCATAAATAGGCCAGAAGGTCGATTTAACTGATTAGCATTACTTCCACTCCCGTAGCCTCCAGCGACAAGTGTTCCGTTGGTAGCGCCAGGTGACCATCGCATGACACGATTATTGTAACTATCAACAATATAAATGCTACCATTCGCATCAACGCTCATAGCATCCACTATATTCCTTTGAATAGCACAATAATGATTTTTGCATAAAGCAACTTACTGCCATAAAACTGATTCCATCCTGTACCATAACCACCACTGACTACTGTCGTTACGACTNCCTCCAGCGACAAGTGTTCCGTTGGTAGCGCCAGGTGACCATCGCATGACACGATTATTGTAACTATCAACAATATAAATGCTACCATTCGCATCAACGCTCATAGCATCCACTATATTCCTTTGAATAGCACAATAATGATTTTTGCATAAAGCAACTTACTGCCATAAAACTGATTCCATCCTGTACCATAACCACCACTGACTACTGTCGTTACGACTGTTGAACCGGGATCAAAGCACTGTACACGACCATTATATGAATCTAACACATAGACTGTACCGTTTCGATCTATAGCAACATCTGTGGGTATACTAAGATATACTGATGAACTTCCACTCCAACCGATCGATGATCCAGCAATAGTCGTTCCATTCAGCAACCAACTGATATTCGATACGGGTGCTAGAACAAACGAAACCATCAGTAATGATACTACTTGCAATTCATCTCTCTAAATCTGAAGTATCTACCAGATGTTGTTGCAGGCGAAACTGTTGTTGAGATATTCTCTGTGAGTGCTAAAGTCAAAGAAAATCAATAGCAATCTTCATCCAAATATCAATAAGCACAACTCACGACAAGATATAAGGAACTTCTGAATCCGATTATTTGCTGCGTCCGCAACAAACAAAGATCCGTTGGAATCAAAATCAATGTTCATGGGATCGTATAGCCAATATGGCGCTACGTGGTAATATATGTCACCTGCAATAATCATTCCTGAACTTAAGCCAATAGCCCATTGAAGAATACGTTTGTTATTTGAGTCAACAATGAACATATTTCGATTATTATCTAATGTGACTGATGTTGGGTACCATAATTGATTGAGACCATTCCCATAATAACCTGTGAATCCCGCTACCGTGGTGCCACTAGTAGCTCCAGCTAACCATATTTGAATGCGGTGATTAAATGTATCCGCCACATAAAGTGTATTTGAATCACTTGTATCAACAAATAATCCATAAGGATAGTAAAATTGACTGTTACCAGTTCCAAAACTACCGCAAACTATCATACTACTCGTCGGTGAAATCCATTTCACTATACGATGGTTGCTCGTGTCAGCAATCCAAAAACATTCCACTAGAATAGGAGAGTTGATTTACATTGCTACCAAGATCATTTCCGCCAGCTACTACCACTCCAGACGACGCTCCTCGTGCCCATTTCGTAACACGACCAATAGCACTATCGAGTATGTATATATTACCACTATTGTCGATTCTCATGTCATCCACTGGAAAAAACAAACAATACGTGCATATGATAAACTATTTACCAAAATCTACCAAACTTACGATTATAAAACTGATTGAATGCTATGCCTGCACTACCGTTGACAATTGTTGTTCCAATGGTAGAATTTGGAGAAAAGCGTTGCACACGATAGTTGCCACTATCGAGCACATATATGTTTGAATCCTTATCAACGCGTACGGCTGTTGGATAGTAGAGTGTTGATGCATTAGAACCTGATGTACCGGCACTATCGCCAGCGACCGTTGTAGCATTTCTTTGCCACGTTGCTGTTGGACACAGCAGCACGCTTTCATTTTGACTTACAAAAATTCTAAATAGTGTAAACAATGCAATCCGTATTATCATTCTTGTTCAATATCTCGAACCTTACATAGCTATGAAAAGCAGTAAACTCCATAACTTGATCATTGTGGCAAACTGTTTCAACTGTCTTTCGATGGAAAAAGATACTTTCTTTGTAATTATATACTTGCGATATTTTCTCATTAAAATATAATCATCGCTATACTCAGTTACCTTGTTGATTTTCTAGTACCTTTTCCGGGCACCTTCTTCTTCACTATCCTGGGAAAATTAATTTTTTTAAATTTTTTAAAATGTTAGTGAAGGTGAGGCAGATTCTCCCATCGAGTTGAACAACAACTATATCATTTTCCTATAAGGTGACAAAAGCGTCAATGAAAAATAGAGAAAATTCCAGTTTAATCTATGAAATATTTCATTTTGTCTCAAGAACTAGATTCTAATTCAAGATGCCGAGCAGTTACTGTTGATGTTTGAACAATGTTCTTCTCTTAATAACAATCAAATACTCAATTTCCAAATGATAATTAGTTTTGAAAGGAAAAGGATATCACCGCTTACACTAAGATTCGTTTTCCTCAACGAGAATATTATTTTTGACAAAAAAAGAAAAAGATATTCGGTACGAATGATATATCGGCAGACAATTTATTATCATAAGTGTAAATAAAACGCTCAACACTTGCTTTTCTTGTTTAGTCGAGCTAATTGTGCCAGTCGTTTCTGTTGTTTGATCAACGAAAGACAACACGACAGTTCAATTAGTGACATGTTCTCCTTCAGTCGTCGGTTGCAATCTTCTTGAAGAGAAGTGAATATCGACTGAAAATCACCGTATTTCACACAATCTCTCAAAAACACCAAACTACGCCCATCACAATCACAAAAAAGACGAGACATTTGCGCTAACTTATGTTCAATCAACCATTGTTGTACTCGTGTTGCTGACCATGCAAAGATATCCTCTGAATCTTTAGATATGCATGTTGACTCTTTCGAAGAGACAGTTGATGGTCTATTTGATTCGTTCGTCGCATTTAGTGATAGTTCTTTCAATAGCATATTCATTGCTTGATCAAATTCATGTTTTGTAAAATCGACATACAACAGTTGTCCGATGAGAAACAATAACCATCCATCGGGTTTGTAGTGTTTTTGTACAAGGATGGGTATGATTTTCCGTTGACACTGAAATGCATAATGTGCTTCAGCGCGACAATAATTACTTTTTCGATACTGTTCACTGATACAGAGAATAACGATACGTGATTGTTCGATAGCTTGTGCCATGGCATCCATGACATTTCCGTGCATTTGATCAAAGTCAATCCACACACGATAATTTGTTCTAGTTAATTCTTGATAAAGTTGATGACAAAGAGCTTTTTCTTTGTGTGAATAACTTATCATGATATCGAATGTTTTGTCCTCATTGTTGTTCGGTAATAAACGATTATTGTGATTGGTTCCGAGATTCCAAAGAATGCCGTGGACTATTTTGCGCATTTGTTCATCGTCAGTTTCTTTGGCAAGATGAGAAAGCTTTGACATGAATAAACAATTCGAACGAAGTTGTTCTTGAATATCCTCGTTGAAGGAAAATGTCCAAATAATATCCCATGCCACAGGATATTGATCGCTCAGATTAATGAATATAGAGATCTTGTTCAAACTAGCAGCTTTTTGTTGCAGCGAATCATTTTTCGATAAACATTGAAAAGCTTCGAAGAAAATCAACAGAATTCGATGTTTTGTTTTTCTATTCACATACCTCGGAGCATGAAATCCACTGGTATTCTTCGATAGTTTGTCTGAGATTGATCGATAGTTTCTTCGAGTAAATTAAAATAATGACTGCTGATATGATCAGCAATTTTCAAACGTTTCAGTTGATCGTCTGTAAGAGTTTCGCAAAGAATATTGTACGCAGCTGACGACAGGTCTTGATTTTGTATTGTTTCAGCCATACGTGCGATCGTTTCGCGTACTTTCGAATTCGAACGAAAAAACCAATTGATATTGAGTTTATGTACTATCAACGTTAAAAACATTAAACAAGTATGCAATAAAACAGTGGTATCATTGGAACAGTGCGGTTGTATTTCTTGATGGAATGGTGTATAACTTAATATACATATGAGATCTTCGACAAAATCGCATGTGGTTTGCTCAGTAGGAAAAGTCTTCTTTATGATTGTGTCGGTTTGCCTATCTCGCCAAAACAGTCCAAGAATAAATGCAATGAGATGTGCGATACAGTTCAGTAATCTGCTACTCCACAATTCAACCAGTTGACAATGTATACGAATGATTTGTAAACAATCACTGCCGATATAGTCCATCGTTTCCTCAGCGCTGAACAGAGAAGGAGAAGATTTACATATTATATAAGTATAAGTATAAAATGAACATGTTTTGAGGAAAAATAACATTTTTCTGGTGAGGACAGATGGTTCGATATGTGCTTGATGAAACTCGATTAGGTAAAGTTTNACTATCAACAATATAAATGCTACCATTCGCATCAACGCTCATAGCATCCACTATATTCCTTTGACTAGCACAATAATAATTTTTGCATAAAGCAACTTACTGCCATGAAACTGATTCCATCCCGTACCATAATCACCACTGACTACTGTCGTTGCGGCTGTTGAACCGGGAACAAAGCACTGTACACGACCATTATATGAATCCAACACATAGACTGTGCCGTTTCGATCTATAGCAACATCTGTGGGTACACTAAGATATACGGATGAACTTCCACTCCAACCGATCGGTGATCCAGCAATAGTCGTTCCATTCAGCGACCAACTGATATTCGATACGGGTGCTAGAACAAACGAAACCATCAGTAATGATACTACCTGCCATTCATCCCTATAAATCTCCAGAGCCTACCAGATGTTGTTGCAGGCGAAACTGCTGTTGAGATATTCTGTGCCGGTGCTAAAACCAAAGAAAATCAATAGCAATCTTCATATAAATATCAACGAACACAGCTTACGACAAGATACAATAAACTTCTGAATCCGATTATTTGCTGTATCCGCAACAAACAAAGATCCACTGGAATCAAAATCAATATTTGTCGGGCTGTCGAGCAAATACGATGTTGTCCCGTAATATATGTCACCTGCAATAATCATTCCTGAACTTGAGCCAATAGCCCATTGAAGAATACGATTGTTATTTGAGTCAACAATGAACATATTTCGATTATTATCTAATGTGACTGATGATGGATACCATAATTGATTGAGACCATTCCCATAATAACCTGTGAATCCCGCTACCGTCGTGCCACTAGTAGCTCCAGCTAACCATCTTTGAATGCGGTGATTAGATGTATCCGCCACATAAAGTGTATTTGAATCACTTGTATCAACAAATAACCCATAAGGATAGTAAAATTGACTGTTACCAGTTCCAAAACTGCCGCAAACTACCATACTACTTGTCGGTGAAATCCATTTTACTATACGATGGTTGCCCGTGTCAGCAATCCAAAGTACTGTTGTATTGGGATCCAAAAACATTCCACTAGAATAGGAGAGTTGATTTACATTGCTACCGAGATCATTTCCGCCAGCCACGACCACTCCAGACGACGCTCCTTGTGCCCATTTCGTAACACGACCAATAGCACTATCAAGGATGTATATATTGCCACTATTGTCGATACTCATGTCATCCACTGGAAAAACAAACAATACGTGCGTATGATAAACTATTCACCAAAATCTAAGGAACTTACGATTATAAAACTGATTGAATGCTATGCCTGCACTACCGTTGACAATTGTAGTGCCGATGGTAGAATTTGGAGAAAAGCGTTGCACACGATAGTTGCCACTATCGAGCACATATATGTTTGAATTCTTATCAACACGTACGGCATATGGTCTGATAAGTGTTGATGCATTAGAACCTGATGTACCCGCACCATCGCCAGCGACTGTTGTTGCACTTTTTTGCCATGTTGCTGTTGGACACAGCTTCACGCTTCCACCTTGACTTACAAAAAATCTAAATAGTATAAACGATGCAATCCGTATTATCATTCTTGTTCAATATCTCGAAGCTTACATAGTTATGAAAAGCAGTAAACTCCATAACTTGATCATTGTGACAAACTGTTTCAACTGTCCTTAGATGGAAAAATATACTTTCTTTGTAGTTATATACTTGCGATATTTTCTCGTTAAAATATAAACATCGCTATACTCATTTACCTTGTTGATTTTCTAGTACCTTTTCCGGACACCTTCTTCTTCACTTTCCTAGGAAAAGTAATTTTTTTAAATGATAGTAAAGGGGAGGCATATTCTCTCATCGAGTTGAACAACAATTATATAATTTTCCTATAAGATGACAAATGCGTCAATGAAAACTAGAGAAAATTCCAGTTTGATCTATGAAATTTTCATTTTGTCTCAAAAACTAGCTTCTAATTCAAGACGCCGAGCAGTTGTTGGTGATTCTTGAACAATATTCTTCTCTTAATAACAATCAAATATTCAATTTCCAAATGATAATTAGTTTTGAAAGGAAAAGGATATCGCCACTTACACTAAGATTCGTTTTCCTCAACGAGAATATTATTTTTAACAAAAAAGAAAAAGATACTCGGTACAAATAATATATCAGCAGACAATTTATTATCATAAGTGCAAATAAAACGCTCAACACTTGTTTTTCTTGTTTAGTCGAGCAATTTGTGCCAGTCGTTTCTGTTGTTTGATCAACGAAAGACAACAAGACAGTTCAATTAGTGATATGTTCTCCTTCAACCGTCGGTTGCAATCTTCTTGGAGAGAAGTGAATATCGACTGAAAATCACCGTATTTCACACAATCTCTCAAAAACACCAAACTACGACCGTCACAATCACAAAAAAGACGAGACATTTGCGTTAACTTATGTTCAATCAACCATTGTTGTACTCGTGTTACTGACCATGCAAAGATATCCTCTGAATCTTTAGCTATGCATGTTGACTCTTTCGAAGGAACAGTTGATGGTCTATTTGATTCGTTCGTCTCATTTAGTGATAGTTCTTTCAGTAGCATATTCATTGCTTGATCAAATTCATGTTTTGTAAAATCGACATACAACAATTGCCCGATGAGGAACAATAACCACCCATCGGGTTTGTAGTGTTTTTGCACAAGGATGGGTATGATTTTCCGTTGACACTGAAATGCATAATGTGCTTCAGCGCGACAATAATTACTTTTTCGATACTGTTCACTGATACAGAGAATAACGACACGTGATTGTTCGATAGCTTGTGCCATGGCATCCATGACATTTCCGTGCATTTGATCGAAGTCAATCCACACACGATAATTTGTTCTAGTTAATTCTTGATAAAGTTGATGGCAAAGAGCTTTTTCTTTGTGTGAATAACTTATCATGATATCGAATGTTTTGTCCTCATTGTTGTTTGGCAACAAACGATTATTGTGATTGGTTCCGAGATTCCAAAGAATGCCGTGGACTATTTTGCGCATTTGCTCATCGCCAGTTTCTTTGGCAAGATAAGAAAGCTTTGACATGAATAAACAGTTCGAACGAAGCTTTTCTTGAATATCCTCGTTAAAGGAAAATGTCCAAATGATATCCCATGCAACAGGATATTGATCGCACAGATTAATGAACAGCGAGATCTTGTTCAAACTAGCAGCTTTTTGTTGCAGTGAATCATTTTTTGATAAACATTGAAAAGCTTCGAAGAAAATCAACAGAATTCGATATTTTGTTTTTCTATTCACATACCTCGAAGCATGAAATCCACTGGTATTCTTCGATATGTTGTTTGAGATTGATCGATAGTTTCTTCGAGTAAATTGAAATAACGACTGCTGATATGATCAGCAATTTTCAAACGTTTCAGTTGATCGTCCGTAAGAGTTTCGCAGAGAATATTATACGCAGCTGAACAAAGATCTTGATTTTGTGTTGTTTCAGCCATGCGTGCGATCGTTTCGCGTACTTTCGGATTCGAACGAAAAAACCAATTGATATTTAGTTTATGTACTATCAACGTTAAAAACATTAAACAAGTATGCAATAAAACAGTGGTATCATTGGAACAGCGCGGTTGAATTTCTTGGTAAAATGGTGTATATCTTAATATACATATGAGATCTTCGACAAAATCACATGCGATTTGCTCAGTAGGAAAAGTCTTCTTTATGATTGTGTCAGTTTGCTTATCTCGCCAACAGAGTCCAAGAAGAAGTGCAATGAGATGTGCGATACAGTTGCGTAATTTGTTACTCCATAATTCAACTAGGTGACAATGTATACGAATGGTTTGTAAGCAATCACTGCCGATATAGTCCATCGTTTCTTCAGCACTGAATAGAGAAGGAGAAGATTTACATATTATATAAGTATAAGTATAAAATGAACATGTTTTGAGGAAAAATAACATTTTTCTGGTGAGGACAGATGGTTCGATATGTGCTTTATGAAAGTCGATTAGGTAAAGTTTGTACTGTTTGTTCATGACATAGGTATCCAGAATATGCTGACCAATCTGATTAACTATTGAAATGGCTCGATATTCGGGATTTTCGANTATACTCCATCATTTCCTCAGCGCTGAACAGAGAAGGAGAAGATTTACATATTATATAAGTATAAGTATAAAATGAACATGTTTTGAGGAAAAATAACATTTTTCTGGTGAGGACAGATGGTTCGATATGTGCTTGATGAAACTCGATTAGGTAAAGTTTATACTGTTTGTTCATGACATAAGTATGTAGAATATGCTGGCCAATCTGATCAACTATTGAAATGGCTCGATATTCGGGGTTTTGGAAGAGAAAATAAGAATGATTATTGAGAACGAGACTGATAATGTCTAGGTAAGGATCATCATCGTCGTCACTTCGATCGATTCGATTGAAAATTTCCGTAATTTGAGTGGGAGAAAGGGAAAATAGCAGTGACACTCTGGTATCAATGTCGTCAATGGCCAGATTGAAAATTAGCAGTTGGTCAAACTTTGTGAGTGCAGTGAAGAACTGTTGATAGGAATGATCGTAAATCCATGAGAGTGAGTCTTTACATAGCAATTGCCATGACCATAGATGTAAACGAAGCAATGCTTCAAATGATTGAGAAAGAAATTCAGATAATGTTTCAACTGTTTGTAATTGAAGCAATTGCGTTATTTGATGAATGACATCTGCCGATATTGGCGATAAATTAAGTGTCGTAACAAGTTGTTCGAAATTATTATCCATAAAACCTTCTTTTATCTTTGATATGCGATGACACAACTGATTTTTTAGGCGATGGAAACAAACCCTTAAAGATTAATTTTAATGATATTCAGGATAAAGTACCATAATATTCAAATGTTGATTTAGGATTTCGAAGCAAAATGTCAGATCTACATATAAATTATTGTGTTCTTGCGATTTGATCTTTAATTAATTCCGATACTAATCCATTCATTCGATATGTCTCATGTAAGATAGTTTGTTCACTATTGCTGTGAATCATGCGAGAGTGAAACGTGATTAAAAGTATTAGTTTTATCAAATATTGTCTCAAATTGATCTTTCCCTGTGAAAAAGGTCACTCTGTAGTTGTTATTCACCTGACAATTGCATTCAAATAAAGTTCAACCGTCGGTCATGCATATTGTGGGATTCATTTACCGTTATGTCATCATTTGAAAGCTGTACGAATAACGAAAGGAAAAGGTATACTCTTTAATGGTTTGCAATGTATGAATAGAATATGCAATTTTCATATATTCCAAATAATAATCAGATCAACTTGAACTATTTTCACTACTAATAAATGTTCAAAGTGATTCGTCTATCAAAATTAAAACTACTTTATGAATCCTTTGAACCGAACAAATGACTCAATCAAAATGATGTTTATTCGATTAAATGAATAGATATGTTCGACAAAACAACTCAGAATTGCTAGAATTGATAATCATGTTTGTAATGCGGGTTGCACCTGAATGCCGGTCATGACTCGTTACTTCGTCAGAACGTAGATAATCAATATTCAAAGCTCAGTCAGAAAACTCGGCTCGTCAGCACAGTGATACGTTTGAATAGATTGAACAAAAAATTTGTCTAATCGAGGCGCGGGAGTCACTGAACATTGATCATATCAGAGTGAGTTCTGATCACGCACAGCGACGGACACGAAACGGTTCTTTAATTACATAGCTTAACTTCGCAAATGTGAAATAAGACTTTTATAAGAGACTAACAGGTAAAAGACAACCGTAGCGGAGAAACGATTTATCTATCGTGTCACGAGAGTTCGTCATATGACAAATAATAGAAAGACAAAATTCTATGTCCGTAAAACCATTGATACACTTTCAAAATATCAGATCACTCACATAGATGAGTACTGTCGAATGCACTACAAATATGGATGCATTTTAGTTTAGTTTTGCTGCTCGAAGAACATTCCAGTTCTTTGCGGAAGTCATTGCATTATTTGCATTTGGGAAAAATAAGTCTCCGACATATTTATTTTATCATGGTGCGATTGTCAGCGTAAATAATCAAAAGAAAAATTCAAAATACATAATACAACCGGTTTCAACCTTGCTCAAGGGTCTCATCAGGCGACTTTTACAAAGAACAACAAAAAGCATATCACGACCGGTTCTCCGGCCCCAATCATACTTGTTTCAGACAATATTGTCAATGTACTACCGAGGAATTGTTTTTCGTCAATTGACTGCAGTTTAATTAGCCAAAACTCGTTTTTCTGATTATCTGACTGCATATTATTGCACTCGACAGAACCTTTATTGATTCTTTCCACGTTCTGTATAGAGACAATGGTACCCGGCGAGATAATTAATTCGTTTTCCTCGCTGCTATTCGTAATATAACCATAGGGTCGCGTTACATGTGACGTGTCCAATTCTACTACAAATACAACATTCACAATCTGAGCATTGGTTGTATTAGTTTCCAGATATAGATAAGCCACTTCTAAATTGAAAGTTGTCGAGAAAAAGCTATTAATAAAGCTTGCTTGCCCAATATTTTCAATAAAATTCCGCAATTCATTTCGACAAACTTGCTGACCACGATATACTGTTAATGTCATATGATTTTCGTCAGTGGGTCTCTGTCGTTCATATATTTCATCGAGTTGCTGATAGAGTTCGATCATAAAGTGACGAAGGATATGTATATCATCGACATTTTTTACTCGAAGAGCTCTGTTTACGACTTGAGAGATGCCAGAATCATCTCGGTACCACTCCACTGCGCATTTCGAAGAATACAGCGTAAAAAGAGATTCCAAATCTCGGAAATGGTCCCTATACAGATAATAGTACAATGCTCGGCACATTGTTGTTTTTGACTGATGATCGGGCTGCGTACGAAACAAGTGATTGAGTAAAAGCAAATGTATTTTTAATCGATGGGTATTGTTATGATATCGCTCGACTACGAGATGTTTTGGTCGTCGCTCCCAGTGAAATTTTTCGCACCATAAGTCGAAAGATCCGAGGTAATCAGCATTTAAATGTACGCTCGCAAAGGGTGTAAATATATCTACTACAAGTAAAGAAATAGCAGTATGTCAAATTGATGAAATCTCGAAAGTTGTGAAATTTAAATACCGTGTTCCTCTCTTTGAATCCGTTTTAAATGTTGTAGTGTTACTTCATACAATGACTTTGCCCAATCAATAAATAGTGGAATGTCTGCAGTCGATGGCAAGGTTTCACCTCGGGCAAAAGTAGAAATATCGACAACTTTGCAGTAAAAGAATGGCATGTCCATTTCAGAAAATATTTCTTGCTCGTTGCCAAGTAATATTAGTGTTTTTTCTTTCTGATTTTCTCGTTGATATTTTTCACCAAGCTCGTAGTAATTAGACGCTAGGAAAGATTGAAATAAAAAGACTTCTAAAATCAAGATGACATAGAGAGTCGCACGTACCTGTAACAAGTACAGCATCATTATTCTTTGACATTTTGTGGATTTACAGAGTAAGACAGCGCTGATTGTATTGATCTGCCGTCTGAAATATCGAAATACATTATCTACTAAGCAATATACACAAGTTTAAAAAGAGATTTCGTTTGTGATAAGGATGACCAAGAAGAAATGGCAATAACTATTAGAAACGCCGACAAGAGAACATTTCTTTATATATAGTCGGTATGTTGGTATTTTCCGTTTATTTTGCCAGTCGAATAACGATCGTAAATGCGTCGCAAGAAAACGACTAGTTACCTTTTACTCTTTCATTATTCAACAACAAACGATATATTTATCACAAGTTTGGGTCAATATTTACTTTGATAGAAAATGTTGGCAAAGTACCAAATAATTCGCCAATAATTTCTTCCAACAAAAAAACAAAACTTCCGAGTGTATAGATAATGGTAGAACTGTTCTGTTACAATTTTATCTTCACATACGCCTTATAGTTTCACCAATAGTTGCATGTTAGTTTCTCAAAGGTATTGCCAATTGGTGCATTGATATCGAAGTTCTTGAGCAAGCATTTAGTTTCGTATGCAGCTGCATTCATGTTAATGAATCCCAAGCAAAATGGAATCAAATCATAATTTGATCTTTGATTCCATCGTCTGAAGAGTTCAAGAAATAGTGTTATATATTCCGCATGTATAGGATGTTGAAGGCGCCTCAAAAGGTGCGAAACATAGTGGGAACAAACTGTCGGTATTAAGAAAATTTTGTGCTGTGTACTAGGTCGACTAGCATTTCTTTCAGAAAATGTTACACATGACACATTCATCTTTAGCTTACAAAAGACGAAGCTGCTTGTCATCATGATCGATCCAAGACGACACCGAAAATATAATTATCGGTAGAAGAAAAACTCACTCTCGTATATTCAAATTCTGTGTAGTTTTATGAGCTATTCGAGAATGGTTATTGGATATGAATTATCCAGTAACGAAGATTCTGAACACACTTCTTTACGACAGACTTCGGAGCACAGCGAAGAAGAAATGGAAACTGATGATTAATATAGAAAAACCTGTTTTTTGTAATTATGAAAACAAATGTTCCGCATAGATATTCCATTCTATTTATTGAAAACAACAGCGGTGACAAAAACGTTTGCGACATGCTTTACATTCGTACAATTTTCTAGTATGTTTCGAACAGCGAGAGCATCTGAATTCGACAGGCTCGCAATGATGTGCGCAGTTATGAAAAACACGTTCAAAACCATGGCAGTGATTACCAGCATGATTGCCATTGCAACGATTCTGACATCGAGTTCGCTGGTACATTGTGAAGTAGGCATAGGGATCGTCTGGAATTGGACATTGGAAATGTTTGGGTGGCGGCGCCGACTTCTGTTTAGGCGTTTCGTTTGGTTGTGGAGTGGGTGTGGGTGGCGGCGCCGACTTCTGTTTAGGCGTTTCGTTTGGTTGTGGAGTGGGTGTGGGTGGCGGCATAGGTTCTCGAGGAGCTAAAACGATACATAAACTATTCGATAATAAAAGCATGCGCTTACTTACCGTTGTTCTTCTGTTTGAGATGTACAAACACGCAACCATTTCCATCAGAGACTGTTTCTTGACTTTTATTTACTTTGCACCCAGGCCACATTAAGACATCCTTTGCCGGTTGAGTAGAATCTGTTCCCTTCTTCGGGGAATAATTTGAAACGTCCTTGCCACTTACAGATGAGTATCCCACAAGTATTTTTTCCCCATCGGATCCATCATCCAGATCAGTTAGCACTTGACTTTTCGATGGTGTCGCCAAACCCATACACGTAAACAAATCCAATGAATCTTCTTCTAACTTTCCCATTACGTCTTTATCGTAGGGCATACCTTGCCAGATTTCCACACGCACATCGGGTAATTTATCCAAGCCATTCTTCAGTAATCTCAAATATTTAAACCAGGGTTTCATCTGTTTTCGCTCGTTGGAATCCCATGCTCTCTGTAGGTAACTACGGACACTGTCGTCACTTCCAACGACCAGATATAAGTAGAGAGCAGCGGCTTCATCATGAGTAAGACCATGTTGTGATGGAAAATGACAATTGGACTTCGCTTCTTGAATTTGCCCATCGAGATTGGGAATATGTTCCTCGAACCGTTCAAGAGCCTCCTCAAGTGAGCAGAGAGGTTTTTTTTCGTAACCTTTGATGAGTAACGAAGGATCTTCTGTGCTGATGCCGATTTTATTATATCGAGCTGGAGGACGTTGCTTCTTCGATGGCGGTTCTGGCGCTTCGTGTTTTTCCTCATCTTCACTTTCGCTCGATGATGGATCGGGTGTTGGTTCCCGTGGTGCCTTTGGTGGAATCTCGGGTGATTTGGGTACTCCGTCAAAATCTTTCGTAGTAGGAGTAATGGCTGTACTTTTACCACTACAGCAGCTGCTACCCATCTATGTTGCAATAAGAAAAAACAAAGAGAGCAGTGAATGATTGTTAGTGGTGTTTTCGTGACGCTACGTGAGTGTTGGAAGGTACGAAAAAAGATCAATGACTGGCGTATTTCATCAGAACAAAATGATCTTCAAATACCCGTTCTGACGACAAAATCATGTTGGAAATTTATGCTAGTAACGTCGCTCACCCAGACACACAGAGATTATCATTCTCCACCTAATCAAAAGAAATTCGGAATCAGAATACAGGGAGCACATGTAGGAAGAATCGCTTGGAAACATTGACGTAAAGTAAATATTTTGTCACGTATGTATTACGGCAGACATACATCTAGTAATTCCATTTTGTTTATTCATCAGCTTTTTACCAATGCTCGTTGCTGCATAGTATTTTTTTTAATAGATTGTCCCACAGGGAAGCAACGATTCTTTCGCTGAAAAAAGCATCGTTCGATAAAACTATTAACTGCTTCTATTTCTCTCCGATCGAATCATTCTACTGTTATGGTGAATTTTGATCACACATTTTTTGTTGATTGACGGCAAAAAAGCATCTCACAAAACAGTCCTTCTGTCACTAAAATCAAGAGAGCGTGTGTACTTGTCAACATTCTTTTGACAAATGCACATAAGATTTGGTCATGCACTATCAAATCAAAATCTAAAAAAAACGATAGTTGTCTTAATTTAATGTTTTGAGAAAGGAAAGCTATTTTCTTTCAATACAAACAGTTTCCGTGATTTCGTATGAATACAGGTAAGACTTGTGTCTGAAATAGTATAGATAGTGACGATTTATTGAGAAGTCACACTTGTTCAATTCGATTCAGTTTACGCCTAAGTATTCTCTTCTTCTTTTTCAATGCCGTATAGACCTCATGTAAACGGTAAGTACAGGTGTTTGTATTTTTCTTCTATTCTTTTCTTCCGACAAGAGAGAAACGTTTTGTAGATAAGTCGTCGTATTTCGCTACGAACTCCTCTAACTTTATCATTACAAAAGACGTCGGCGGTTGACTTCAAGGACTTTTCTCTGTTGTATTTATTTCTGTATTACATGTCGTAGATGAATCGTAGATGGAACATGATGGTTCGTTGTTGACACACATACTATTATGATAGAAGAATAAAGAAATAAAAATAGACATAAGATGTCAAGCAAACGAAAAATAGAAAATGTAACGACTATTCCCAACATACAATATCACGCAATAACAACACTATTGATTTCTTAACCGATCTTAACATTTAGTAGATAGTAGATATTAGTTATGCATCAATGAAATTTACCCATGATAGTGTCTGTGAGAAACTCTCGAGTGAACTCATTGCATGACACTGATTATTCAAGGATTCAAATAATCGAACAAGGTTTAACATGATCATTCTATTATCTATATTCTTTCCTTTCTAAATATATACCCTTTTCAAGTGCCATCGTCAAACATTCTTTTTTGCTTACGCATCCCTGTGTGGCTTTACACATATTTTACCTACCGAAGTTATCTTATTGTTTGAATAAGCTTGCAAGGTTCTGTCAGAATGTCTAGCACCCCCTGTTTTGTTTACGTGAATACCAAATGAAAGCGGGCAAAAGTCTTATCAACTGCGGGTTTTTTCAAAGATTATGAGGCAGCTCTATATAAAATCTAAGTTTTTGACTCCGAAACCATTTTTTTACCAACAACTTCAATCATGTCAGCGCCCGTTGTCGACTCTAAATGCTGTGCTTTCTTTGAACCACCTAGTGATTATGGCTGTTCACAGTGCGACAATCAAATGGGCATCTTCACGTGCCATGGTTGCTGCCAGGTCTTCTGTCCACAACATGCTGCCGAGCATCGAGCCCCGTTGAAAGTTAGATTAGATAATCTTATTGTTGAAAATCAAAAATTGGATACTCATATCGAGAGTGAAAAACATTCAGATGAATACATTAAGTTACAACAAGAGGTCGATGATTGGGAAGAAAAATCCATCGAAAAAATCAGACAAGCAGCGGCTGAAGCTAGAAAGAAGCTTTCGGATATTGACAGTGGCTACGGAAACAGTCAGATCAAGAAAATCAACGATTGTCGTGAAGCCCTGACGGCTCGATTGAAAAAAGCTGAAGTTAACAACGACTACCATGAACAACATCTCACCTACTGGGAACAATTTCTCGAGGATTTACGTCAAAATTATATTCGTCTTCAATCAAACTTTGTTCGAATTGAATTCTGCACTCGACCATTTATTGCAAAGATTCTCGTCGTTGAAAACGCAGTGGCGACTCGTTTCACCAAATGGTGCTACTATCAAAAAGATTGTGTGCAAACCACTGCTCTCCGACAATCACAATACTTTCAAGAAGAAAACTGTTCGGAGATACTTTACATCGGTCCATGTGGACAAGCTACTGAAGCCTTTCAGCCTCTACCAAAACCTGGAATTGAATCACCTGTTGAAATTCTCGACTCGAACTATGCTGGTGCGCTTCAAACTGGTGAATATCGATTTTGCTTGACCAAGGAATGTCGATTCATTGGTATTATATCGAAGAATGTTGGCCAAAAGAAAACACCATTGAATACCCCGACTGTCTATGGTTGGAGCACAACAGAAGATGCGATTTATCGTGACGGTTACCGTCAATTCGGTTCACCGAATGATCTTCACCCTGGTGATACAGTTTCCTTGTTAATTTCCAGTGAACAACAATGGATTCGGCTGAGAAACATAACACGAAAACGTACACATGAGTTACACATCGACGTAAACAAATGCCCATTACCCTGGCAACTCAAGATTGCCTTCACATCGGATAACTATGAATAAACGTTCTCTTTTTGTTCTTTTCATGTAACCATTTAATCATCTAATTGGAAAACAAAAAGGGCTCTAACTACTATCGAACCTGACGTTTGTTTTCATTGTCTAGTATTGAAAACTGTCTTTAACCATTTGAATCGTTGTCACTGACAAGAACTGCACACCTAATTTCGTTTCGTTTTTTTTTTTATGTCAAAATGCGATAAAAGCGAATTTCATTAGATTTGTTTCTTTTGTCATGTGCGCATATGATATTTTCAATTCTCAAAAAGTTGTTCAATCAAATGGTCGAGTATGGCTGGAGTGTAACGAACGTATTTCTCTGGATTATGGGTGAAATGCATGCTTGCAAATTTCGAATGATATTTGGTGAATATATCAAGAATTGTCTTCTTAATTTCTGATTTTAGTTGATCACGTAATTGAACATCATCAATGATATATTCTTGATGTTGTCGTTGAAATGCATCGATCGCCGAATTGACTATCAAGAAGTTTCTTTTCAGTTGATCACGATCGCAATCTCTTAACTGGTAGAAACCAGACCTTTATGTTTGAAGAAAATCGAAAAGTTTTACTTGATGATTGGTAAGATGGTGTTGGTTATCATAATGAAACATTTGTTGTATGGCGTTGACAATGGGCGAACAACTATGAATACGAAAAGAATGATTATTACATACAGACAGTCTGTCAATGTGAGAGTGCTACCATTTTATATAAATTTTGATACTTTTTCCGATGCAATTTTCGGTATTCATCTTCAGATTCGGATGTATTTTGTCCACAACCGATGACAGAGATGACCTATGAAGAAAAGAGTGTGATAAAATAGAGTTCTATGAAGTGACACGTCCTACTTTTCAATTCGTTTTAGAATGTAATTGGTATTATTGATAAGAAATATCGCGCGAATGATTGTATCATCATGTAGAACCAGGTCGTCCCTCTTTTCAAAGATATTCGTGCAAAGTACTCGATAGAGATCCGCTGAAAGATCAATCTGAATGAATCAAAAATATCATAAAAAAATCAGCTCCGTACTGACCCAAATGAACACGAGATTGACTGGTAGTGTCACTTCGATTATGGTAAGATTTGATGATAGTGTCTTCATAGCTCAAGTAATCTTCCATGTAATCTAACACGTGAACAGTCAATGGATGTACTTGCCCACCTGGACTTAATGGTGATGAGTCATTTTGAATTTCATTCAATGTCAAACGAAGATATTCGATTAACTGAAAATGAAAGAATGATGATCGGACAACTTTCGAGATTATTTATACCGAGTTTTCGAAGATTGGTAAGAGTGTATGAGTAAATTGTTGTTGAGGCGACTTCATGTCATTTTCCTATATGCGAAAGAAAGGTTCTTCATGTTTAGTCTAGTACAATCATCTCACCTTATAAAATTTGGCCAAGAAAGGTTTAGAACTATGAAGCCATCGAATAATAGAAACAAGAGCGTAGAAAGCAAATTTTCCATCGTAGATCTTATTTGGCGATTCTTCAATTGCCGTGCAGAGCTGTTGTGCTTCGGTATACAAGAACGTCAACGGTACTTCGATTAATTTGTTGAGAACAAGCGATTTGTATTCGTTGGAAAAAACGTAGAATAACAAATCGGTTTCACGTAGCAGGAGAATCACCATTGCATCTAGTAAATATTTATATCGGTTTGCTTCTCGATCATTAGCAAAACGCGTCGATGAGAATAGACGGTCGAAATCAGCTTCTTCGTTCGTTTTCGGAACTACTAATAATGAATTCCTTCGTGATGGCGGTGATGGCGCGTCGTTACCACTGAATACTGGCGAACGTGCTATTCGCCGTCCTAATCGACTACGGAAAACTCAACAATTCGGGTTCTGGAATGAATTTATAAACACACGTACGTCAATTGTGCCTTCACATGTTCTCGTATCATGTCACCATTAAAGGAACGTTGTGGTGTTGACAGTCGTGGGTTGACAGTGAACATATTAATTGATGCACGACGGACAGACTTTTGTCCTAAATGTTCGGCTAATCTTATAATACAGAAGAAAAGTTGCACTTATGAGGAGAATTACTAGCAAGATGATACAAACAACTTTATTGATTCACAAATCATACTGCCTCTTTTCGTCGCATACCGATCGAGTAGACCTTGCTGATATCCATGTTCTTTAAACCAATCGAAGATAATTCGAAACATACTCAGATCGGATACTGAAATGAAAGAGCAATTCTACCAAGCATACTAAATTCAAATTCACCAAACCTTGTACATCTTCGGCACTGACGGGTTCATACGTTGTTGATTTACATACCTCAATTAATTCATCGGGATTAATCGGAGTGCTGTAATGCACAATCAACCGATCACTTTCTTCGATCAGCTTTTGTATTCCGATATTATACAATGCAACAGAACGTTTCAGTTCATCTTTAGCGTGTATCTGTTTGAAATATTTATGAGCATCGTTCAAACGATCTAGTTCAACAAGATAATCAACCAAATTAGTGCTTGGTCCAGAGTTGAGCATGATCTGTATTTCATGATATGCTTCGTAGTAACGAAAGACAGCGGTGATTAACGTTATGTCATGTTCGATATCACCTACTAAACGACGTAGATTGTGATTTGTATCGTTGAGATGCAAGATAAACTTTAGTACAGTTCGAATTTGTTCTTCGTCGTAAACCGATGTCGCCATTGTGCGATGGATAAATAACTTATTTGAATGACTGATGGCAACGATATTTCACAATGTCGAGCATTGGAGTCAATATACATATGCGAAGGTTGAAAAGCAAAATGGAACAAACCGAACGACTCATGATAAGTGCTTTTTTTTATTTTCTTTATGAAAGTACGAATTAAATACACCATACGTATGTGCGTAGAAGACAGAAAGACTTAAAGGATATAATAGAGAGATTACTTCCACAAACATGATTACACAGTTCTATCGTTAATATACGTTAAAATTCAATGACGAAAAACTGAAGGAATGCATAACGTATAGTGTTGATGTGAACTCTGTAATGCAAAGTTTCTGTGTGCATGAAGCAGGGTATCACCATCAGAGCATCAGCTTTATGAAAATTATGAAGAAGTTATTGAGATCTGAAGTATCGCTTTGCGTTTCATCCATTCCGAGAAAAACTATGTTGGAAAAAATCGCGATAATGGTAGTCGTCACGTCTTTGTCTTCCAATCTGAGTAAACAACAGGTAAAGAATAAAAAAAATGCACCCACATGCGAAGGTTTTTACAACGTAGTCAGTAAAAGAAGCATACACAATCTTAAATCAATACTGTTAAGCATTATAAAATGTATTTTGATATATAAATAACAACATCTAGTTTATAAAGGAACACTACTGCACCTTATATTTTGGGCAGTATTTTTTCTTACAGCTTCTTTCATTTCTCTACGCAGTATCTGTACGTATTCAAGAAAAGTGTTACTGCTCGTTTCTCGTTTCGATTAGTGATAAATGGCAACAATTAATACAGATGACAATAATCTAGAAACATTTAGCCTACTGTGGCTAGATGCTGCGATTCATACAAGCACAGAAAATCAAGAAGCACAGAAACAACTTCGTGCTTGCATCAACCATGTCATACCGTTCGAAGATCCAAATCTTTGTCAGCGACACATTCAAACTACATCGTCTCAAGATCGACTGGTACTTATTGTTAGTGGACGACTAGGTCGAGAAGTAGTGCCTGTTATCCATCAGATCCGTCAGCTGTCTTCTGTCTATGTCTATTGTATGGACCAAGAAGGTAACAAAAAATGGGCGAAGGACTTTAAAAAAGTATAACAAAGCTATTCATTTTTCTCTAATGATGAACCAATCATTTTCTGTTCTAGGTGAAAGCGGTCGCTGTTAATCTAAATGATCTCATATTTCAAATCAAAGCAGATCAGAAAAAGCGCGTAAAAGAAGAAGATCCCATAGTTATCAACATTTTCACAGCTGGTGGCAACCTGGATCAATCGACAACTGGAGTCAATGGCGGTGTTGTGCATTCATTATTGCTTATTGATGTGCTACTTCGAATGAAACCGATGAAAGGAGAAAAACGAGAACTCATTGAATTCTGCAGAAAAATCTACAAAGGTAATGAGACGCAATTAGCTATTATTGATGAATTCGAAGCTGAATATTCACCGAAAAGCGCATTATGGTGGTATACTCGTGAATCATTCATCTACAAAATTCTCAATAGAGCTCTACGCGTTCAGAACATCGATGTGATATTTCTTTTCCGTTTTGTGATACGCGATATCTACAACAAATTAGAACGACATCAATGCCAATCATCGATCCATGTGTATCGAGGACAAGTTCTTTCCAACGATGAGCTAAAAAATCTTCGAAGTTCCATCGGTAGTTTCCTTTCGATTAATTCCTTCTTTTCCACAACTACTAAACATCAACAAGCCATGCAATTCATACTCGATTCTGATGTTACGAACGATTTATATCGAGTATTGTTTGTAATTGATGCTGATCCTTCTGCGAGCACTACAAAACCATTCGCAGACATTAGCTCACATAGTGAGTTTGGTCATGAATCTGAAGTTCTATTCATGATTGGATCGATTTTTCGCATTAAATCTATTCGGCAAACTGACGATCAGATATGGAAAATTCATATGATATGGTGTGATGAAAATGAACATGATTTGATAAGTCTTTTCAACTACATGAAAGAGAGTTATGGAGGCGGTGATAATGAAACTGATCTACTCGAATTTGGTAAAGTATTGCGACGAATGGGGAAGTTTGATTTAGCCGAAAAGTTCTACCGACGATTATTGATTGAACTATCCTCAAATGATCCGTTATTATCTCGTTTGTATTATTCACTCGGCTTAGTACTAAAAGATCAGAAAAAGCTAGACTCAAGTCTTGAGTATTTACACAAGTCGCTGGAGTTGGAAGTACGAAGGCGTCCACAAATTAATACAACTCTGGTACAAAGGTACAATGCCATCGGCAATATTCATCGTGTAAAAAAAGAACACGACAGAGCTCTGTTATGGTATAGCAAAGGAATAGCACTCCTCGAAAAAAATAATGAACACGATGACGAAATGATGGCCCATTTTTACCATAACACTGCTCTTATCTACGATGATCAGGAAAAGTATGAGCAAGCTTTGAAACTAAATCACAAGGCATTGACTACAAGGAAAAAATGCTTGCCGCGCAACCATTCTGACATTGGTTTGTCTTACAATAATATTGGTAATATTCATCGTCATATGAGTAATTACGACTGTGCATTGGAACATTTACATCAGTCGCTTTCCATCAGACAACAGTCATTACCTCCTGATCATCCACATATCGCTCAAAGTTATCAAAACATAGGTGCCGTATACGAAGATATGGGCGACTTTGCACAAGCTTTGGAATATTTTGAAAAAGCGGTAGCCATCAGTCGCAAATTAGGCAACAATAACGATGTAGTTCGCATCGAAAACATTATTCGAGAAATCAGACAGAAACTTAAGTAAATGTTTATTTTTAGATGGAACAGTGAACTTTAATATATGTCTAGTGTTCTTTGAAATAAGTTCATAATGATATTGAGTTAAACTATCTCCATTTGATATAATCAGCCATGTGATATAATACAAACTTTGAGCTCAACCGAGAATCAAGGATTTATTGTTTTACCGACGGCTTTACGAAAAAGAAAGATCTTAAGGCACAAAGAGAAACAAATCAAAACTCACAGTATGAAAATAAGCTACGGTCGTCAGAATTACTAATATGAAACATTCATTATGTATCCCATATTCATCCGTATACATCTTAAAATGGACTGAAATTAACATCATTATAACATTTTGACGATCAGCTTATGTTCAATTAGAACGCTTGTTTGATAGATACGTTTGTAGATAAAGATATATCTAAATACAGAACTCAGAATTGCTAGAAATGCATGCATGTTTATCAGATGATACAATGTTTTTAGAAAACAAGATATTCCGTAGAGGTAGACTAACACAATAAAAGCTACAAAAACTGAGACGAACATTGGATGAAGCCGCCGAGAATTCACCCATTTTATGTTACTAAAATTCATCTTGACGTGAACAACATAGAGAAAAAAGAATGATGTTTTTTCTTTTCTTTTCTTTTCCTTATCGAAAGTTAAAGATAATAAAGTCAACGTGAGTGACTGTTGATATCTGAATAACAACAACGATTTCAACAAAACCCGATGTTTGATGGAGTAGTGTTGCCAATAATCGATTATAATCGACTTACTCAACAAGATTCGCTAGAAGCTAGTAAACTTTTTCACGCTTCAACCAACGTCGGATTCTTCTATTTGAAAGTGAACGATGAACTCGATCCGACTCCAATGTTTGCACTGGCTGAAAAAGTATTTACATTACCGTTAGATACTAAAAATGAATACGCAATGGATGGTAAAAATGGCGTTTACTTTGGTTACAAACCCGTTGGAAGTATGTTCGCAGATAGAAAAGGTACACCAGACACTATCGAATTCTGGAATATTTCCAAAGATGATATTGTCATCCATAATAGTAACAACTTTCCTCAAGTTATTCTTGACAAAAAAACTACCTTGCACAAATATATCAATAAATCACATGAAATCATTCTTGTTATTCTCGAGATTTTATCTTCAAAATTGGAATTAGATCCGCAGCTACTTCCTCGTTTACATCGAATTACACAGTCTAGTGGTGATCAGTTACGGCTAACAAAATCTACCATTTGCCCAATTGATGGCCAATCTTCTGTCGGCATTGCTCTTGGTGCACATACAGATTTCGGATCCATAACCATCTTATTCAATCGTTTACCTGGTTTACAAGTATTAGGACCCGATGGAGAATGGTTGTATGTCGAACCGTTATCCGGACATGCAATCGTTAATCTTGGCGATGCTATGGTAATACTTTCGGGAGGTATTCTTAAATCAAATATCCATCGAGTTGTAAATACATCTGGTGTAACTGAACCGACTGATCGGTATAGTATTGTTTATTTTTCTCGACCGGAGAATGACGTTCGAATGAAAAGTTTAGTTGATAATGGTAAGAATAATCAAGATGATAGTGATGCATTGACGGCTCAAGAATGGATTGCGAGACGAGTGAAAAATTATCAAACGGCAAATTATAAAAACGAAGAAACATACGAATTAAGTCGAGGAACAGAAGGCAGTCGCGAAGGGTCCATGTAACGTAAATAGCCGCACTCGAAGGACATCATTGATCGATCATCGATCGACATGAGTACATCAACAGTAATCTGGTTTTCAATGTGTTCTTATGCCATGTCTTTTCACACTCTTCAGCTATTTTATCTAACGAATAAAACAAACGCTAATTATATTTGAAAATAAACATTCGTAACTAGCGATAAAAGCAGAACCTTTTTCTTTCTCTACTTTCAGAATAAATTTATTTGATCGGTTTGCGTGCTATACTTTAGTTATATTCTCTTTCATCTGCTCAATATGCGTGCTTGATATTCGTCATAACTTTACAGGTAAAATATCTGCAACAACGATCAGAAAACATGTGGGTCTATTTCGTCGAGCCATCAAGCGCGTCGTAAACTGAAGATTTACCTTCGATAGGTTATCAAATATTATCTATTGATTTGTTTTTATTTTTTTCTCATAGGCTTGTTTATGTATGTACATAAAAAAACATCAAATTGACATAACTTCGTATTTCTCGTGTTAACTATGGGAGGAAGCTTACGTGTGCTTGGAGGTTCTTTCGGTAGTCCGGATATACTTGTTGGAAAAGCAGTTAACATCAACGGTCGACCATATCTCTTCGAAAATCGCTTAGGATCGGGCGGTTTTGGTAATCTGATGTTCACTACTGTCAACAAATTGAGTGTGATCTTGTTTTAACTTGGAAATTTTAGGTTCTGTCTATGCAGCAAAAACATCAAATGGCATGCAGGTTGCTGTCAAAGTTATTATGCTGGCTGGCACTAGACGTCCGGAGATGGTAGGTCGTGTTCAATCATTTTTAAATGAAGTCATGCAGTTGAACCGTTTACGACAAGAATCGTATCATGTTGTGGTTATTTATGATTTCGGATTTGATGCTCAAACCGGTCAAGGTACGTCTCAGCGAACTTTTCTCCACCGGTTCCATCTTGTTGGTTTTTAGCATACATCGTGATGGAATTAGGTAATGAGAATTTATCAACATTGATTAAACGACTGCGTGTGATGAATCAAAGTCGCGGTGTAGCAATCGATTCGGAAATGATTAAAGAGTTTTGGCGACAAATGGTTAGTATTGTTGGTTCACTTCACCGACATGGGATTGTTCACATGGATTTGAAGCCAGATAATCTGATCCTTTTCGGAGTAACACTCAAAATTGCTGACTTAGGCATATCAAGAAAAGCGGATAGTTTAGGGTAAGTCATTATTTTCTCACGAAATCAACCATTCGTTCAATTCTCTTTCCAATAGACAAGCTCGTTTGGGTACTCCATTTTTCAGGTAAGACACTAACGTTCGTTATATACTACAGCCCACGTTTGTTTTGATTTGAAAAGTGCGCCGGAAGTTATGCAGGACATACCTGGCATTCAACGTTATTATAATACAAAAGCGGATATTTGGTCACTGGGTGCGATTCTTTATTTTATGGTCTACGGCCGGCCACCCATGTATCAACGTCAGGCTCATCAACCTCCACGTGGAGAAGCAATTTATCCGGATCATGAATTAAATGATATGCTTCGCCGTACTTTAGTACTTGACCCAAATTATCGAGCTGATATAGTCGAAGTTGCATTTCATCCATATACGCGACATTAACGGTATCTTTTGACTTCTCTTTTTTTCCTTTTGTGCTTACATTCGTGTGAACTGCCAATGTGATTTAATAGGAACAGAAAAAAAATTGAGTCTTATAAGAATAGTTTCGCATGTGAATCACCCTTTATTTATTCAAATTTCGACACACTTGTGTATGAAGGTAGTTGTTTTTTCTTTTCGTGCCGCACAAATTAAAGTTTCTGCTTTCAACATAACGGCAATCTTGTTTTCAGATATATTTTAAACGTTTTCATGGATCATTATACGAATTGCAATCTAAAACCTACTCAAGTCACCGATTCGTTTTGGCTATCTGAATATAACGAAGTGATTGCCAGTAACAGTACATTCCCCGACGGTAAATGGATGCAATTTTATGACTTATCGGAACTCGATACAATGTGGGAGAGAGCCAAATATAAATATCGTGCTGGGCATCTGATCGGCATCCATTCTATTAAAGTATCCACAGCACGTCCTCAGCCTCGTGCCAGCAATTCTTCACAAGGTGTGATTATATTCTACTGTGGACCAGCCAATAATGAGAGTATTATAATGCATATCGGTGAAAAGTTATTGCAAGAAATGCCTTATAAATCATGGTCGGGACACATGTCTTACAAATCCGACGAGCAGACTTCTGCTGGAACGCGTGCTACAGGACAAATAAGAAATCATTTATATCGCATTCCGTGCGGAAAGACCTAGTTTTCATTTAAAAAAAAACTTCATTTCTAGAATGTACTCATCGTGACATGACTATTAGAAGAAGATAAAAATCCTCGTGAATCCATATTATTCGCCATTTCCAATACTCGTGCCCGATATCGAACATCATTGTGTTTCATTTGTTTACGATATCTAAGTGGAACGCAAACAAACCAAATAATCATGATAACATGCATTGTGATAAAAATTCCAATAAAACTATAAAACGCTACATGATCGACATTTGCAATCCAGAGTTCACCGGGCACTCGATAGTCTGCTGTGCGCACCCATGTAATTACACTAATGATACCATGCCAAATAGAATGACCGACAAGATTGAGCATACACAGTATTCCATATTTATCCAATGAAGTCAGATAAGAAACGGTTGGCTATAACGAAAAAATAACTTTGATGAGGGGGTATTTAAAGAGTATCGTATACGAACGAGTGATCGATTAACCGTCCAACGAAAAGTCACGGATGTTAGCAGAAGTGTGCATGACACTTGAAGACGATTGATTGAAAACCTAGAATGATTTTAGATGTGCTAAAATCAAATGAAAGTCTTTTTACTAACTGCATGGGCATGCCAAAAGTACAAAACGAGACGAAAGTGATCATAAAAATAAGAAAATATCCATTCCAAAAAAAGTAGCTGGATTGACGTGCTTCGAAAAAAGAAAGAACGATACAGATAAGATTTAAACAAAAAGAAAGACGAACCAGCATGACAAGTGACCGTTAACACCGGTCGTTTTCGATCTTCTTTCCCGTTGATCATCTCATCGCTTTCATCATCAACCGTGCGAAAGAGGAAATCTCTGATGAATCTTTGTTCTGTATTGACATGTTCATACAACGACCATTCTTGCTGATCAACAAATGCTTCTCGATTGACTCCGCTTAAGCAATACGGATCGGCGAATAGAAGAACTTTATCGTTGAAGAACATCGAACTGATCGAAATCGATAAATCTTGTACATCGCTCGGAAAATGATACAACTCAAGTTTTTCCCAAAAGAGACCTTTGATTATGCGATGTTCACAAATATAAACTTCTTTCTCAATTCGATTCAGTTTTGCCGTGTATTTTATTTGCTCTTTGAGGTCACCGAGACTGTTTTCAATGTAAAGTTGAGGATGCCAGTTGGTTTCAGCGTATTTCTCAAGAGCAACAGACTTTCCACTGAGCAACTGATCTTGTTCGATGGAAGAAAATCGATCGATTGTAACCACCCATCGAGATTCGATGGACGCATGAGCTTGATATTTCTCATTGAGAGTATCGATTTCACCTGGAGAATGTTATTGAAAAAGAGTTATTCATGTAATTATTGTAACTACCTATTCGAAGGAATACAAGACGAACGTAGACATGAATTGCCTGATCAGTTTGCATCGACGACAGCAGATCTCTACGAGAATTTGGATTCGATCTAACTGTAAACGATAGAACACATAGGAACTGCACAACTTTTGACTACAAATTTACCTATTAAAGACATTCCGACGATTGTGATTGAAGTTAAGACGACAATTTGTTTGAAATGAAACACAGGCTGTGCGGTAGCTCGACTTTTATACACGTGTTAAAATACAGTATAACTTCATTCTGACTAAGCCCATAAAAGAGAGCATGTCAATAACATGTTTTGATCAAATAACTCGCCGTGCTTTCATATTTCAAAAGTATTCTTTTAATTGTCAATCAATTACCCCGAAAAAGGGTATGCTGACTGTTAATGGAAGAAGAAATGTATGTGGGTGAATGAGTAGCGCTATTGACAAGACTATTTTTTCGAGTATGTTCGAGTGAATGAAAAACGAATAGAAAGACTATACAAAAATGTGACACGTTGGAAGTGTTTTCATATGAAGTGATCTTTGTTCGGTGGACAACTTGAGAAATTATGACAGAAGAACTTTTCACGACAGACATCTACGAAACAAAAAATAGTGAATATTCAATAGTGAAAAAACTCTTGTACGCGATAATTGTTATAGTCAACCACGTAGACATTGAATTCGCTGTCAACAGCTAATGAGGATGGAGTATTAAGTAGCTCAGGAGTACTACCTGATACACTGGTAGTGCCTATGATCGTTGTTCCATTCGATTGACCAGACAGATAAAATTGTACACGATGATTTCCTTCGTCAGACACGTACATATTACCCAGTGAATCGAATGTAACATCTGTTGGATAATATAATAACATTGACGTTGTACCATATACACCAGCACTGCTTCCTGCGACTAATGTCCATGAACTATCGCCCAGTACCCATCGGACGATATTGTGAGCATAATTATTGGCAATGAATAAGCTATTCGTTGGTGAATCGAAATAAAGACCTCGAGGATTGTTTAATTGTGTAGAACCTGTTCCAGGACCATTTCCGCCAGCTACTAGAATACCCGATGACGAATTCGATAAATACTTCATGATGCGATGATTATCAGTATCTGCTACATAAAGTGTGTTCGTGCTTCTATCAAGTTCCACACCAAACGGATTCGCTAGTTGGCTGTTTGTGCTACCTACCACGCCTAATAGAGCAGAGAAAGCATCATGAATCAATTTACAATCTGGAAACTCACCAGTTCCAGCGACTAATATTCCTGTTGATGCATTTTTCAACCAGAGTACTACCCGATGATTTCCTGCATCTGCAATGTATAGATTCCCATCGGAATCTAATACCAAATCACTAGGATAGCATAGGTATTCTAATGAGCTACCCATAGTTCCATTTGCTTGTCCAGCTACAGTTGTACCAGTTGATGCATTCGATACCCATTGCTGAACTCGCTGATTTGGTTGATCCGTAACGTAGATTGTATTTGATGAATCTAATGCCAAACAAAATGGATGATTGAACAGATTGCCTGCAATACCCGGTGAGCCAGTGACACCAGCTACAGTGACACCGCTCCGATTCCAACCAACAGAAAAGCTCGGAGCTAAAAAGAAGAATAATCACTGGTGTTGTCTATTTATATATATCAACAATAACTCACTTTCTGTTGTCACCGAAGTTGACAGATTGAATAAATATAAATCACTCGTCGAATTCCATTGGATTGAATAGTTAGCACTTGAGTCCGAATAAAACAAACAGACACGTATGCTAGTCAGACAGTTGACTGCGAAAGTTTGTGTAGAAATTGAATTGATCCCATGGCATAAGCATTCATTACAATCAGTCGAGTAATTGAATACTGTTGGTTGACACGATGTTGCCGATAATGGGATATACATTCGATGAGATAGTTTCTGAATCGGTATATTCAGACTCGAAGGAAACATCGTATGGAAAATTATGACACCAACGAGCACTATGCTTTTCATGATAAAAGAATTGTTGTAATGTTTCAAAGATATTTTTATTGTCTATATACATATAGGATTCTCTGTTTTGATGGAGTATGTCATTTTTGATTTATTGAGAAATGCATCTTCACCATGAAATTGCATTTTCTGTTCTTGTTGAAGACACTTAGGTAAAAAAAGCACATTTAAATTTGATTCAAAAGAAATTTGAGTGCGGAAGAAAAAATTCACACTCAATCAACCTTTCATTGAATTAGGACATTTAAACAAGAGGAAAAAGGAATTGTTCACGGCTTCATTTTCGGTCAAAGTCAAATCTTTGTACGCGAACGTTCCACTGATCGACTACAAAAAGATCTCCTTGTTCATTCAAAGATAAACCCATTGGTCGATTGAGTTGATCTGCTTCATCACCTTGTCCATATCTACCCACAACTACATTCCCATGCACAGCATCTTTACTCCAGCACATGATTCTATTATTCGTAAAATCAGCAACGAAGACGCTGCTAATGTCATCAACAACAACGCCTTGAGGATTTGCCAATTGCATCAGACTGTTTCCTTTGCCGTGACCACCAGCGACAATTACTCCTTCCTTGGCACCTTCGATCCATCGGACCACTCGATGATTGCCCCAGTCTGATATATAAATAGAGTTATCATCGTGAACGAAAATAAACGTCGGATTATTCAATTGGTCCAGTCGATCACCTTTTCCATTTCCACCAGCTACTAATCGTCCACTTGTATCATTCGCTTTCCATCGTCTAACTTCATGCTTTTCCCGATCGGAAATATAAAAAAATCCTTGTTTGTCAATACTTATTCGGCAGCAATCAATATTGGAAATAAGAACTTGACCGTTTGTTCCATTTCGACGCGGCCAACTCACTACACGCTTGTTTCCCAGATCACAAATGATCAAATGTGTTCCATCCTTATTGAGAGCGATGTCTGTTGGACCACTCAGTTGATTGGATTGTTTGCCTTGCCCATTACCACCAGCTACTACTCTGCCAGTTCTCGCGCCCAACTTCCATTCCACAATGCGATGATTTTCATTATCAGCAACGTAAACAGTTTGCTCGTTGTCAACAAAAATTCCAACTGGCCGCGAAAGTTGATCTAGCTCACTGCCCATCCCATTGCCTCCAGCTACAGTCAAACCACTATGGACTTCGAAATTTTTTAAATCAAACTCAAATAATGACAGTTCTATAAGGAGACAACAAGTCAATCGCTATCTCGTACAGGATCATTCCTTACCGGATGTGTCAACATAAAGCTTACTGAGAAACGACGTTGATTCTTCTCCAATTGAAATAGTTAACGATTCTGCGAGTTCTTTTGTTAATTGATTGAGTTCTTCATGAAAATTACGTAAACTGATTTCATTGAAATCGTTCTCCTGCCGTTTCTGTCGTAGTTGTTCCGTTAATTTGCTCAATTTCAATTCAAGTTCCTGGAAATACTGATTTTTTGTTTCAGTCAACGTCCGTTTGGTTTCTTCAGCTGTTTGTTGAATGATTTCAATCGATCGTTGCGCCCATCGATCAATTTGTTCGAATAGATCGTCGCTATTCGATTGTTCAATATGTTCGGTCAATGATTGTCGAAAAATGTCTCGATTAACTTCGATTTCATCGAACTGCTTACTTAACTCTAATTGATGATCTCCCAGATGTTGATAACAAAAATCTTCGGAGCAACCTCCGCATTTGAATGTTACTTTTTCTTTCTTACACGTCACACAATAGGTTTTACTAGTTGCTGCTGCCATGTGATCAATTAAGAAATGAAACAGAAAGCGAAAGAAACACATGTTCTCATTCGCACGTCGTTGTTGACGAAACAATAGTAGAAATCGCACGTGTGACGACAAATTTGTTTTATTCAAAAACGAAGTCAGTCCAGATTTTCTACAAGCAAACCCCAATGAAGCAGATAAGAATCGTTCAAAATACGAAAAGAGTACATAGAATTGTCAGAAGAATGCTGAATTTAATTGTGATCACACTTGATTTTGTGCAATCCACTTTAGCACAGTCGTCAAATTGTATTTGGTATCGAGTATGATCTTCCAAGCCTTTGACACCAATGAATGCGTACTCTCCAGTCGGTGCATTTGGTTTGTCAATGACTAATGTGACTTCGCTGCTCTTTTTCGGAGTGGCTTCGATGATCGATCTTGTTTCTGATTCGTAATCGAAAAAGTCAGCTGGGTCTTTCGGATTTCGATTTGTAAAAGAATAGAACAATTTCACATTACCATTGAATAACGTAACTTTGATCAAAGTTTTGTTTGACATCAGGATAATTTTGATTTTCAGAAATTTATACCTATCTTTTTGAATTTCATCTGTAACTGTTGTATTCGATGAGATCAGACCTGGTTCGGAACACGCTTTCGATTTGAACTGATTGATTCTGCTTTGTAATGCCTGATAGTCTGACATAGCAAAATAATTTTCTGCAGGTGGCGATGAGCAGATAGCATGCAATTCTACAAGATTTACTTGACCACCTACACCAACACTAACTAATGTAATGTCTTTGTCTTTTAAAATCTTTGCTGCTTGAATTGTTGCAGGTGGATTATCGCTTGCACCATCCGTAAGTACAAATATGACTGGAGTGACCCCCTGTTCTAATTTTCGACGACCATTTGCAATTGAGAAAACAGTATCTGCTGTTTTAAGTGCACTAGCAGTATCCGTACCACTACCATAATATGTTGCTCGATCAACCTGACGAAGCTTTTCACTCAATGCGTAATTTTGATTTAGCCATGTCAACACCTCCTGATCAGTTGAATAGTTAATAATACCAACATGAGTTTTATTTTGCCCGACATTCAATTGACGAAGTAGACCTCGTGTAAAGTTCAATTGAAGTGTATAATTGTCCTTACCGATGCTACCGCTGGCATCAAGAACGAGTCCAAGATCGAGTTTTAACTCTTGTGCACACGAATCCAAGCAACAACGAACGTGACTTGGGCTCTTTGGGCATGGCTGAGCTTTCGGAGTACTACATCCACAGAATGAACTGGACTCTTCTAGACCTTTGATACACCCGGGTGTACACGTGCCTAAATGAGTATTGTTGTAGATACAACTTGGCCCTTCTCCTTGATACAAGTCACTACTACATTGTAATTGACGAAGAAATGTTTGATAATATTTAACAGCAGTTGCCAGTTCTGTCACATCTCTATTCAGCTTATGCCTTTTTAAACACAAATTATGCATCGAAGTTATGTTATCTATTATACTTACCATAGCATAGAAAACCCGTAAAATGATCCATCAGTATCGTGTGTCAATGAAGATTCTATAAAAAAAGAAAATTCATACCGATACAAAGCGATGTGTTTCAATTTACTATTTATTAAATCGGGATAATTCCAGAATCTTGCCGCGATAATAATAGCGTTTTCAAGCAGTGCGACAGATTCCGAGTTGTTGACAGATTGATATTGTGGAAATACCGCTTGTAATCGTTCATACATAGTTCTTCCTCGAAGACCGAATAGTCCACGTCGACGGAAACGTGACCCATCACCTTTTTGCTTATTTCCATATTTGTCATCGTCAGCAGTGAACTGCGCGTCACTAGCAGATCGTTCATCTATTGAGAAATTCTTCGTCATCGTCGCTGCTATTGCCAGGAAAGCAGCTTTTGCTTGACAATGGTTGCATATACCAGAAGCATTCATTCCATAGTTGAAGATATTCAGAAGACTTTGTGCTCGAGGTGTATTGTTATAAAGTGCATGGAATAGTTTTGGCGGTAGACAATTAGGTGAAACTGGCAGTGCTCTGGTTGGAATGCAACATAACTGTTTACCGCAGGCGGTTGAAGTCAACAGAGTTCCAGAACAGTTATGCGCAGATGAACATTGGCCCGTGATAGACTGATTGAATCCTGCTGAGCATTGTTGACCATTTACGATCGATATCAGCAATGATACCAACAGCATGACTATTAGACAAGCCATTCTTGTCTCGGATAAGAGTTATTGAAACGATTGGATGTGAATGTGTCGAAAATATTTATACGAATGAAAATTTGATACACAAGACGGACTTTATTAGGAAAAAAGATTGCATTACCAAATATAAATACGATCTGATATAAGTTTTTTCGAAGATGACTGTTCTCTTTCGTATCCTATGTACAGTGGAACATTTATAAGCCCTACGCAAATTTTATGCAACCCGCGTATCCTTTTGATTCAGCATGAGAAATTTTATATGAAACCCACAGGATGGGCAAAATAAATCAATACATTTAATCGTTATTCACTAAATATAACAAACGGGGAGGCTAGATGCATGTGCTTAATCAAACACGCAGACAAAATCATATATGGTAATACGATATAGTTTTATGCGTTGGGATAAGGATTAGTAGCTGGATATGATCAGTCAGCAGACACGTATTTTCGATCGTGATGAATGAAGAAATTTTCCAGAGGCTGAATATTTACATCTGTCGATATGTACTAAACGATCTTTCATACAAATAAAAAAGAAGACAGACAGTGAACCCGAAGAAGTGTTTTGCCGTTATTACGATGTTTCAGCGTGAACGAACAGCATTGCGTTCACATATACAGATGCTTAGAATAAGAAAAAAAAGAAAAGAAAAAAAAATGAGGCGCAGATATTTCACGGAAGTTGCATGAGCCATGGTTACCACTGTTTACGTGTAGTAAAAGGAAGAAAGAAAACTCTTGGTAAGTTGTGAAAAAAGATCTTCGAAATGCAACAAATTAGAACGTTTTCTCCTTCTCCGCGATGTGAATCTGTAAAAATATTCTTCCTTGTAGATCATGAATGATACACATGCAACAGAGAATGTAAAAGACTTAACTTGGGTTGGACTTATTTCTCGAGCAGTGGCGAAAGGAAAACTCCTCGGTTCGACATGCCATTTGTACTCATCAAATACAATCGACAAGGATACAAATAATCCAGACCCTTGCGTGTGTGGTCGTCGGAAGAGTATTCATAGTTTTGCGCAGGATCCACTTACCCATCTTCGTCGGAGTAGTATTTGGGAAGAATCAAAATATGCTACTGAAGCCCACGTTTCGGTATACGGCGTTTGGAAGAGTAAAACGAAGGTATACTTGCATACAAAACAAGAATTATTTGATTTTTATCTATAAAAAATGTCTTGTAGTTTGTACGTTGGGACCATACACGAATCAAAATAACTACAGACGCCGCGAGCGATCGGACGGAGAAGTAAGTGTGTCTTTTGATCAAGCATTTCGAAGTATCTTTTTTAAAGAACCAGTCTTTCGACTATGGCTGAAATACTACGTGATGATGCGAAAGGTAACACACCAGATTTACTCATTAGTTGCTATGGGGGTGCGAAATATTTCAAAATGAATGATAAACTAGAGAAAGAATTCATGGAAGGTATCGGCCTTGCTGCTGCTACTGAAGGTAAACTCAATGTCATAGAGGAAATTTTCTTTAGAAAAGTATATATGTATATATTTTGAAGGTGTTTGGTTGTTAACTACTGGCTTAAATAGTGGAGTGTCCAAAGTAATCGGTCAAAGTGTTGAACGCTATGCATTACTCAACGAAAAAGCATCAAATTATACTGTCATCGGACTTAGTAGTTGGGGTTGTTTGTCTGACCGTACACGTTATGTTCTTAAAAAACAGGTAGGAATCTTAGGATAAAGCATGACTGAATTACTTCTCTCCTTCAGACACAATTAGATCTCGCTAAAAACCAAACCAAACGCACAAGTGTTCCGAAAATGACCGGAGCATTTGTTATTCGAAACATCAGTAACGAAGATATTTTATGGTCAACAATCGATGAAAATCAGCCTGATACGTTTGAAACTAATCATACGCATTTGCTGTTACTTGATGATGGTAGTCAGGGTGAACGTCGTACATCGGCAGGGACTGAACCATTCTATATTTCCGATACTCCACGTTCTGATCTCGTTCGTCAACTGAAAAAACTAACTGAATGTCACGCAGTTACAATTCTCGTTGAAGGTGGCCTAAGTTCTCTTGATGTTATTCAACACGATATCAGTGCACAACGTCCCGTTGTCATTATACATGGTAGTGGTCGATTAGCTACTGCTATAGGAAACTTATTAGAACTAGCTGACGATCATACATTAATTGAGTATGAAAGCTAGATGAAAATAAATGGCATACTAGTCAGAAGTTCATTTTTTTCAGAAAAGAGGAAATCAAACGTCAATTGAGGAGTTTTGCAAAACAACGGCATCTAAATGACACACTCCTCTCAAGCATTCAATCAACATTAGCACCAGCAAATCGAGCGTATTTAACTTTATTCCGACTCGACGACAAAACTAGCCTTACTGATACGATTTTCCTGGCTGTTTTCAAAGGTAAGTATTGTAATTGCCGATTTCATCATAGTACACATCTTCATTCGGAACGTATAGCATACATGCATCGAGAAAACACTCAACGAACTGGAAACAGTGAGCATATGAAGAAAATGTTAGATTTAGCTGTTAAATGGAATTATATCAACGGTATAGTGCAGAATACTAAAGTATGACTTGTAGGATCAAAGCAGATGTTTGATTCTTATTTTTGTGCACGTAGATTATTCTAAACAATCCAGAATGGAGTGCCGATTTATTCGAGAGAGCACTTTTGACTAATCGTCCTGCAATTGTCGATTATTTTCTTCGCAGACAACACGATATACTTGAAACAAAAGAATTTGTCAAGTCTAAGCCGAAGAGTATGTCGGACATAGCTGCGATGTTTCGAGCTGCGATGACAACGATGCAAATTGGCAAGACTACAGCAAACATTCAACTTCAGGTTTCAACACCCGGTGAAATAACTACTCAAGAAAAGGATGAAGCAATGCTACGCGCTTCGTTTTCTCTCAAATTTATTGTTACTCAATTATACGCTATGACGACGAACATATATATTAAAGTAAAACTATTTCTTGAAAACTGGGGTTATTTTGTTTTTGTTAATTAGAGTTCTTATCCTGTCTGTTCGCCTGGCGATCTCGATCGACTCTATTATAGGCTGATTGGACCTTACACGGAGTCATTCTTCTATAAACTATCAACAAGAAACCGTCTAGCGAACGATATTCGTAACAAACTTCGTTCTCTCCTAACGCGATTTAAATATCTGACGAGAAAGTCAACGGTAGTGCCGCTTCAAAGGCCAGATGAGCGAAATATAGACGCTTTTTCAGAGAACAACACAGAAAGAATTGTTTCTCCTATAATAGTTCTGGCTAAACCAGATCCACTCCAGGTGTGTTTAGAATGTTTTCCTGCTCCTGACACGTTCGGTAGTCAGGAAATGTTACGTGAGATTTTCCTATGGGCAGTCATCGAAGGATACTCGGAAATGGCATTTATTCTATTACTTCAAATCAAATCTCGCATCAGTGCAGCACTCATAGCTGCCGGTATTACCAGTCGTTTGATGTCGACGTACGATGGATATCTTGATCGATTACATAAGTTTCGAAAACAATCCAGTGACTACGAACGATTTGCTACGGCGTGTATCGATGATTGTTATCGACGAAATGAACGCCGAGCTTGTCAATTACTCTTACGTGAGACGCCTCTCTTCGGCAATGTAACTTGTATGCAAGTATGCTTCTCTTTATCAATTGAATTGATTTCAAACAAACGAAGACATGTTCTAGATCGCAATAAGTTCCCGTATTCGATCATTTATTAACAGTCGATGTTTTAACCAAGTACTCAATCGACAATGGTATGGAGTTTTGTGCCAATCGACAAATCGCTCATTACTGTCCAAGATCTTATTCATCATGAGCCTTTTATCGATGGGTCTTCTCGCTCCATTATTAATCACCTATCGGAATGATTTTCCCGAGGAAAATCAACCGAGACAGGTAGTTGTCTACTTGTCGATACTTTCGTTCGGATCAGATCATCGTTCATTTTAGTTCAATATTTCTACCGAGGAAAAAGATGTGTCACTCAAACAACGTCGTTGGGAAGGTATCGAAGATCAAGACGGAACAAAATTGAATTACATTCAGAAAGTTCGGCACTTTCATCGTACACCCATCGTCCGAATGAGTTACGATTTCGTACGTTATTCTTATTTCACCACACGAACTCATTCGTCTATATTTAGCTATTCTACATCTGGATGCTTCTTGCTTTCAGTAACGTGATGCTATTCGAAATGAAATCTCCACATAGCGAACTACATTGGACAGAGATCTACGTCATCGTCACCATATCTTTGATGTTGATTGAAGATATTCGAAAGGTATAATTAAATCAATGATTCTAATCGAAAGAGAAGATCTTCTTGAATAGTGTCTCATGGAATACATAACACAAATGTTAGAGCGATGGCATCAATCTGATATGTGGATGATATTCGTATATGCGCCACCGTACGTTTTATTTTACATTGGTATTGCATTGAAATTTGCTTCGAAAATTCGACCAGACTTTTTTACACCTGCCAGGTATTTGTTAACATATTGCTCAATAACTTCCCTCGCTTTCTCGTTTTAGAATTGTTTTAGCAATTGATTTAGAACTATGGTTTTTATTTTCCTTACGTTTTGTAAGCGCTGTTAAACTTCTTGGACCAAAACTATTCATGATTAGAAATATGGTATGTAACTTACTTGTTACGCGAACGGCTTCGGCCATAATTATCGTAAAATAAATCTCCTCTAGCTACGCGATTTGACTGGATTCATTTACATCATATTTGTTTGTATTGCTGCCTATGGTATCGTCTCTCGATCACTAACAAGATATTCATCAATCGAAATGAATGCGAAAAATCTATCAAGTAGCATTCTGTATCGACCCTATTGGTTTCTGTATTCAATTGTTGACGATGAAAGAAACGAGTTAGATGGTAAATAATGATTTTTGACTATGAGCATGGTCTATGTTGTGTTTCGTATTATCAGGTATTATTGAATCACCATCGAGTAGTTCGGATGAAGTATTCGAAGCAACCGTCAATCAAATATTACTTGCTTTTCATATGCTTTTTATTAACATTCTGATCCTGAATCTCCTGATTGCTGTTTTCAAGTGAGAAGAATGAGGACAGACATGTGAAAGATTATTTTCTATTTTCAATTAGCTTTACTATCATGGATGTTCAAGACAAATCTGAATATCTCTGGCGTTATCAACGATATGAATTAATTCGAAATTATTTCGAACAACCCTTATTAGCTTTTCCGCCCTTGTCGATTGTGGGTTATTTTTGGACATTGCTCAAATATTGTCTTCGACGTCGAGATGTTGCGCGGATATTTAGTGAGTGAGAGTTGTTTGATTGATCAAACGAGCTGTGTGATTTAGAACGTTTCGCTACCAAACAATCGAACAACGAATGGACAAACTTTGAGAATGCAGCTACGTATAGCTATACTCGAACTTTTGTCGATCGAATGTACGCCGATAGTTCGACGCTCGTCATACCAACGTATGTTTTTGTATCGATTGAACATCGGCGTAAAACTTCGTATGTATAGGTTCTCGGAAACGGATGAATTAAAAGCGGAAATCGAAGATTTGAAACGTAAAAATAATGAAATGCGTGTTGTCATCGATAATTTGAATGCTCAATCGAAATTGGTATGCATTGATGAAACAATAGAATCCTTTTGAAGGTATATGACTCTGAGCTATTTTAGTCGATCCCGGCTATGAATTGGATGATGACTGCAATGGATCGTGTTAAAATGTCGTCTCAACGACCACCACCACTATTGGTGTCTGCCTCTGCACCGGATACACGAGACGAAATATAACAACGTCTATAGAGGACCTTTTCTCTATGGTGAATAGTTTTTTGTGATGAATAAAATGAAATATTTACTAAATATCGATTGGCAATCTCGTAACATATTGATTCAGTTAAAATAAAACACGGTGAATGATACATCGATTATAGCTACTGGAATGATCGGTCGGTAATTTCAATATGTCTATAATGGAAATAAGTATGTCCTATAAGACTAGGGAGCAAAAGTCGCAAACAGTCTTGCCGAAAACGACTGCAATCTCTTTTAAGTCATGCAAATATGAACAAAGTCAGGGCTGTGATCATGTATCTATAATATAAAAGATTCTTTGTGTGACGATTTTAGTGTAAGACATGTATGCGCTGATAGAACTAAGCCCTTACTTATTTTTCTCTCTCTAAAATCGCACCATACTGGTACAAGACACACATCCGTCGAATACAAGAAAAGGAAAGGTGATCAGATGTGCATCGAAATGCGCCCAAAGTACGGATAAATAGCATGTGCACTACACGTGTAACAGGAGCCGTACTAGTTTGTTCAAACAAAACTCTTTGGATTTCTCCGATGTCATTATCAGAAAACCAGTTCAAATGGTGTTTGTCCGAAAAAGGTATTTTTCATTCCAGGTTGTTTTCTTTCTTAATTTTGCCATGGTTCAAAATAGTGACAAAATAATGTTTATTTCTTCTTTCTAGTTAACATTTCTTTTTTTTTACTTCCAAGTAGAAACTGTACATTGTAGGATGCTGTATCTCTTCATCAGTTATTTTTTTATTCCTCTTGTCCATGCTGTTATCGTAACACAAGTTCATCGATCACGAATCTTTTATCCTGCATCGTCTTGTTTCTTTCTTCGCAATGCTTCGTCAATGGTTAATCCATCAATTCAATCATGCACTTGGGAATGTATTTATGAAAATAATTGTTGTACAGCTGTGTATGATTATGATCACAAAGTCTGCTCATTGTTCAGTGAAACATGTAGTCTAAACAGCATCCAAGCTCCATCTGGAAATGTTCGAGCCAGTGTGATCTGTTGCAGACGAAGTTACGGTATGCATATATTAGCTAACGATCACACATTAGCGTATTCGGCATTTTAGGAGCTAAGACTGCTTGCCCCTCTATAGGTGCTACGACTGTACTGACTCCGGCGAGCACCTCGTCAAGATCAACATCAACATCGCCCAGCACCTCGTCAAGATCGACATCAACATCAACATCGACCAGCGCCTCGTCAGGATCAACATCAACATCGACCAGCACCTCGTCAATAGCAATATCAACTGGTACCTCACTCATATCAACATCGACTACGTGCACCAGTTGTGTCATTGTCCCATCTCATCAAAATTCCGCATCAAACTACCAAGTTGAACACATTAATTTCAACTGTACTTCGTCACTTTCCAATTTTACACTGGTTTACGTCGTTAAACGCAGCAACAACGAAACATACGCGCAGCAATATGCAACTTTTTGGAGTGGAATAACAAACATGACTGCGGTTCAAACCGCTTCCGCCGTAACATACGTGTGGTATACCCTACCAGATGCGATAATTAATTTCGCAGGTTTCCCATATGCTGCTGAGGCTCAATTCCATCACGATAGTAATGGACCATCGCGCTACACAGGTGATGATACATGGTCAATGACATTCCAGTCGGTCTGCAGCGATTGGGTCAATTATACTGGCACGTTTTGATTTCGATTACAACAGCAAACGACTTGCCCTACGATATAGCTTCTACCATGTAGTTTTTTATGATACTACAGGATGCCTTTCCGCTGAAATAAAATAAATGTTCCATAATGATTGTCGGTTTGTGTTCTTTATCGTAATACATTGTCACTGAACACACCAAATAAACTAAATGTGCTTATATAATATATGACTATGTTTTGTACTTTTTCGGACACAAATTTTGGTAACCAGGATGATATTTTATATGACTGCCTGCCATCTATCTTCCTAACAAGTGACTGAATGGAGCATTCATCAATAGAAATTTCCTTTGAAATCTCATACACGAAATCTATTCTAACAATAACGGTTATTGTGTTCAGAGATCTCGTAGCGTCATGGCTCTCTCCCGACTCCAACTAACGCCGGATATGAGTATTTGTCGCATTTTAAACGGCATGTGGCAAGTGAGTGGTAGTCATGGACACATAGATCCCAAAGCTGCGGTAAAGCAGATGTTCGATTATTTGGATGCCGGCTATACGACATGGGATCTTGCTGATATTTATGGTCCTGCTGAAGATATCATGGGTGAATTTCGACGTCAATTACTTGCAGCACGCGGTCAATCTGCTTTGGATAGTCTGCAGATTTTTACTAAATGGGTGCCACATCCAACAGCGATGACAAAAACGGTGGTAGAGCAAAGTATTAACAAATCTTTAACAAAAATGGGTATGAACTCATTAGATTTGCTTCAATTTCATTGGTGGGACTATGGTAACAATAGTTATCTCGATGCTCTTCGATATTTATCTGAACTTCAAAGCGAAGGCAAAATTAAACACTTAGGTTTAACTAATTTCGATACAAAACGATTGAAACAAATCTATGAAGCAGGCATTACAATTGTCTCGAATCAAGTACAATATTCTATCATCGATCGTCGTCCCGAAGTATCCATGGTCCCCTTTTGCCAACAGAACAATATTAAACTTCTCACATATGGAACCGTCTGTGGTGGTCTATTATCAGACAAATATCTTAATCAGTCGGAACCACGTAGTGCAGATCTTATAACTGCTAGTTTAAAAAAGTATAAGAACATGATCGATCGATGGGGTGGTTGGCAATTGTTCCAAGAGCTTCTTACAGCACTCAGACGCATTGGAGATAAATACAATGTTAGTATTGCTAATGTTGCTATACGTTATATTCTCGACAAGCCAGCAGTAGGAGGTGTTATCGTTGGCGTTAGACTAGGGAAGAGTGAACATCTACAAGACACAGCTAAGGTATCTCAATTTATTCTCGACACGGATGATGTTGAACAGATTGAGATTGTATCTCGGAAATCACGAAATTTATTCCAAAGTATAGGTGATTGTGGTGATGAATACCGTTAGAAGAGTTCTTTTTTTTCATTGAAATACTATTTTATTATTCAAGTAAAAACTTCGTTTTGAGTCATGCTGACAACATGAATAAACATATAACACAAAAAAGATAAGAAAACGATAATGTTTTCTTTTTCAACAATCATAATCATACAAAGATGGCCATGGAAGACACGCGTGCTCTAGATACAGCTTGGATTATCGAGCGTGCCGACGAAGTTCGTCGAACTGGAGCGACTATCATTCCAAATGTCCTGCCAGTCGATAAAATCGATGAACTTAATCGAGTTTTTCAACCATTATTGAAAGAAACCGAATGTCTCGAAGACGGAGCAGGCAATCGTGGACCACACCGATACTACATCACACCACCATTTCAACCACCGTGGACAGATGCGTCAATTATCAATAACGATATTATTCTAGCTATTGTTTCTGAATTAGTCGGCACAGATGGTGTATTTTGTCAACTGGCAACAGACACGCCATGTTTAGGTTCCGAGTATCAAGATTTACATCGTGATACACAATCACTTTTTCCTGAATGGGAACAAGAACCGCCACCCTACCAATTAGCTGTGAACTTTCCTCTGGTGGATTGTCATGAAGAAAATGGACCGTTCGAAATGGCACCATCGACACATCTGTTACCGAAAGAAGAAGCAATTCGTCGAATTGAATCTGGTGAAATATCATTACAACAGGTTCTCATGAAACGGGGTGATATTCTTATTCGAGACGTTCGACATATACATCGAGGAACACCAAACCGTACGAATGAGCCACGGCCTATGGTTGTACTCGGTTATAGCCGACGTTGGTTATTTCGACCAGAAGTTCAAATACGTGTTGCTCGAGAAGTGTTAGAACAAGTGCCAGCAAGAACACGTCAATGGCTACGATTTAATCCCGTATTTAACACTTTAGAAGAAGCACAAAAAGACAAAGAATTGTATCGTTCATTTGCTTATTGAAACGACTATGTACGATTCATTACTTTTCATTAGATAAAAGACATAAAAATACATCTCTGAATAAAATTTGAAACTTATTAAAAATAAAGATAGTTTTACGTATTATATTACACGAACAATATTGAACAGAAAAAGCGTGAATCACAAACAGTTTGAGCTGAATTATTATAAAAATGACAGTATGTCTTTTCAAATAAGTTGAAACCGTTGAATTCGTTTGTTCGATGTATCACTAACGTAAAGATAAGTTTCATTGACGTCAGCAGTCACGCGGTACGGAGAATTCAACATAGTAGAATTGCTGCCTACAACACCCGTCGGACTTCCGGCAACTGTTACTCCCGAGGTCGCACCAACCTTCCAGCGCTGAATTCGATTGTTCATGGTATCTGCTATATAAATAGCGCCTGTTTTATTTGATACCCAAATGCCATACGGTGATCTCAGTTGATTACTGCCAGATCCGGCGCCATTATTTCCTGCAACGGTCGTTCCTACCATTGGTATGCTACCATTTAAGAAATAGCGTTGCACACGATGGTTCGATGTATCGACGACGTACAACAAGGAGTTGTATTCATCGAGATGCATAGCAGAAGGATTGTTTAGACTCATGGAATCACTTCCTGCAGACCCTGTGCCGGCAATTATATAACCGCTAGTAGAGTTAGGTGCGTATTTCAACACTCGATTGTTGAAAAAGTCCGAAATGATCATATTACCGTGACTATCGACTCGTACTCCAGACGGATTGTTTAACGAGTTTCCTCCGGAGCCAGTACCTGCCACTATTTTTGGTACCGGTAAGGTACTTTGCATGTTGGAAAACAAGATTATTCTGTTGTTACCTGCGTCAGTAACATAAAGGTTATTTCCATGACGGATGTCTAAGTATATATTGTATGGATGATTGAAGGACTCACCATTCGTCCAGTTACGAAATACAACTGAACCATTGTTTTCAGGAGAATTGCTGTCAGAAAATTGCACGATTTGATTTCTTGTTCCATCTGCTATCAGAACTATCGATTGATTTACTGCAATGCTCATTGGTTGGCTCAGACCACCATTCGAATTGCCTGCTATATAACTATTTTGATCGGCAATAGTCACACCAGCATATACGGATAGCGCTTAAAAAGGAAACTAAATGATTATTGTCATAACTAACTTACATTGGAGTATAACTTACGTCCACATTGATCCAGACGCAAACAAAACAGGTGAATATCTTGTCGACACATTGATTTACTCTGATTACAAGGCGAACCAACTAGGGGAGATTGAGGTAGACACATCGAGCTATCCCAATAATGGTGTGGGAAGCATTCACACCTTGAACCATTCTTACATGTTAGATAGCGACTGTGTTCGCATTGAGATGGACATGGAAGACCATGTGCAGCGAACAGTGTTGACGTCGTTTGAAGAACGCCAACGCGAGAATTTGCTGATGGAGATGAAATAGCGCTGCCCATAGTTGTTAGATCACCTTCAAAGAGACGACATTGTTGAGGAAGATAGACTTCATAGTCAAAGATTCGGCATAAGCTCTGCATATGACAAACAATTGCACATCGTCTCAATGAATTGGTCGATAATGTCGAGATAAGCTGAGCAGAGAAATTTGCCGGCAAAAACTGTTTGCCAGGGCTGAGATAATCGAAGCGAGACTGAGAAAATGTCTGCGAGTTAACTGAGTTCAGAAACCAAAAGAGAATAATCGCATATTGTTGCTGTATACAAATGCACAGCAGCATCATTCGCCAACTATTTGAAAGAGTGAAAGTTCATCACGTATATTTGAAAAAGTTGGAATTACCCACCTGCGCAATAACTGTCATCTATGTCTTATGGACACAATAGACACTTTCGCAAGATTGAGTATTCTTAGTTCGAGCATCTCTCATTCTTCTTTTCTAAAACAATTATCGAAGCTTCACATGCGTTTATTTTTGTCGTTCGCGTCAATACTCTCAAGCTACTCAGAGCATGTCACCATAAGCGTTTCTAAAAATTGTATCTTACCTGACTCTCAAAATTCAAACCAAGTGTAGAAGTTCCCACGCCAATCATTATTCATTTAATTCGGAAAAAAACATTCGCAAAAAAGAATCATGCAGCAATTTTAGTTTTTAGAAGTTGATGAATTATCGAAAAGGCTCTGAGCATGACCATCGAACGCTTGACATAATCTTTCAATCCATTCATTCAACTCCTCTCCTTGGTCATTCCAGATTTCTTTCGTAAGTTCCGCATCTAACATACGACAATAGGCGTAACGGCCGAAAATGATATAATCCACTTGACCTGGATGTGTACCCTGAAAATATTCATTCGGTCGTTCATGTAAGATTTGTGCTAGTGGTTGTACGTTCATTTTCGCACGTCGGGTCAATTCCTGACGATCGAGGGCAAGCAGTTTCTGATAACCTTGTGGGCCCAGCCGTGCGTCTGATGTAAAATAAGCTCGGTGCTCATCGCCAGTTATTAGTTTGTCCTGTTGGGGAAAGAACAGTTCATACCAAACCGCCCATTCTGATTTCGAAGCCCCAAGACCCAAATCAACTAAACGACTGTAATTCTTCCCTAAGATAACATGTTCAGGTTGACTCTCGCGAGACGATTTACCATCACCAGTGAAAAGTGATGGAGCATCGGGGTAAGTCGTTTCCAGCCATTCGGCAATACGAAATGAATCGTAGATGAACGTACCGTCGAGTAGTTCAATTGCTGGTATAGTTATATCTGAGCAACCGGAACGTTGAGCAAGTTCACCTCGTAGTTGAAGAAAAGTGGTTGGAATAGTTTCGAATTGAACGTTTTTATGCAGTAAACCCAAACGAGTTTTCCATGCTGTTGGAGAAAAGTAACAAGTGGATTGAAGGGATGCTACAAGATCGTATAGCTTAATCTTTTGATTCATTCTTTACAAAACGGTATGAATGTAAGAATTGCGAGCATTTAGTTTTGATTCTTATCTTATCTTCGCAACTCAATGACGACAAGGAAAAGAACAAAGAAGAGAGTATTTAGTTTATTTGAAAATGTTTTCATGCATTCTTCTTGACACACTCTAGATTGTTTTTAAACGATTGAATTAGCTGTTGATCTGGCGGTGTTACTTTCTCTGCAATTCTCACAGCGTGTTCACAAAACGCGATTGCATTTGTCTGCTGACCCATTCGAAAGTAAACGACACCAATATGCCCATAACATCGAGCTAAATCCGGGTGATTTGAAGGAAGAGTTTTCTTCAAAATCTCCAGTGCTTTCTCATGGCATGACAACGCTTTGGAATATTCTTTCATTTTCTCGTATAAGCTGCCGATATTCACATTCGCTGCGGCTAGATCGGAATGTGTTGATGAGAAGGATTTTTGCAGGATTTCCAGTGCTTTTTCATAATATGAACGTGCTAGGTCAAGGTTATTCATCTCGACATATATCATACCCATATTGTTATATAGCGTAGCTAAGCTAGGATGATTCTCGGGAAGAGTGTTCCTGTAAATTTCTAATGCTTTTTGGAGATATCCAAGTGCTGTCGAATAATCAAGATCTTTTAAACAGATTAAACCGACGTTATTATAATATGCTGCGAAGTCTGGATGATTGGGTGGAAGATTTTTCTGGTAGATATCAAACGCTTTATTGTAAGAATCGATCGCTGCATCATGTTCGCCCAACTGTTGATAGACATAAGCGATATTATTGTATAATTCCGAAATATCCGAGTGATTTATAGATAAAATATTCTTTCGTTTTTCCAACGCTCTTTTGTAGTATCGAAGCGCTCTGGAATAGTCAGCTTGCTTGCAATGAACTAAGCCCATACCATTATAGCATTCTGCAACGTTTCTTTCGTCTGATGAAGTATGTCGAGATAGATCCAGCGATTTTTCAAACAATGAAATGGCTTCCGAATACTTTCCTTGGTGATATTTGCTCAAGCCTAATTGGCAGTGTATATGCGCACGCTCATGTTCATTCGGATTTTCATTCAATAGGATTTGATATAAACTTTCCGCTTTTGTATATTGACCTAATTTAAGCATGAGTTTTCCTAGTCGATACCATCCTGTTGATCCTTCTGTTTCGTTCCTCAAGCATTCAGTTAACTGTTGAAGTTGCTGATCGTTCTCGTTCGTTAATGTTAAATACACCTTCTTTAGCAGATCACAGGAATCAGTTGGTTCGATCTTTTCAATACGAAAAATCGCGTGCATGGAAAAAAGAATTTCCTCTTCTTTTTGAAAGTTACTCTGTGAACTTATATTTGCGAAAGGCGTTGATGATTTCGATGGATCAATGGTCATAACAAACAGAATTTGTACTGAATCTGTCGTTTGTTCCTTCTTTCGAATGAGTTCTAGTGAGACCTCTTTCTTTTTGCTTGTCGATAAGAACTGATTGAACGATAACAATCCACCATTGCTTTTGCTCAGTTTATCGAAATCTTCGTTTGACAAACTTTGACTTCGATACAACTTGAGTAGCTCCAACGGTCGGTGTCTTCCATATTCTTGTGAATGTAAACGGGCAATTTGATTATGAAGATCGCGAATGAAAACGGCTGTTTTGATCATCGCATCGACATTCATCGTTCGTAAATCCCTATTGATCATTGAGTAAAGAAAAGTTTCTTGCGTGTACAGATAAATTGCATTACGTTGTTGGTAGTTCTGGGAGATTTGTTTGATTATTTCCTCATCCTCTAGTGTTCCACGAGAATGTGCCCGACAATGATTGAGAAATTCTCGAAAATGTCTCTGTTCGAAATTGATGGTGAGGAAAATCTCTTTTAGTATCTGCGTGTACATATACGATTTATCCAGTCCGTTGAGATTTTGAGTCGAGACGTCATTTGCGCCGACAAAACTTATCGAAACCAAATCTTGACCTTGGTCTTGACGTGTTTGTTTGAGCGATTTGCAAATCAAGTCGAAATCTGTATAGACACCTTTGACTTTGGACCAATTGCGCGCCCATTGTTCATGTCGAGTGCGATTCTGACAAAAGATATAGATCGTATCGACTTGAGGACGATTATGAATTACAGGAACTGTTGTTTCGCCTAATGAACCACAAGAAATTAAACAAAGTCTTTCATTCGAAAGACTATTAATCGCCATAATGCATTTGTCGACATCTGTGTATGTTTCGATAATGTCAACGATCTGTTGCAGTTCTCGGAGGGAATTTTGACTATGTTTATTGTTGAAATCATTATCAAGCCAGAACAGGCGCAAGCCTTGACTTGAAGAAGTCGGTGTACTTTGCCGTGGCCGTTTAATAGAAGCGCTGCTCGTTAATTTTCGCAAAGCACTCATCGTGTTTACAACAAAAATGAAAAGGAAAAAGACGGTTGTCTTGCCAGATAAAGACTTTGCTTTCTCGGCGAATGAAAAAGAAAAGAAACTATCATAAAGATAACACTTCGCTTCATCAACATGTTATTTTTCAACGAATTTTATTGTTGTGCGGATTGTGTCGTAGAAAAAAAACGAGAAAGAATGATATTTATGACTAGTTACTGTCATATTTAATGTATGATTTATTAAAATATATTCGCAATCCTTGCGTGAGTAAAATAGATCATAAAATGAGAATAAATAAATAAATGAATGGATATGAAAGACTAATTGAATGGGTAATGTTTCAAGTAGACGATGTTTGCTGTTGTTGATTAGATATTTGATCGTATGCTGCATTGAACATTGAACGAGAAATCATTCCTGTTCGATGGTAATGCGTTTCTGTTGAAATGTAAGGCATAAGTTGTTGGTATGTCGTACATAATCTGTCAGCGGCTTTCTTTCGTTCGTGTTCTTCACTTTTCTCATCGCCGGACTGTGTTTTTGCCCATTTTAATGTCATATCTAAATATGTTTTCGCTGCTTGTCTATGTTCCATCTGCGCTTGTCTCTTGCCTTGCTCGTCATTGTGAATGGCTGCTAAACGAACTTCGTCGTTTTTAGTCAGTGGAGTATATTTGAAATCTGCATGATTGCCTTGTAATCGTTTTGGAATAACGTTAGGATTGATGTAATCTTTTAATTCATCGATATTCTTTAGAAAACAAATCTTACTCTCGACAACCGGATCTAGCCAACGTCGGATCACACTCCAAACAGTACTAAACGACCATGGTGCATTGACAACCAAAGATAGGCCTAAACATTCGGGATAATGATTTTGCATAGCATTGATCATGAATTTAATGTATTGATAATCTAAATTTCTCAGACCAACATTGCCCATGTCGAGAATCACAGTTCCTTCTTCGTTAGGAACTTCGGCGAAATAACGGCCGAGTTCCATGAATAGAATCAGACATTTTTCGGTGGATTCCATTGGAAATTGTCCTCGAATATGTCCTTCGGCATGAACATAACTGACAGGACGTCCAACTTTATCCTTTCCCATGTGATAAAACTTGCCCGAGCTCCATTCTTCTAAATTCACACAGCTTTCACCTTGATCAAGTAATCTTCTCACGCCCCATTCATGACGCCACTTTAACGTGTCCATCATCATTTCAACAGCAGGTGCTACTTGCCATTTGCGCGCGCGTAACCATCGAAGAAGTATTGCGTCCGGATCATCATGTGCAAATGCGTAAAAGAGTTCCTCGCCTAATGCGGATTCGACCACGTTCGATGGCTCTTCGTTGATTGCAGAGATTAGCGCAAGCCAGTACGATTTGAGAAGATCACGTTGGTTTTGATCGAGATTATCTATGAACATGGGGTAAAGAAAAAGTCAAATTGAATGCAATCACTTACTGATGTGTCCAGGGTCATTTGCTGACATAGGTAAATGTATACAAAAGTTGATGTTACAATCTAAAATGGTTTCGTAATGCAGGGATGTGGGCGTTGATTTTGTGTGTACAGTGTTCGGTTTATATACGGAGAGAAAAACACCCACCAGGATTTAAATGTTCTTTCTTTCCTTGGCTATCAAACTGATAGAATAAATAAAAGAAAAAAAAATTCTTTTTGTTTGTTGTGACGATGTCAAATCAGATGAATTAAGATGGATCATCTCAGCTGGTATTTCTTTTACAATAGAAATAAACTCGCTGTGATACTTTTCAAAACGATGAATATGTTGAAATTATGAAGTATACAATTTTCTTTGATTATTTCGACATCATTTGGTGTCCGTTATCGTGCCTCTGCATCATAATCGGCGTGACATCTATCGGAGGAAAACCTTCCGATTCTGTCATTATTGAAAGATATGAGAAGAAAATGTTGAAAATCACTCTTTCCTCAATTATAAATTTCATTCTACAGACTGATGCGTGAACATTAAACATGTCTGGTGTTGATTTTCCGTGCATATTAACATGGTATTAAACAGAAAAGCGCGACAGAAACCAATTACAATTCGATATAACCGCGTCCGGAGAATGTTGCTGTGCCTTTGTAAGTGACAAGTTCATCGCAAATGTTGTCGAAATTGGGCAAGTATTTCATCTATGGACTGGTCACCCTAGCATCTATTGGTTTTTTTTATTCGTGCATAAATTTATCTTTAATGAAACATACGTTTTACAAATATAAGGAACGATTGAATGCTTTCATCGTCACTCACGATTGCAAATCATTACGATTCACTGCCACAAAGCAAAATATCGAACGAGTTTTCCCAGATTATTTTCATATTCGTTGTTTTCTGTCGGTGCCACTAAACGATTCTCGTGTGCACACTTCATCGAATTTAGTAATGAAGAAAGTCTCATCGAATCTATTGTCTTTCATCGATTTGTGGACATACGAAATTGCGAAATATTCGACAAGCAATGAACTACAATGGTCATTTATATTTGAAGATGATGTAAATTTCGTTCCTCCATCGAACTTTTCTCTCAAGACTTATATAAACGCAATAGAACAACTAATGGACCATCCAGAAATTCAATCAAAACATGGCTTTTTCTACTTAGGAATCTGTGGTCCAACTTTTTCTAATAACAGTTCTCTCTTAACTAACAAAGAGTCGAATAACACGCTTGTCAGCAGGAAAGGCTACGGATGGTGTTCACATGCGATGAGTATAACAACAAAACGAGCACGAGATTTTTGGTTTCATATGTCATCATATCGTCCAAGTCCCGAAGGAGGCATTGATTTGTATCTAAGACAGTACTCAATTCAAAGTAAAAACGAATATTACATTCTCGGATCCAATGTGCATTGGCCATCTAACACAGGACATTTTGGAATAGCATACCAAGATCGAAAACGATTTCGATCGAGAATGAATTAGCTGACATCATCACACATATACACGCCCGATCAATAGCCTTCAAGACGTGTCATTGATTCGTTATTTTTCCTCAGACGATGTATATTTGTCTACCTATGATAAACATGAATAATAATCAATATCATGAAACCAGAGATTGACGAGGAAAACTTTTCTAGGTATGTAAGGAGCCGGGGACGATTATAGAACGTAGCGCATTTTCCGTTTGTGTATCATGACATCATTCTGTTGAATCATAATGTCTTCGACAATCACAACAATTAACACAATCGCTCGGTGACTGAACTATGCTCTTGTCAGTCCGATGATCAGTTTGGGTATTCTCGGAGCTCTTCCCACTATGCTGAAATTTCTCGGGCAACGATCATTCCATCGTATTCCAACTATATACTTCATTTATCTTTCGAGTATTCTGGTTGATGATATGCGTCTTGGTCATTTGAATCTCAATGATATCGCATGTCAAGAGTATAATTATTTCTTTTATGTTGCTACGGTCAGCCGTATCATATACCTATGCCGTATTCACGCACATCTATGACAAGAAGTCTTCTACATATGAATATTGACGGAAATTTAGGGGAACGTTTCAATTGTTGATGTGTTGTTGTTTACATTATTTGAATCTATAACTGAGACAAAAAGCTGCAAGCCAACAAATCATGTCATCAAGTACTTCTCGTTTTCCTCTCTCAGTCACAATGCTGTTAAATGAAAAGCGTAACAAACAAACAAATCAACATTTTTGAAACCGTGGCAAAATTTACTAAACTATATTCGCAAATTCCCAAATAGTAGATTTTCATTTGCTTCTTCAGTCAAGTTCGAGAGCAATCCTACCACTCCGCAAATTTTCAAATTCGTATTCACACAAGAGCTGCTTGTGAGCATCCATACATATGCAATGATTTGATTATGACAACAATGATGGTTTCTGGAAAATCTCATGATATTGTCTATTAATTGAATAATATCATGCATGTTCACAAGGTTTATATTGTCACTATGCTTCGAAGAACGAATCTACTAAATACATACAACTGAAAACAAACCGGAGTATCTTTTGGAAAAATAGTGTCGAAGATGTTTTCGCGATGGTGTACCATTTTACAAGATAGGATACTTCAGATCCTTCCAGGTATCGGTATAATGAGATACTATTATGAAGATAGTAGACAGTAAGAAACGATACTAAGGTTTGTACCACGGTCGGCTTCTGAGATAGACTCCCAAGAGAGTTTGCTCAACTAATTGCTGTTATTGTCTACTCAAGACAGCAAAAGTGCATTGGATCAGAATAATCGCCTTTGTGGATAAATTTTCAGTTGGAAAGCGGATTTTTTTCGACCTTTGAAATATCAACTCGATATTATTACGGAATAATTCAGTCAGAGTTCTTTTTAAACTAGAGAATCCTATGAATTTTCTGGTGGAAAAAAGTTCGAGCAGACATGTAAGAATATTAGCGCAGATTGAGATAAATATACCGAGACTTAATTATTCTGCCTCCTTTATTAGAATTCTTTATTGAAAAAAGGATCGTTGAAAACAGTGAAGTTATTTTCATTTTATCCTCACCTAATAAAATTCTAAAACATACACTTGAAACATTAGATTGACGTGCTCGTCTTCTATATGAAAGATAACCTAAAGATTAAGACATGACGACTAAAACAAATATCGCGAGTATTTTGCCTATCTGATACAGAACTTCTTGAAAACATGGATTTTACAAATATAAGGAACGATTGAATCCTTTCATCGATTTATGAACATACGAAATCGCGACATGTTCGACAAGCAATGAACTACAATGGTCATTTATATTTGAAGATGATGTAGATTTTTCGTTCCTTCATAGAACTTTTTAAAACGAGCACGAGATTTTGGACTTCATCTGTCATCACTCAATTCAGAGGGAGAATGAATGTTACGCTCTCGTATCCAATGTGCAGTAACCAGCAACAGAGAGCTAGTTTACCTAATTGCAGTTCTACACATTCCGCCAACAGCTTTGTTAGCATACACCTATCGCTTCTTCCTTTCTGTTCACACACACATTCGCCTACGTGATAAATATGAATCATAACAAGTATCATAAAATCAACATGCAACGATGAAAATCTCACTATGAAGATAAAGAACTACCGATAGTTATAAAATGCGATGTTTTTTCTATTTCATAAATATAAGGCTAAAAGTCAATAGAGAAAACCTGCTGAGTATGGTGAAACAACATGGTGGCTCTGGTCGAAGAGAGACTTTTCACAGCACCTATTCCACAATCATAGAACATTCATCTTTGCTCAAGATCGCAATCTTGACACTCGTCTGTGCCTCAGTTTCGAGTGAGACTCTTTTAAAAAAAATGCAATTTTGACTGCTTTCCTCATTACCAATCGTATTATAGGTGCTGATGCACATCCATCTATGTCAGCCTACTCAGGCAGTTGGACATTACAAAGTCCCACACTTTCTCTTCATAATAATAAGATCGCAAAGCGATACTATTATGAAACTGTTCAACTGACCATACAAGTGACTGGCGTTTACACATTTACTAGTAATGGATCATGCAGCGCCTACGGTGATATTTATCAAGATGAATTCCATCCAGAAAACTTATCTCTCAATAAAATCGTAGTCAACGCTGAGAATCGTAGTGGTAGACAATTTACGATCAATGTTGAGCTCTCACAGAATGGTAGGTACGTTCTCGTTGTGATGACTAACTGTTCTGACAGTAGTCTGGGACAATTTTCCATTCTGGCGTCTGGACCGACGAATGTGCAGTTCAAGAAATTAGCAGTGTCATCACAAAAAGCTGTAGAAAGAATGAGTAAGTCAGAGATGTTCATATAACCTCACAGTGATTCTGTAACATCTGCACTTTGTATAGTTACAGGCACACTTGGCATTCCGTCGTTATATCGAATTGATTTGAATTCGGCTAGTCCAATGTTTTCTAGACCAAACAGTAACAGTTTAAACAGCTTTTATTATGCAGCTCTTCGGATAGCAGCGAATGCAAATGGAATGCATACTTTTGTTAGTATCGGCAGTGTAGATGCATATGCTTGTTTGTACTCTGGTGATTTTTCTTCAACATCTCCATCAATAAATCTGATGAGATGTGATGATGACAGTGGTGGAAATTCGCAACAATTTCGAATTGAAGAATATCTTGTCCAATATCGAACATATGTGCTGGTTGTAACAACATACAGTTCAGGAGTCGTTGGAAGTATTTCGATCAATGCACGAGGTCCACCATCGACTTCCACCACCCCATCTGGTGGACCAGTCTATACTGGTACACTTACAACAAGCAGTTCAATGTTCACTCGTCCCACCGGCACTGGCGTAAGATATTATTATCAGTCATTACGAATTCAAGTTACTACTAGTAGCGTATACACTTTCGCATGCAGCAGCCAGCTGGATACATTTGGATATCTATATTCATATTCGTTTGATTCGTCGAGACCAACTACGAATTTGATTACTTCCGATGATGATAGCAATGATGACCGACAATTTCGAATTCGTGCCAGTCTTCAATCCGGTTCCACGTATATTTTGGTTGTTACAACATATAAGGAAGAAGAAACGGGAAGATTTACAATCACAGCAAGCAGACCATATGGAACATCTGGAATTAGCATGTCTCCAAGTTAGTAAATCTTAACCTACATTCATATTCTCTAAACAATCTTCATTGTTTTCTGTTTTATTTTCTCAGTCTTTTCAGGTGCGACCTATTTCGATGGTACCTTAACAACTACAAGTCCAAAGTTTTCTTTAAGTTTCCTATCGTCCGGCAAACATTATTTTAATCGTATTCGTGTATCAGTTTCTACGAGTGGAACATACAGTTTTCAGAGCGTCAGTTCGTTGGACACGTATGGTTTATTCTATGAGTCGTATATGTCTGTGTCGAATCCATCGTTGAATTTACTAAAGAGCAATGACGATGGTAATGGAAATGGACAGTTTCGAATCAGTGTTAGTTTACGATCCTCACAAACATATTATTTAGTTGTGACAACGTACCACAGTCTAGAAACAGGAAATTTTAGAGTTGATACTTCCGGGCCAGGAACAATTGAGTTCACCTTGGACAATCCTTCAACGTCAAGCGATGAAGATGATAAGAAACATGTAGGAATAATAGTGGGCATCAGTGTTTCGTGTTCTCTATTGGTTATCATCTGCGCTATTGTTTTTATTACTCGACACAAACGCAAACGGGCTTTGGCTGCAAGAGCTACTTCGTCAGCACGTTTTACGAACAGTCAACAACAATCTCGCCCAGTTCCTGTCAATAGAAATACTAGATCCGTACCTCCATCAGCACCAACATACATTAATACTCATACGTATGTCGAAGAGCCACCTCCACCTTCCTACGAAATGGCAATGGTATATATACTGGCTAAGCAACAAAGAGAAACGAGTGGCTCCTAAAACAAAGCAACACACACATTTTCGTCTTTTCTAATACTATCGATTTATTTCCATTTGTAATAATTGTAACAGTAAAATAATAATCGATCAATAGACATACACGCAGATCATGGTATTCTTCATCAAAGTGCATTGTCGAATGTGACCTTGTTTAAGAGTTGACAGAGTACAGAGAGAGTTCGACTCGAACATAGAAAAAAAAGACATTCACGTGCTATTTCTGATTTGTTAATCAGATACTAATTTGCACTTTCAGATATCCATAACTATTTGTTCCTATGTAATCATCATTTTGCTCAGGTGATTCTGTAGACACTTTCTGAATTATAAAAAGAAAGAAGTGTCCTATGGGATCATTCTGTTGAATCATAATGTCGTCGACAGTTACAACAGTTAACACAATCGCTCACTGGCTTAACTATGCTCTTGCTATTCCGATGATCAGTTTGGGTATTATCGGAGCTCTTCTCACTATACTGATCTTTCTCGGACAGCAATCATTCCGTCGTAATCCAACGATACTTTACCTATTAGCAGGTGCAGTTATGACAGCAATACATTTACCGACGATTTACCTTCAGAGTATTCTGGTTGATGGTTTCTATCTTGGTCTCTTCAATACAAATGATATTGCGTGTCGGGAACGTAATTACCTGTTCTATGTGACAACCGTGGCAGCAATTTCGTATCCATGTTGGGCAGCATTTGATCAGTATGCTAGTACACATCGTCAAGCGGATTTTCGTTATTCTTGGAGCTCCATGCGGTTTGCTCGATTCGCTATTTTTGGCACTGTCGTTCTCTGGTCGATTATTTATGCACCATTGATTTTTATCAGTCAGAGTGTCAATGGTGTTTGCATTTTGTTAGATGGCCCATTGAAATTCATTCATTCTTTTGTTTTGACACCCATTGTTTTCATCATGGGGCCGCTTGTTCTCATTGCAGGGTTCACATATGGCACCATACGAAATCTTCGTGCAACCGCTTTCGCCAGCCGTCACGATCGTTTGACAAAACAAATTCGTCGTATGCTCATTCCGCAAGTGGCTATTCTAGCCATATTCGGTGTGCCATTTGGTGTCAACTGCCTCTATGATGACTTAACGAGCAACGTACAAAAAGATCCACTGCGCAAGGCTATTGAACATTTAATTCAACAAATCACTCGCTTAATTTATCATGTTATATTTGTATCCACGTTCTATATTTATTTGTATATGTCCATGGAAATGAGAAAAGTTATGGTGCGAATGATGAGAAAGTATTTTCTACCACGTCGTATTGCACCATTAAACAGTTATTTAGATAAACCGCTTACAATTCGAAGAACTAGACTAAGAACTAGTTCGAATGCAAATCGATTTAACTATTGAATTTCTTCGTTGAAATATGTAAAAAGACGTTTTTCTTCTTTCATGCGACAAATAAATCAAACGATGGGGACTAAAAAGTACGATAAGTAGGTGAACACTTCAAAGAATGTCAGAATGCGGAAGTGGATGTATAGGATACTGATTTCGACGCCTACTTCGTCTTTTGAAAACGAGGTGCACTGATGAAGCATTATTTTTACCGGAAAAAAGTGGTGTATTTCCTCAATTTGTTATTAACTTTAATAACAGTCTCTTACTGATCTATTTTGAGTAGTGAACGAAGATTGTAGTTGTTTACTTGCCTAACTATTCATTATAAATGATTTAGAAGAACGAAGACCTGTTTCCTTGCGATAGAATGAATCCGTGCACAATTATATGCGTACTGAATCTTTCTTTATATACCACTCACAGTTTTCTATCATGAGAAAATCGTTGAATATAATGCACTTAATTTTCAACGAAAGTTTCCTCCATTACTGTGTCAGTTATTCTTATATATGTATCTAATCTACAGAAGTAACGTCGATTTTGATCCTGTCCTCGCCTAAAGGGAATTCAAAGATATATTTGAAACGTTTGATCAATATACTCCTCTTTAATATGACGGATATTCTAGAGGCATAGAACATGACAAATATGATGAATGCCATGAGAATTCTTGTTTCCATGAGAAACTATGAACGCATGGTGAAGTTGACGTTTTAACCAAACTGTTTATTTACTCTTCCAAAGTCTCTTATATCATCGTTTGACTGTCATTCTTAAAGATTTACTTTCGTTAACTATTTCTAAAGGAGCTCAGTTGCTTTTTCCTTTTAAAGTTCATACCAGATATCTTCAAGTGACAACTTCACTAACGCGAATCTGGGCGCAACAGCGATGCAGAAGAGAAAATTTTTTTTTTTTAAATCCGCATGCTTTAGACATCATGTCCTATATAAACTGAAAGAACTTTCCCGAATCTTATTGTCAGTTATCCAACTGTGATCCAATTTACAGCTTGAATAGACCGTTCTACTGTTAACAGACATGTCACGTGTGACAGGTACTCTCAATTCAATTTAATCTTGGCTTAACTTTCTGCTTGCAGTACCAATGATTATTTTAGGTGTGATTGGAGCTCTTTTAACCAACATTGTATTCGCATGGCAAAGAGCGTTTCAACGCAATCCAGCGACCATCTATCTCCTAGCTGGTGGAATTATGACAGCAATACATTTACCCACGATTTATCTACAAAGTATTCTTGTCGATGGTTTTGACATAGGAATATTTAACACGAATGAAATCGCGTGTCGCGAACATAATTATTTACTTTACGTCACAACAATACCGACAATTTCATTTCCGTGCTTTGCGCCATTCGATCGATATGCAAGCACGCGTTGTGAGACGAGTTTTCGAAATCGATGACGATCGTTACGATTGATTCGACTCTTTATTGTCAGTTCAGTTATTTTCGTCAGTCACAGTGTGAATAATACCTGTGTGATGGAACCGAGTGCGCGATAACAAAGACCAATGACTTTTTTTGACACCATTAGTTTACACAATTAGTCCGTTAACCTTCATTGTCGTGTTCACTTGGAAAACGGTGGAAAATCTTCGTTCAACCTTTATCACCAATCAATACAGTAAATCTACTAAACGAATCCGTCATATGCTCACTCCTCAATTAATCGTTCTTGCTATTTCGGGAATTCCATTTGGTTTACAAAGTGTTTATTTCAGTCTCACAAGCGATATTCCCAAAGACGATCAACGACAAGCAATCGAACATTTATTCGTGCAAACTAATCGTTTGTCCGTTTTATATTTATTTCTACATGTTAAGCGAAGTTAGAAAAGTCGTCAGACAACTGATGAGAAAGCTTTTCAAATTCAATTTCATGACAACATTACGAGCAATGAATGGCGACACTGGCACATTATATACATAATTGTCTTTGACTTTGCCATTTTCTCCTTTCACTCGACATCAAAGGTGCTTGAGTGCGTCAAACAGTCTAAACAATTAAGAAAAATTTCTATAACTACATTATAGAGAAGAACGAAGAATTTCTTTTGTGGTAAACATAATATGATCAGATTTCTGTGTTTCCTTCTCTTTTTCACAGAAGATTAGAACTCATGCAAACGGCGAGTTTTTTCTTTTTCATTGCGGAAATGTCACTCCTACTAATCAGAAAGAGAGAGAGAGCGTTTGAAAAAAGTTATTAGCATATTAAATAGTCATCTTTAATTGTATATTTTTCTGACTGACACGACAGAAGCGTATATGACGAGCAGCTCTTCGACAACAGCGACTATAAACGCTATATCGCGTTGGCTCAATTATATTTTGGCTATTCCAATGATCGTTTTAGGTATTCTTGGTGCAACACTAACGATCTTCATCTTTACACGAAAAAGTTCGTTTCAAAGGAATCCAACGATCATCTATCTTCTAGCCGGAGCGACTATGACAGCAATACATTTACCGACTGTCTACATTCAAAGCATTCTCGTTGATGGTTTCGGCCTAGGAATCTTCAACACAAATGATCTTGCTTGTCGAGAACATAATTATTTGCTTTACGTGACTACTGTCATTGCTATATCATTTCCGTGTTGGGCGGCGTTTGATCAATATGCGAGTACATCTCGTGATGCGAGTTTCCGTCATCGGTGGAGTTCGATCCGAGTTGTTCGATCGGCAATAATCGGTACAAATCTCTTCTGGTCAATTGTTTATCTCCCAATGCTCGTCTACAGTGGAGTCGAAAATCGAACATGTATCTTGACGAATGTCACCTATCGAAAGTTCAACGATTTTCTTTTAACACCTCTCATTTACACAATCGGTCCATTAACATTGATAACACTTTTCACTCGAGGAATTTTACTGAACCTCAATAGAACAACTGTACAATCAAAACGAGATCATTTGACGCGACAAATCCGCCGTATGCTTATTCCGCAGTTGATTTTCCTCGCAATGTCAGGCATACCATTTGGTTTACAAAACATTTATTTTAATCTGACAAGTAACGTGGTCAAAAGCAGTTTACATCGAGCCGTTGAACATTTGTGCATCCAAATCATTCGTTTATTTTACCATTTTAATTTTGTTTTCACATTCTATATCTATTTGTACATGTCGAGTGAGGTGAGAAAACTTTTTCGACGAATGACGACGAAATTCTCCACCATGGATAGTTCAATCCAAGAAGGAATGGTAATGGAAACGTGTAAAATCGAGGATTCTACTTACATATGACCGTGTTTCGTAAAGTACCAGAGAAAAGAAATGAATTTCTACAAACTAGAGTGTACTCGCCCCAATTGAAAACCACTGTACTATATTATTTTAAACTTTTCTAAAGCTTTTTATATATGCTGGACATAGCCTGGATTATTATTTTTTTTCTTTGTAAAATAATAGACTCACGCAACACACAACATAATACTATTGGTGACAAGTATAAAAGAGAGATAAGAAAACGAATGAGAAATTCAATCCATGAATACGAAGAACATTGCAAGAATTATTGAGAACATTCCTGACAGAATATTGCCCTTCCCAATCGAACCTTTGTTACAATAATCTGTTGTGCAACAGTACTGATAAGAATTCGTTCCATCATCGTTGTTTGCGCCTTCAGTACAAGTTCCCGTTTTGCCGACATATGAACGTAAAATACTGTTCGAGTTAACTGTCGATACGATTTTCTATTTGGAAATAAACTACGGAATACATCTCTAGAAATAGATCGTTTGTTCTCCTACCGTACAAGCAACCGCATTGGTAACAGCAGACGTAGCTACTCCACTACCCCAACTTCGAAACGAAGTACCACATCCTTCTGCACCTCGACCACATACATAACAACTAATTGCATCGGTTTGTTGTTGTAAATCTGAGAATGATCAATGGATAGAATTCGAAATAAGCAAGATTTTAGCCTTACCGAAGAAAACTAAACCAAAAAGAATAATTGAGACGAAATGCATAACCGTTTTTGTTCTTGCAAGAACACGACTTTCTAACGATGATGATAATCAAGAGTCAAATGATAGCGTTAAAGAATGTCTGACGTTAATTTATAGTCAGTTACGCTACTCTAAACGATTGCTGACATGAGACATGATCGGAAAAGCTTGTTGCGTCATATAGACATATTGATTTTTTTTTTCTTCTATCAATATTTCATTTCAATCCATTAGATTAGGATGTCAATCATTAGACATGAAATGTAAAAGAATATCCTTGATGCTGATCAACCGTGCTCTGTTGCGTTTGTATCGCCATCTTTCATATGCGGTATACTATTCGTTATGTGTTCATTCAAAGGGTCAACATATCGTCAAGAAAATCTCAAATATTTCCTCATCATTTTTAGTGTGAATAAGATTCAAACTTACAATTTGTACAAATTTCCTGCCATTGCCATTCTTTATCTTTAACCATACGAATTGTTCATGTTGTCAAGGTAAAGATAAAAACGACGCACATCATTATTGACCTATCGAACATTTCTTTTCTCGTCAATGAAATTGAGCAGAACGAAAAAAAGAAAAGACGCTTCATTGAATATAACACGTTTATACTCACTCATGTTCATCAACAACTTCGAACGCGTTTCTTTTTCTACATTGTCAATTCGAAACTACCGTATGATTGTGCTTTATTAAACCAATATGATGAGCAAACCATCTCCGTTTGGTTTATATAAAACGTTCATTGATGTTTACATGAAAAGTCATCCCGAAGTGGCGAAATTTGTACGCGTAAACTCCTGCTGCTTGGTCACTTCTTTCTCTTTTTTTGTTCCTCTATAGTTGTGTCACTACAATGCACTGGTTGAGTGGGATCGAATCAAGCATGATCACGAACTGATTAAATCAAAAATCGAAAGTTATGTGGAAATCTCGAACAAGATTCATGCAGTTCAAAACGAAACTTCAACGAACACTGCTCGAAAACGAACAATTTCATCCGATGATGAAACAGATATTCACGATCCGCTGTACGATCCGAACGCTGTCGTGCCTGTCGAACCAACATTTTCCAAGCGTACCGTAGCCAAACCTTCAACAGAAGAAGAAGAAGATACAAGCAAGCCATGGGTGATTCGCGGCCTGGAAAAGGCGAAAGCTCGTGTTGACGCTCATCTTGCCAAAATTGAAGCGAAACGCCTCGCAAAACAAAATCGAGTGAAAACGCCTGCTCAAGAAGCACTTGTCGAAGAAATCAAACAAATCTCGGACAATATAGCGAACTTAATTCAAGTGAAAAACATGGGTTTATCAACGGAAGAAACCAATCATACATTGAAGAAATTAATTCGACAGAAAAAACAACGTTCGACTGAGTTGAGCCTTCTACGTTCGAAACAAAGGGCTGGCTTACGTTATCGTCAACGACGAAAGAAACGTTTGGAGACTTTATGTAATACCGATCCTGAAGTGGCAACTGAGCTTTTGAAACTCTATAAAGCATCGACGATTTCAGCACATTCGATTGATAACGTTTCATCGGACTTATTACAAACTTTGGAAGAAATCGCGCGAATTGGCGGGGTATCAGATCAAAATCCTGGTAATATACCTCAACCGTGCACAACACTAGACGAGTTACGAGACAAGATTCGAACACGAAGTTATGAAATTCGAAGATCGTCTACTTATTATCGGTAAGAGGAAATATTCGAAAAGTATCTGTTAGGTTTCTATGAATGTAACATTTTCTAGTTTGCTTCCCTCTGGTGCTTTTTCTGAAGATGGAAAAAAACATGTTATTTCAACTGCTGTCCGTCTACGACAACTCCAAGGCATCGAATTAACGAAACATCCAGGTAACAAAATCCACTGCATGTCCTCAATTCTATCTTCTTCTTCAGATTATCACTTTGTTTGTGCAACACTGAAGCATATCAAAGATCTAGCAGCAACATTTGGAAATGATTGCGTGTTTTATCTTATTCAAGATAACAAAGCATCTGTACGAATCGGTCGACCAGCAGCAAGAGGGCAATCGCCGTTAATCTTGCATTTAGATTATCAGATGAGCACAGCTAATTCAACACCAATACCGAACACAGTTCCGCATCAATTAAAACCCACGTATGTATGCATAAGAACTTTCGCTCAAGTTGAATTTTCTTGTCTAGAGTTTACGCTTCTTGTATTATTGATGAAGTCGGTGTTGTCACCGATGCTGGTCCAACTTATGTATCAATTCGTTCAGCTAAACATGATCGAATGAGTATCGATTGTGAAGAAGTCGATTTCGAACAGGTCGTCAAACTGAAAGAATTCGAAAAAACAGCTCGAAATCATATTGGTGAAGTGAAACCAATTATCATCATGAACGTGGACAATATTGATCCGATGAATTACACACGTTTTTCCCGAACTCTTTATTCGTCAATACAGAAGTTCAAAAAGTACAACTTAGATGTATTCATCCTTGTTACACAAACACCAGGTCAAGCGATATTCGCTAGTTGTGAACGACGTTTAGCACTTCTATCGCATGATTTATCAGGTTTAGTTTTACCGCACAACCATTACGGTACACATTTGAATATTAGCGGTATAACAGTCGATGCTGAACTGGAAAAGTTGAACTTTAAACGAACCGGTGAAGTTCTTGCTGAAATTTGGAATATGAATATGATCGACCGACATTCTGTAGTCGCAGAATATGTGGATCCACCATCAACAGCGGATGATATGGTTCGATTTATTGATGCACAATTCACTCTAGATTGCATAATTAATCAGTATGTTTTACCCAGAGAAGAAGTTTTGTACTTTTTTTCCCTGTCTCTTAAAGGATCTGTGATGACGACGAAGAAGTTCCACTACATCAACGTATTACACGTTTGCGACCAGTTTTTTATCCTGAGACAATTGCAGATGTCAAACCTAATCCAGTCTACGATATTGACGAGTAAGTTCCATTGACGATATGTGAAATTGTATTGATAGTTGGCTTTATTTAGGTATTGGTGTGCCACGCATGTTTTTCAAACGCAATATACGATTCAAATCATTCGTTGTACCAAACCAGAATGTTGTGGACCATGGCGTTCGAATTACATTCAAGTATTTCCTCATCGATTTCTTCCACCGCCTGTACCATTTCATCGTTCGTCACGTGGCGTTCGTTTAGCTGGAATCGAAACATCGGTTGCTGATCAAAACTGTACATCACCTTACTACGGAACGTTATTTCAACGTATACAATTTCACGGTATCGTTGTCCGAGGGACAGAGAAACCTCTCTTACCATTCGATGCTTTCTGCCCATCGATTCAAACTAAACTTCAATCGCGTACGTGTACGATTTGCAAACAATACATTCCGTCAGTAATACGTTTACGCAATCATTATCGTGTACATCAACAACGTTACGGATTGAAGTATACAGATTTGAAGAGTAAAGATGNTGACAATGTATACGAATGGTTTGTAAGCAATCACTGCCGATATAGTCCATCGTTTCTTCAGCACTGAATAGAGAAGGAGAAGATTTACATATTATATAAGTATAAGTATAAAATGAACATGTTTTGAGGAAAAATAACATTTTTCTGGTGAGGACAGATGGTTCGATATGTGCTTGATGAAACTCGATTAGGTAAAGTTTGTACTGTTTGTTCATGACATAGGTATCCAGAATATGCTGACCAATCTGATTAACTATTGAAATGGCTCGATATTCGGGATTTTCGAAGAGAAAATAAGAATGATTATTGAGAATGAGACTGATAATGTCTAGGTAAGGATCATCATCGTCGTCACTTCGATCGATTCGATTGAATATTTCCGTAATTTGAGTGGTAGAAAGAGAAAATATCAGTGACACTCTGGCATCAATATCTTCAATGGTCAGATTGAAAACCAGCAGTTGGTCAAACTTTGCGAGTGCTCTGAAGAACTGTTGATAGGAATGATCGTAAATCCATGAGAGTGAGTCTTTACATAGCAATTTCCATGACCATAGATGTAAACGAAGTAATGCTTCAAATGATTGAGAAAGAAATGCAGATAGTGTTTCAACTGTTTGTAATTGAAGCAATTGCGTGATTTGATGGATGGCATCTGTCGAAATTGACGGTAAATCAAGTGTTGCAACAAGTTGTTCAAAATTATTATCCATAAAACCTTCTTTTATCTTTGATATGCGATGATACAACTGATTTTTTAGGCGATGGAAACAAATCCTTAAAGATTAATTTTAATGATATTCAGGATAAAGTACCATAATATTCCAATGTTGATTTAGGATTTCGAAGGAAAATGTCAGATCTACATATAAATTGTTGTGTTCTTGCGATTTTGTCTTTAATTTATTCCAAGACTAATCCATTCATTCGATATGTCTCATGTAAGATAGTTTGTTCACTATTGCTGTGAATCATGCGAGAGTGAAACGTGGTTAAAAGTATTAGTTTTATCAAATATTGTCTCAAATTGATCTTTCCCTGTGAAAAAGATCACTCTGTAGTTGTTATTCACCTGACAATTGCATTCAAATAAAGTTCAACCATCGGTCATGCATATTGTAGGATTTGTTTACCGTTATGTCATCATTTGAAAGCTGTACGAATAACGAAAGGGAAAGATATATACTCTTTAATGGTTTGAAATGTGTGAATAGAAAATGCAATTTTCAGATATTTCAAACAATAATCAGATCAACTTGAACTATTTTCACTATTAATAAATGCTCAAAGTGATTCGTCTATCAAAATTAAAAATACTTCATGAATCCTTTGAACCGAACAAATGACTCAATAAAAATGATGTTTATTCGATTAAATGAATAGATATGTTCGACAAAACAACTCAGCATTGCTAGAATTGATAATCATGTTTGTAATGCGGGTTGCACCTGAATTTCGGTCATCACTCGTTACTTTGTCAGAACGTAAACAATCAATATTTAAAGTTTAGTCAGACAACTCGGCTCGTCAGCAGTGATACGTCTGAATAGATTGAATAAAAGATTTGTTTAATCGAGGCGCGGGAGTAACTGAACATTGATCAGATCAGAATGGGCTCTGATCACGCACGGCGACGGACACGAAACGGTTCTTTAATTACATAGCTTAACTTCGCAAATGTGAAATAAGACTTTCATAAGAGACTAACAGGTAAAAGACAACCGTAGCGGAGAAACGATTTATCTATCGTGTCACGAGAGTTCTTCATATGACAAATAATAGAAAGACAAAATTCTATGTCCGTAAAACCATTGATCCACTTTGAAAATATCAGGTCACTAACATAGATGAGTACTGTCTAATGCGTTACAAATATGGATGCATTTTAGTTTAGTTTTGCTGCTATAGAAGAACAACCCAGTTCTTTGCGGAAGTCATTGCATTATTTGCATTTGGGAAAAATAAGTCTCCGACATATTTATTTAATCATGGTGCGATTGTCAGCGTAAATAATCAAAAAAAAAATTCAAAATACATAATACAACCGGTTTCAACCTTGCTCAAGGGTCTCATCAGGCGACTTTTACAAAGAACAACAAAAAGCATATCACGACCGGCTCTCCGGCCCCAATCATACTTGTTTTCAGACAATATTGTCAATGTGCTACCGAGAAATTGTTTTTCGTCAATCGACTGCAGTTTAATTAGCCAAAACTCGTTTTTCTGATTATCTGACTGCATATTATTGCACTCGATGGAACCTTTATTGATTCTTTCCACGTTCTGTATAGAGACAATGGTACCCGGCGAGATAATTAATTCGTTTTCCTCGCTGCTATTCGTAATATAACCATAGGGTCGCGTTACATGTGACGTGTCCAATTCTACTACAAATACAACATTCACAATATCAGCATCGACTGTATTAGTTTTCAGATATAGATAAGCCACTTCTAAATTGAAAGTTGTTGAGAAAAAGCTATTAATAAAGCTTGCTTGCCCAATATTTTCAATAAAATTCCGCAATTCATTTCGACAAACTTGCTGACCACGATATACTGTTAATGTCATATGATTTTCGTCAGCGGGTCTCTGTCGTTCGTATATTTCATCGAGTTGCTGATAGAGTTCGATCATAAAGTGGCGAAGAATATGTATATCAGCGATATTTTTTACTCGAAGAGCTCTGTTTACGACTTGTGAGATGCCAGAATCATCTCGGTACCACTCCACTGCGCATTTCGAAGAATACAGCGTAAAAAGCGATTCCAAATCTCGGAAATGGTCCCTATACAGATAATAGTACAATGCTCGGCACATTGTTGTTTTTGACTGGTGATCGGGTTGCGTACGAAACAAGAGATTGAGTAAAAGCAAATGAGTCCTTAATCGATGAGTGTTGTTATGATATCGCTCGACTACGAGATGCTTTGGCCGTCGCTCCCAGTGAAGTTTTTTGAAACAGTTGTAAGATTTCAAGTGATCAGCATCTAAATGTACGCTCCCAAAGGGTGTAGATATAACTACTACAAGTAAAGAAATAGCAGTATGTCAAACTGATGAAATCTCGAAAGTTGTGAAATTTAAATACCGTATTCCTTTCCTAGAATCCATTTCGAACGTTGTAGTGCTACTTTAGATAACGACTTTTCCGAATCAATGGATTGTTGAATGTCTGTAGTCGATGCCAAGGTTTTACCTAGGACAACAGCAAGAACCTTCCAAATTCCGAAGTGTGAGTTTGCCATGGATATTCTAGAAGATACTTTTTGGCAGTTTATGAAATCCCATTGCTCATAGAGCTTGATTTTCCATTCGAACGGTCCGTCAAGTAATATTAGTGCTTTTTCTTTCTGATTTTCTCGTTGATATTTTTCAACAAGCTCGTAGTAATTAGACGCTAGGAAAGATTGAAATAAAAATACTTCTAAAATCAAGACGACATAAAGAGTCGCACGTACCTGTAACAAGTACAGCATCATTTTTCTTTGACATTTTGTGAATTTACAGAGTAAGACAGCGCTGATTGTATTGATCTGCCATCTGAAATATCGAAATACATTATCTACTAAGCAGTATACACAAGTTTATAAAGAGATTTTGTTTGTGATAAGGATGACCAGAAGAACTGTCAACAACTAATAGAAAAGCCGACAAGAGAACATTTCTTTATATAGTCTGTATGTTGGTTTTTACCGTTTATTTTGCCAGTCGAAGAACGAAAAAAGCCCAAACGAAAGGTTCGTTTGGTTATCACGGTAAATGAATAACGATCGTAAATGCGTCGCAAGAAAACGACTAATTACCTTTTACTCTTTCATTATCCAACAACAAACGATATATTTATCACAGGTTTGGGTCAATATTTACTTTGATAGAAAATGTTGGCAAGTACCAAATAATTCATCAACAATTTCTTCCAACAAAAAAACAAAACTTCCGAGTGTATGGATGATGGTAGAACTGTTCAGTTACAATTTTATCTTCACGTGCGTCTTATATTTTCACTAATAGCTGTATGTTAGTTTCTCAAAGATATTGCCAATTTGTGCATTGACATCGAAGTTCTCGAGCAAGCATTTAGTTTCGTATGCAGCTGCATTCATGTTAATAAATCCCAAGCAAAATGGAATCAAATCATAATTTAATCTTTGGTTCCATCGTCTGAAGAGTTCAAGAAATAGTGTTATATATTCCGTATATATAGGATGTTGAAGGCGCCTGAAAAGGTGCGAAACATAGTGGAAACAAACTGTCGGTATTAAGAAAATTTTGTGCTATGTACTAAGTCGACTAGCATTTCTTTCAGAAAATGTTACATATGACACATTCATCTTTAGCTTACAAAAGACGAAGCTGCTTGTCATCATCATCGATCCAAGACGACACCGAAAATATAATTATCGGTAGAAGAAAAACTCACTCTCGTATATCCAAATTCTGTGTAGTTTTATGAGCTATTCGAGAATGGTTATTGGATATGAATTATCCAGTAACGAAGATTCTGAACACACTTCTTTACGACAGACTTTGGAGCACAGTGAAGAAGAAATGGAAACTGATGATTAATATAGAAAAAACTCTTTTTTGTAATTATGAAAACAAATGTTTCGCATAGATATTCCATTCTATTTATTGAAAACAACAGCGGTGACAAAAACGTTTGTGACATGCTTTACATTCGTACAATTTTCTAGTATGTTTCGAACAGCGAGAGCATCTGGATCGGAAAGGCTCACAATGATGTGTGCAGTTATGAAAAACACGTTCAAAACCATGGCAGTGATTACCAGCATGATTGCCATTGCAATGATTCTGACATAGAGTTCGCTGGTACATTGTGAAGTAGGCATAGGGGTCGTCTGGAATTGGACACTGGAAATGTTTGGGTGGCGGCGTCGATTTCTGTTTAGGCGTTTCGTTTGGTTGTGAAGTAGGTGTGGGTGGCGGCGTAGGTTCTCGAGGAGCTAAAACGATACATAAACTATACGATAATAAAATAATACGTTTAGTTACCGTTCTCCTTCGGTGAGAGATGTACAAACACGTGACCATCTCCATCATTGACAATTTCTTGACTTTTATTTACTTTCCACCCAGGCCACATTAAGACATCCTTTGCCGGTTGAGTAGGATCTGTTCCCTTCTTCGGGGAATAATTTGAAACGTCCTTGCCACCTACAGATGAGTATCCCGCAAGTATTTTTTTCCCATTGGATCCATCATCCAGATCATTTAGTACTTGACTTTTCGATGGTGTCGCCAAACCCATACAAGTATACAAATCCAATGAATCTTCTTCTAACTTTCCCATTACGTCTTTATCGTAGGGCATACCCTGCCAGATTTCCGCATGCACATCGGGTAATTTATCCAAGCCATTCTTCAGTAATCTCAAATATTTAAACCAGGGTTTCATCTGTTTTCGCTGGTTGGAATCCCATGCTCTCTGTAGGTAACTACGGACACTGTCGTCGTTTCCAACGACCAGATATAAGTAGAGAGCAGCAGATTCATCATGAGTAAGATCATGTTGTGATGGAAAATGACAATTGGACTTCGCTTCTTGAATTTGCCCATCGAGATTGGGAATATGTTCCTCGAACCGTTCAAGAGCCTCCTCAAGTGAGCAGAGAGGTTTTTTCTCGTAACCTTTGATAAGTAACGAAGGATCTTCTGTGCTGATGCCGATTTTATTATATCGAGGTGGAGGACGCTGCTTCTTCGGTGATGGTTCAGGCGTTTTGTGTTTTTCCTCATCTTCACTTTCGCTCGATGATGGATCGGGTGTTGGTTCCCGTGGTGTCTTTGGTTGAATTTCGGGTGATGTGGGTACTCCGTCAAAATCTTTCGTAGTAGGAGCAATGGGTGCACTTTTACAACCACAGCAGTTGCTACCCATCTATGTTACAATAAGAAAAAAACAAAGAGATCAGTGAATGCTTGTTAGTGATGTTATCGTGACGCTATGAAAGTGTTGGAAAGTGCGCAAAAAATCAATGACTGGCGTATTTGATCAGAACAAAATGATCTTCAGATACCCGTTCTGACGACAAAATCATGTTGGAAATTTATGCTAGTAACGTCGCTCACCCAGACACACAGAGATTATCATTCTCCACCTAATCAAAAGAAATTCGGAATCAGAACACAGGGAGCACATGTAGGAAGAATCGCTTGGAAACATTGACGCAAAGTAAATATTTTGTTACATATGTGTTACAGTAGACATACATCTAATAATTCCATTTTGTTTATTCATCGGTTTTTACCAGTGCTCGTTGCTGTAGTATTTTTTTTCAATAGATTGTCCCACAGGGAAGCAACGATTCTTTCGCTGAAAAAAGCATCGTTCGATAAAACTATTAACTGCTTCTACTTCTCTCCGATCGAATCATTCTGCTGTTATGGTGAATTCTGATTACACATTTTTTGTTGATTGAAGGTAAAAAGCATCTCAGAAGCATTCGGCCTTCTGTCACTAAAATAAAGAGAGCGTGTGTACCTGTCAACATTCTTTTGGCAAATGCGCATAAGATTTGGTCATGCACTATCAAATCAAAATCTAAAAAATCGTTAGTTAGAATAGTTCATAAAGGTTTTCTTAGTTGTCTTAATTTTATATTTTGAAAAAGCAAAACTATTTTCTTTCAATAAAGACAGTTTCCATCACGTTTCCGTGGTTGCGTATGAATACAGGTAAGAATTGTGTCTGAAATAGTATAGATAGTGACGATTATTAAGAAGTCACGCTTGTTCAATTCAATTCAGTTTACGCCTAACTATTCTCTTCTTCTTTTTCAATGCTGTATAGACCTCGTGTAAACGATAACCACAGATGTTTGTATTTTTCTTCTATTCTTTTCTTCCGACAAGAGAGAAACGTTTTGTAGATAAGTCGTATTTCGCCACGAAGTCACCTAACTTTATCATTACAAAATATGTCGTCGGTTGACTTCAAGGATTTTTCTCTGTTGTATTTATTTCTATATTACATGGCGTAGGTGAATCGTATGTGGAATATAATGGTTCGTTGTTGACACACATACTGTTATAATAGAAGAACAAAGAAATAAAAATAGACGTAAGATGTCAAGCAAACGAAAAATACAAAATGTAACGACTATTCAACATACAATATCTCGCAATAACGACACTATTGATTTCATAACCGATCTTTAGTAAATAGTAGACATTAGTTATGCATCAATGAAATTTACACATGGTAGCGTCTGTGAGAAACTCTCGAGTGAACTCATCCAATGACATTGATTATTAAAGGATTCAAATAATCGAACAAGGTTTAACATGGTCCTTCTATTTATTTATATTCTTTTCTTTCTAAGTATATATCATTTTCAAGTGCCATCGTCAAACATTCTTTTTTGCCTACGTATCCCTGTGTGGTTTTACACATCGTTCGCCTACCGAAGTTATCTTATTGTTTGAATAAGCTTGCAAGGTTCTGTCGGGGATGTCTATCACCCCCTGTTTTGTTTACGTGAATGCCAAATGAAAGCGGGCAAAAATCTTATCAAATGCGGGTTTTTTCAAAGATTACGAGGCGGCTGCATATAAAATCTAAGTGTTCGACTCCGAAACCATTTTTCACCAACAACTTCAATCATGCCAACACCCGTTGTCGACTCTAACTGCTGTGCTTTCTTTGAACCACCTAGTGATTATGGCTGTTCACAATGCGACAATCAAATGGGCATCTTCACGTGCCATGGTTGCTGCAAGGCCTTCTGTCCACAACATGCTGTCGAGCATCGAGCCCCACTGAAAGTTAGATTAGATAATATTATTGTTGAAAATCAAAAATTGGATACTCATATCGAGACTGAAAAGCATTCAGATGAATACATTAAATTAAAACAAGAGATCGATGATTGGGAAGAAAAATCCATCGAAAAAATCAAACAAGCAGCGGCTGAAGCTAGACAGAAGCTGTCGGATATTGACAGCGGCTACGGAAACAGTCAGATCAGGAGAATTAACGATTGTCGTGAGGTCCTGACGGCTCGATTGAAAAAAGCTGAAGCTAACGACGATTATCATGAACAACATCTCACCTACTGGGAACAATTTCTCGAAGATTTGCGTCAAAATTATATTCGTCTACAATCAAACTTTGTTCGAATTGAATTCTGCACTCGGCCATTCATTGCAAAGCTTCTCGTCGTTGAAAACGCAGTGGCGACTCGTTTCACCAAATGGTGCTACTACCAAAAAGATTGTGTGCAAACCACTGCTCTCCGACAATCACAATACTTTCAAGAAGAAAACTGTTCGGAGACACTTTACATCAGTCCATGTGGACAAGCTACTGAAGTCTATCAACCTCTACCAAAACCTGCAATTCAATCACCCGTTGAAGTTCTCGACTCGAACTATGCTGGTGCGCTTCAAACTGGTGAATATCGATTTTGCTTGACCAAGGATTGTCGATTCATTGGTATTATATCGAAGAATGTTAGCCAAAAGAAAACACCATTGAATACCCCATCTGTCTTTGGTTGGAGTACAACAGAAGATGCGATTTATCGTGACGGTTACCGTCAATTCGGTCCACCGAATGATCTTCAGCCTGGTGATACAGTTTCCTTGTTAATTTCCAGTGAGCAACAATTGATTCGGCTGATAAACTTGACACGAAAACGCACACATGAGTTACACATCGATCTAAACAAATGCCCATTACCCTGGCAACTCAAGATTGCCTTCACATCAGATAACTATGAATAAACGTTTTCTTTTTGTTCTTTTCTTTTCTTGTCATGTAACCAATTAATCATCTAATTAGGAAACGAAAAGAGCTCTAACTACTATCGAAGCTGACGTTTATTTTCACCGTCTAGTATTGAAAACTGTCTTTAACCATTCGAATCATTGTCACTGATAAGGACGGGACACCTAATTTCATTTCGTTTTTTTTATATCAAAAGGCGATAAACGCGAATTTCATTAGATTCTTTTCTTTTGTCATGTGCGCATATGATATTTTCAATTCTCAAAAAGTTGTTCAATCAAATGTTCGAGTATGGCTGGAGTGTAACGAACGTATTTCTCTGGATTATGGGTGAAATGCTTGCTTGCAAATTTCGAATGATATTCGGTGAATATATCAAGAATTGTTTTCTTAATTTCTGATTTTAGTTGATCACGTAATTGAACATCATCAATAATATATTCTTGGTGTTGTTGTTGAAATGCATCGATCGCCGAATTGACTATCAAGAAGTTTCTTTTCAGTTGATCACGATCGCAATCTCTTAACTGGTAGAAACCAAACCATTATGTTAGAAGAAAATCGAAAAATTTTACTTGATGATTCGTAAGATGGTGTTGGTCATCATAGTGAAACATTTGCTGTATAGCGTTGACGATAGGTGAACAACTACGAATACGAAAAGAATGATTGTAACACAGACAGTCTGTCAATGCGAGAGTTTTACCATTTCATATAAATTTTTATACTTTTTCCGATGTGATTTTCGGTATTCATCTTCAGATTTGAATGTATTTTGCCCACAACCGATGACAGAGATGACCTATAAAGAAAAGAGTGTAATAAAATAAAGTTCTATAAAGTGATACGCCCTACTTTTCAATGCGTTTTAGAATGTAATTCGTATTATTGATAAGAAATATCGCGCGAATGATGGTATCATCATGTTTCTTTTCAAAGATATTCGTGCAAAGTACTCGATAGAGATCCGCTGAAAGATCAATCCGAACGAATAAAATATCACAAAAAATCAGCTCCGTACTGACCCAAATGAACACAAGATTGAGTGGTAGTGTCACTTCGATTATGGTAAGCTTTGATGACAGTGTCTTCATAGCTCAAGTAATCTTCCATGTAATCTAATACGTGAATAGTCAATGGATGTACTTGTCCACCTGGACTTAATGGTGATGAGTCATTTTGAATTTCATCCAATGTCAAACGAAGATATTTGATTAACTGAAAATGAAACAATGATGATCGGACAAATTTCGAGATTATTTATACCGAGTCTTCGAAGATTGGTAATAGTGTGTAAGTAAATTGTTGTTGAGGCAACTTCATGTCATTCTCCTATAGGCGAAAGAAATGTCCTTCACGCTTAGTCTAGTAAAATCATCTCACTTTATAGAATTTGACCAAGAGAGGTTTAGAATTATGAAACCATCGAATAATAGAAACAAGAGCGTAGAAAGCAAATTTTCCATCGTAGATCTTATTTTCCGATTCTTCAATAGCCGTGCAGAGCTGTTGTGCTTCGGTATACAAGAACGTCAACGGTACCTCGATTAATTTGTTGAGAACGAGCGATTTGTATTCGTTGGAAAAAACGTAGAACAACAAATCGGTTTCACGCAACAGGAGAATCACCATTGCATCTAGTAAATATTTATATCGGTTAGCTTCTCGATCATTGGCAAAACGCATCGATGAGAATAGACGGTCGAAATCAGCTTCTTCGTTCGTTTTCGGAACTGCTAATAATGAATTCCTTCGTGATGGTGGTGATGGCGTGTCTTGACCACTGAATACTGGCGAACGTGCTATTCGCCGTCCTAATCGACTACGGAAAACTCAACAATTCAGTTTCTGGAATGAATTTATAAACACACGTACGTCAGTTGTGCTTTCACATGTTCTCGTATCATGTCACTATTGAAGGAACGTCGTGGTGTTGACAGTCGTGGATTGACAGTAAACATATTAATTGATACACGACGGACAGACTTTTGTCCTAAATGTCCGGCTAATCTTATAACACAGGAGAAAAGTTGCACTTATGAAGAGAATTACTAGCAAGATGATACAAACAACTTTATTGATTCACAAATCATACTGCCTCTTTTCGTCGCATACCGATCGAGTAGACCTTGCTGATATCCATGTTCTTTAAACCAATCGAAGATAATTCGAAACATACTTAGGTCGGATACTGAAATGAAAGAGCAATTCTACCAAGCATAATAAATTCAAATTTACCAAACCTTGTACATCTTCAGCACTGACGGGTTCATACGTTGTTGATTTACACACCTCAATTAATTCATCGGGATTAATCGGAGTGCTGTAGTGCACAATTAATCGATCGCTTTCTTCGATCAGCTTTTGTATTGCGATATTATACAATACAACAGAACGTTTTAGTTCATCTTCAGCGTGTATCTGTTTGAAATATTTATGAGCATCGTTCAAGCGATCTAGTTCAACAAGATAATCAACCAAATTAGTGCTTGGTCCAGAATTGAGCATGATCTGTATTTCATGATATGCTTCGTAGTAACGAAAGACAGCCGTGATTAACGTTATGTCATGTTCGATATCACCTACTAAACGACGTAAATTGTGATTGGTATCGTTGAGATGCAAGATAAACTTTAGTACAGTTCGAATTTGTTCTTCGTCATAAACCGACGTCGCCATTGTGCGATGGATAAATAACTTATTTGAATGACTGATGGCAACGATATTTCACAATGTCGAGCATTGGAGTCAATATACATATGCGAAGGTTGAAAAGCAAAAAGGAACAAACCCGACGGAGCCAGGANATCACCTACTAAACGACGTAAATTGTGATTTGTATCGTTGAGATGCAAGATAAACTTTAGTACAGTTCGAATTTGTTCTTCGTCATAAACCGACGTCGCCATTGTGCGATGGATAAATAACTTATTTGAATGACTGATGGCAACGATATTTCACAATGTCGAGCATTGGAGTCAATATACATATGCGAAGGTTGAAAAGCAAAATGGAACAAACCGAACGAGTCATGATAAGTGCTTTTTTATTTTTTTTTATAAAAATACGAATTAAATACACCATACGTATGTGTGCAGAAGACAGAAAGACTTAAAGGATATAATCGAGAGATTACTTCCACAAACATGATTACAGTTCTATCGTTAATATACGTTAAAATTCAATGACGAAAAACTGAAGGAATGCATAACGTATTGTTGATGTGAATTCTGTGATGCACAGTTTCTGTGTACATGAAGCAGGGTATTACCATCAGAGCATCAGTTCTATGAAAATTATGAAGAAGTTATTGAGATCTCAAGTATTGCTTTGCGTTACATCCATTCCGAGAAAAACTACGCTGGAAAAAATCACGACAATAAAAGTCGCAACGTCTTTGTCTTCCAATCTGAGGAAATAACAGATAAAGAATCAGCAAAATGTGCGTACATGTGAAGGCCTTTACAATGTAGTCAATAAAAGAAGCATACACAATCTTAAATGAATATTGTTAAGCATTATAAAATGTATTTTGATATATAAATAACAACATCTAGTTTATAAAGAAACATCACTGCACTTTATATTTTCGGACAGTATTTTTTTCTTACAGTTTCTTTCATTTCTCTACGCAGTATCTGTACACATTCAAGAAAAGTGTTACTGCTCGTTTCTTGTTTCGATTAGTGATAAATGGCAACAAATAATACAGATGATAATAATCTAGAAACATTTAGTCTACTATGGCTAGATGCTGCGATTCATACAAACACAGAAAATCAAGAGGCACAGAAACAACTTCGTGCTTGCATCAACCATGTCATACCGTTCGAAGATCCAAATCGTTGTCAGCGATATATTCAAACTACATCATCTCAAGATCGACTGGTACTTATCGTTAGTGGGCGATTAGGTCGAGAAGTAGTGCCTCTTATCCACCAAATCCGTCAACTGTCTTCTGTCTATGTCTATTGTATGGATGAAGAAGGTAACAAAAAATGGGCGAAGGACTTTAAAAAAGTAACAGAGCTATTCATTTTTCTCTGATGATGAACCATTCATCTTCTGTTCTAGGTGAAAGCGGTCGTTGTTAATCTAAATGATCTCATATTTCAAATTAAAACAGATTAGAAAAAGCGCGTAAAAGAAGAAGATCCCATAGTTATCAACATTTACACAGTTGGTGACAACCTGGATCAATCGACAACTGGAGTCAATGGTGGTGTTGTGTATTCATTATTGCTTATTGACGTGCTACTTCGAATGAAACCGATGAAAGGAGAAAAACGAGAACTCATTGAATTCTGCAGAAAAATCTACAAAGGTAATGAGACGCAATTAGCTATTATTGATGAATTCGAAGCTGAATATTCACCGAAAAGCGCATTATGGTGGTATACTCGTGAATCATTTATCTACAAAATTCTCAATAGAGCTCTACGCGTTCAGAACATCGATGTAATATTTCTTTTCCGTTTTGTGATACGCGATATCTACGACAAATTAGAGCGACATCACTGCCAATTATCGATTCATGTGTATCGAGGACAAGTTCTTTCAAACGATGAGCTAAAAAATCTTCGAAGTTCCATCGGTAGTTTCCTTTCGATCAATTCCTTCTTTTCCACAACTTCTAACCGTCAACAAGCCATGCAATTCATACTCGGTTCTGATGTTACGAGCGATTTATATCGAGTATTGTTTGTAATTGACGCTGATCCTTCTGCGAGCACTGCAAAGCCATTCGCAGACATTAGCTCACATAGTGAGTTTGGTCATGAATCTGAAGTTCTGTTCATGATTGGATCGATTTTTCGCATTAAATCTATTCGGAAAATTGACGATCAGATATGGAGAATTCATATGATATGGTGTGATGAAAATGAACATGATTTGATAAGTCTTTTCAACTACATGAAGAAGAGATATGGAGGCGGCGATAATGAAACTGACCTACTCAAATTTGGTAGAGTATTGCGACAAATGGGAAAGTTTGACTTAGCCGAAAAGTTCTACCGACGATTATTGATTGAACTATCATCAAATGATCCGTTACTGTCTGATTTGTATTATTCACTCGGTTTAGTACTAAAAGATCAAAAAAAGCTAGACTCAAGTCTTGAATATTTACACAAGTCGCTGGAGTTGGAAGTACGAAGGCGTCCACAAATCGATAGAAGTCTGGTACAAAGGTACAATGCCATCGGCAATATTCATCGTGAGAAAAATGAACACGACATAGCTCTGTTATGGTATAACAAAGGAATAGCACTCCTCGAAAAAAATAATGAACGCGATGACGAAACGATGGCCCATTTTTACCATAATACCGCTCTTATCTATAATGAACAGGAAAAGTATGAGCAAGCTTTGAAGTTAAATCACAAGGCATTGACTACATGGAAAAAATGCTTGCCGCCCAACCATTCTGACATTGGTTTGTCTTACAATAATATTGGTAATATTCATCGTCACATGGGTAATTACGACTGCGCATTGGAACATTTACATAAGTCGCTTACCATCAGAGAACAATCATTGCCTCCTGATCATCCACATATCGCTCAAAGTTATCAAAATATAGGTACTGTATACGAAGATATGAGCAACTTTGCACGAGCGTTGGAATATTTTGAGAAAGCAGTAGCCATCAGACGCAAATTAGGCAACAATGACGATGTAGTTCGCATCGAAAACATTATTCGACGAATCAGACCGAAACTTAAGTAAATGTTTATTTTTAGACGGAACAGTAAACTTTAATATATGTCTAGTGTTCTTTGAAATAAGTTCATAATGATATTCAGTTAAACTATCTCCATTTGATATAATCAACCATGTGATATGATACAAACTTTGAGCTCAAACCGAGAATCAAGGATTTATTGTTTTATACCGACGGCTTTACGAAAAAGAAAGATCTGAAGTCGCAAAGAGAAACAAATCAAAACTCATAGCATGAAAATAAGCTAAGGTGGTCAGGATTACTAGAATGAAACATTCATTATGCATACCATATCCATCCGTATACATCTCAAAATGGAGTAGAATTAACGTCAATATAACATTTTGACGATCAGCTTATGTTCAGTTAGAACTCTTGTTTGATAAATATGCTGGTAGATAAAGATATAACTAAATATACAAATCAGAATTGCTAGAAATGCATGCATGTTTATCAGACGATACAGTATTTTAAAAAATCAAGGTATTCCGTAGAGGTAGACTATCACAATAAAAGCTCAAAGCTGACCTCAATTGACTACAAAAACAGAGACGAACATTGGGTGACGCAGCCGAGAATTCACCCATTTTATGTTACTAAAATTCATCTTGACGTGAACAACATACAGAAAAAAAGAATGACCTTTTTTCTTTTCTTTTCCTTATCGAAAATTAAAGATAATAAAGTCAACGTGCATGATTGTTGATAACTGAATAACAACAACGATTTCAACAAAACCTGATGTCTGATGGAGTAGTGTTGCCAATAATCGATTATAATCGACTTACTCAAAAAGATTCGACAGAAGCTAATAAACTTTTTCACGCTTCAACCAACGTCGGATTCTTCTATTTGAAAGTGAACGATGAACTCGATCCGACTCCAATGTTTACACTGGCTGAAAAAGTCTTTGCATTACCACTAGATACTAAAAATGAATACGCAATGGATGGTAAAAATGGCGTTTACTTTGGGTACAAAGCTGTTGGAAGTATGTTTGCAGATAGAAAAGGTACACCAGACACCATCGAATTCTGGAATATTTCTAAAGATGATATTGTCATCCATAATAGTAACAACTTTCCTCAAGTTATTCTTGACCAGAAAACTATCTTGCACAAATATATCAATAAATCACATGAAATCATTCTTGTTATTCTCGAGATTTTATCTTCAAAATTGGAATTAGATCCGCAACTACTTCCTCGCTTACATCGAATTACACAGTCTAGTGGTGATCAATTACGGCTAACAAAATCTACCATTTGCCCAATTGATAATCAATCTTCTATCAGCATTGCTCTTGGTGCACATACAGATTTCGGATCCATAACCGTCTTATTCAATCGTTTACCTGGTTTACAAGTATTGGGACCCGATGGAGAATGGTTGGATGTGGAACCGTTATCCGGACATGCAATTGTTAATCTTGGCGATGCTATGGTAAAACTTTCGGGAGGTATTCTTAAATCAAATATCCATCGAGTTGTAAATACATATGGTGTAACTGAATCGACCGATCGTTATAGTATTGTTTATTTTTCTCGACCAGAGAATGACGTTCGAATGAAGAGTTTAGTTGATAATGGTAAGAACAATCCAGATGATAGTGATGCCTTGACGGCTCAAGAATGGATTGCGAGACGAGTGAAGAATTATCAAACGGCAAATTATAAAAACGAAGAAACATACGAATTAAGTCGAGGAACAGAAGGCAATCGCGAAGGATCCATGTAACGTAAATAGCCGCGCTCGAAGGACATCATTGGTCGATCATCGATCGACATGAGAACATCGACAGTAATGTGGCTTTCATTGTATTCTTATGCCGTGTCTTTTCACACTCTTCAGCTACTATTTTATCTAACGAATAAAACAAACGCTAATTATGTTTGAAAATAATCATTCATAACTGGCGATAAAAGCAGAACATGTTTTTTTCTCTATACTTGCAGAATAAATTTATTTGATCGGTTTGTGTACTATACTTCAGTTATATTCTCTTTCGTCTGCTCAACATGCATGCTTAATATTCGTCATAACTTTACAGGTAAAATATCTGCAATAGCGATCAGAAAACATGTGGGTCTATTCCTTCGAGCTATCAAGCGCGTCGTAAACTGAAGATTTACCTTCGATAGGTTATCAAATATTATCTATTGATTTGTTTTTATTTTTTTTCTCTTAGGTTTGTTTATGTATGTACATAAAAAAACATTGAATTGACATAATTTCGTATTTCTCTTGTTAACTATGGGAGGAAGCTTACGTTTGCTTGGTGGTTCTTCCGGTGGTCCGGATATACTTGCAGGAAAAGCAGTTAACATCAATGGTCGACCGTATCTCTTCGAAAATCGTCTAGGATCGGGTGGTTTTGGTAATCTGAAGTTCACTACTGTCAAAAAATCGAGTGTAATCTTGTTTTAACTTGAAAATTTTAGGTTCTGTCTATGCAGCAAAAGCATCAAATGGTATGCCGGTTGCTGTCAAAGTTATTATGCTGGCCGGTACTAGACGTCCGGAGATGGTAGGTCGTGTTCAATCATTTTTAAATGAAGTCATGCAGTTGAACCGTTTACGACAAGAATCGTATCATGTTGTGGTTATTTATGATTTCGGATTTGATGCTCAAACGGGTCAAGGTACGTCTCAGCGAACTTTTCTCCACCGGTTCCATCTTGTTGGTTTTTAGCATACATCGTGATGGAATTAGGTAATGAGAATTTATCAACATTGATTAAACGACTGCGTATGATGAATCAAAATCGTGGTGCAGCAATCGATCCGGAAATGATTAAAGAGTTTTGGCGACAAATGGTCAGTATCGTTGGTTCACTTCACCGACATGGAATCGTTCACATGGATTTGAAGCCAGATAATCTGATTCTTTTCGGAGTAACACTCAAAATTGCTGACTTAGGCATATCAAGAAAAGCGGATAGTTTAGGGTAAGTTATTATTTTCTCACGAAATCAACCATCCGTTCAATTCTCTTTCCAATAGACAAGCTCGTTTGGGTACTCCATTTTTCAGGTAAGACACCATCGTTCGTTATATACTATAGTCGAAGTTTGTTTTGATTTGAAAAGTGCCCCGGAAGTTATGCAGGACATACCTGGCATTCAACGTTATTATAATACGAAAGCGGATATTTGGTCACTAGGTGCGATTCTTTATTTTATGGTCTACGGCCAGCCACCCATGTATCAACGGCAGGCTGATCAACCGCCACGTAGAGAAGCAATTTATCCGGATCATGAATTAAATGATATGCTTCGTCGTACTTTAGTACTTGACCCAAATTATCGAGCTGATATAGTTGAAGTTGCACTTCATCCATATACGCGACATTAACGGCATCTTTTGACCTCTCTTTTTTTTTCTTTTGTGCTTACATTCATGTGAATTGTCGATGTGATTTAATAGGAACTGAAAAAAAAAGAATCTTAAGAAAAGTTTCGTATGTGAATCATGCTTATTTATTGAAATTTCGACACACATGTGTGTGAAGGTTGATCTTTTTTCTTTTCGTGCCGCACAAATTAAAGTTTCTGCTTTCAACATAACGGTAATCTTGTTTTCAGATATATTTTAAACGTTTTCATGGATCATTATACGAATTGCAATCTAAAACCTACTGAAGTCACCGAGTCATTTTGGCTATCCGAATATAACGAAGTGATTGCCAGTAACAGTACATTCCCCGACGGTAAATGGATGCAATTTTATGACTCATCGGAACTCGATAGAATGTGGGAGAAAGCCAAAGATAAATATCGTGCTGGGCATCTGATCGGCATTCATTCTATGAAAGTATCCACAGCACGTCCTCAATCTCGCGCTAGCAATTCTTCACAAGGTGTGATTATATTTTACTGTGGACCAGCGAATAATGAGAGTATTATCATGCATATCGGTGAAAAGTTATTGCAAGAAATGCCTTATAAATCATCGTCGGGACACATGTCTTACAAATCCGACGAGCAGACTTCTGCTGGAACGCGTGCTACAGGACAGATAAGAAATCATTTATATCGTATTCGATGTGGAGAGATCTAATTTTCATAAAAAATTTCATTTCTAGAATGTACTCATCGTAACACGACTATTAGAAGAAGACAAAAATTCTCGAAAATCCTTATTCGCCATTTCTAATACTTGTGTCCGATATCGAACATCATTGCGTTTCATTTGTTTACGATATCTGAGTGGAACGCAAACGAACCAAATAATCATGATAACATGCATTGTGATAAAAATTCCAATAAAAGTATAAAACGCCGCATGATCGACACTTGCAATCCAGAGTTCACCGGGCACTCGATAGTCTGCTGTGCGTACCCATGTAATTACACTAATGATACCATGCCAAACAGAATGACAGACAAGATTGAGCATACACAGTATTCCATATTTATCCAATGAAGTCAGATAAGAAACGGTTGGCTACAATGATAAAATAACTTTGATGAGGGTGAGAGCGTATTTAGAGAATATTGTATACGAACGAGTGATCGATTAACTGTCCAACGAAAAGTCACGGATGTTAGCAGAAGTGTGCATGACACTTGAAGACGATTGATTGAAAACCTAGAATGATATTAAATGTACTAAAATCAAATGGAAGTCTTTTTTACTAACTGCATGGGCATGCCAAAAGTACAAAACGAGACGAAAGTGATCATAAAAATAAGAAAATATCCATTCCAAAAAAAGTAGCTGGATTGACGTGCTTCGAAAAAAAGAACAATATAGACGAGATTTAAACAAAAAGAAAGACGAACCAGCATGACAAGTAACCGTTAACACCGGTCGTTTTCGATCTTCTTTCCCGTTGATCATCTCATCGCTTTCATCATCAACCGTGCGAAAGAGAAAATCTTTGATAAATCTTTGTTCTGTATTGACATGTTCATACAACGACCATTCTTGCTGATCGACAAATGCTTCTCGATTGACTCCGCTTAAGCAATATGGATCGGCGAACAAAAGAACCTTATCGTTGAAGAACATCGAGCTGATCGAAATCGATAAATCTTGTACATCGCTCGGAAAATGATACAATTCAAGTTTTTCCCAAAAGAGACCTTTGATTATACGATGTTCACAAATATAAATTTCTTTCTCAACTCGATTCAGTTTTGCCGTGTATTTTATTTGCTCTTTGAGGTCACCGAGACTATTTTCAATGTAAAGTTGAGGATGCCAGTTGGATTCAGCGTATTTCTCAAGAACAACAGACTTCCCATTGAGCAACTCATCTTGTTCGATGGAAGAAAATCGATCAACTGTAACCGCCCATCGAGATTCAATGGACGCATGAGCTTGATATTTCTCATTGAGGGTATCGATTTCACCTGGAAAATGTTATTGACAAAGAATTATTCAAGTAATTATTGTAACTACCTATTCGAAGGAATACAAGACGAATGTAAACATGAATTGCCTGATCACTTTGCTTCGATGATAGTATATTTATATGAAAATTTGGATTCGATCTCACTAGGAACGATAGAACACATAGGAATTGCACAAATTTTGACTACAAATTTACTCGTTAAAGACATTCCGAAGAGCGTGATTGAAGTTACGATGACAATTTGTTTGAAATGAAATATAGACTGTGGTAACTCGACTATTATATACGTATCAAGACACTGTATAATTTCATTCTGGCTAAGCCCATAAAAAGAGAGCACATCAATAACATGTTTTGATCGAATAACTCACCGTGCTTTCATATTTCAAAAATATTCTTTTTATAGTCAATCAATTACTCTGCAAAAGGGTATGCTGACTGCTAATGGAAGGAGAAATGCATGCGGATGAATAATTAGTGCTATTGACAATACTTTTTTTTTCGAGTGTTTTCGAGTGAATGAAAGACGAATGGAAAGACTATACAAGAATGTGACACGTTGGAAGTGTTTTTATGTGAAGTGATTTTTGTTCGGTGAACAACTTGAGAAATTATGACAGAAGAACTTTTCACGACAGATATCTACGAAACAAATCTAGTGAATATTCAATAGTGAAAAAACTCTTGTACACGATAATTGTTATAATCAACCACGTAGACATTGAATTCGTTGTCAACAGCTAATGAGGATGGAGTATTAAGTAGCTCAGGAGTACTACCTGATACACTGGTAGTGCCGATGATTGTTGTTCCATTCGATTGACCAGATAGATAAAATTGTACACGATGATTTCCTTCATCAGACACATACATATTACCCAGTGAATCGAATGTAACATCTGTTGGATAATATAACAACATTGACGTTGTACCAAATACACCGGCACTGCTTCCTGCGATTAATGTCCATGAACTATCACCCAGTACCCATCGGACGATATTATGAGCATAATTATTGGCAATGAATAAGCTATTCGTTGATGAATCGAAATAAAGACCTCGAGGATTGTTTAATTGTGTAGAACCTGTCCCAGGACCATTTCCGCCAGCTACTAGAATACCCGATGACGAATTCGATAAATACTTCATGACGCGATGATTATCAGTATCTGCTACATAAAGTGTGTTCGTGCTTCTATCAAGTTCCACACCAAACGGATTCGCTAGTTGGTTGTTTGTGCTACCTACCACGCCTAATAGAGCAGAGAAAACGTCATAAATCAATTTACAATAAGGAAACTCACCAGTTCCAGCGACTACTATTCCTGTTGATGCATTTTTCAACCAGAGTACTACCCGATGATTTCCTGCATCTGCAATGTATAGATTCCCATCGGAATCTGATACCAAATCACTAGGATAGCATAGATATGCTAATGAGCTACCCATAGTTCCATTAGCTTGTCCAGCTACAGTTATACCAGTTGATGCATTTGATACCCATTGCTGAACTCGCTGATTTGGTTGATCCGTAACGTAGATTGTATTTGATGAATCTAATGCCAAACAAAATGGATGATTGAATAGATTGCCTGCAAGACCCGATGAACCAGTGACACCAGCTACAGTGACACCACTCCGATTCCAACCAACGGAAAAACTCGGAGCTAAAAAGAAGAATAATCATTGATGCTGTCTATTTTTCATTGTATGAATAATAACTCACTTTCTGTTGTCACCGAAGTTGACAGATTGAAGAAATATAAATCACTCGTCGAATTCCATTGGATTGAATAGTTAGCACTTGAGTCTGAATAGATCAAACAGACGCGTATGCTAGTCATACAGTTGACTGCGAAAATTTTTGTAGAAATTGAATTGATCCCATGACATATGCATTCGTTACAATCAGTCGAGTAATTGAATACTGTTGGTTGACGCGATGTTGCTGATAATGGGATGTATATTCGATGAGATAGTTTCTGAATCGGTATATTCAAGCTTAAAGGAAACATCGTATGGAAAATTATGGCACTAACGAGCACTATGCTTTTCATGATAAAAGAATTGTTGTAATGTTTCAAAGATATTTTCATTATCTATATATATAGGATTCTCTATTATGATGGAGTATGCCATTTTTTTGATTTATTGAGAAATGCATCCTCACCATAAAATTACATTTTCTATTCTTGAAGATACTCAGGTAAAAAAAAGCACATTTAAATTTTATTCAAAAGAAACTTTGAGTGCGGAAGAAAAAATTCACACTCAATCAACCTTTCATTGAATTAGAACGTTTAAAAACAAAAGGAAAAGAAGAATTGTTCACGGCTTCATTTTCGGTCAAAGTCAAATCGTTGTACTCGAACATTCCATTGATCAACTACAAAAAGATCACCTTGTTGATTCAAAGATAAACCCATTGGTCGATTGAGTTGATCTGCTTCATCACCTTGTCCGTATCTGCCCACAACTACATTCCCATGCACAGCATCTTTACACCAGCACATGATTCTATTATTCGTAAAATCAGCAACGAAGACACTGCTAATGTCATCAACAACAACGCCTTGAGGATTTGCCAATTGCATCAGACTGTTTCCTTTGCCGTGACCACCAGCGACAATTACTCCTTCCTTGGCACCTTCGATCCATCGGACCACTCGATGATTGCCCCAGTCTGATATATAAATAGAGTTATCGTCGTGAACGAAAATAAACGTCGGATTATTCAATTGGTCCAATCGATCACCTTTTCCATTTCCACCAGCTACTAATCGTCCACTTGTATCATTCGCTTTCCATCGTCTAACTTCATGTTTTTCCCGATCGGAAATATAAAAATATCCTTGTTTGTCAATACTTATTCGGCAGCAATCAATATTGGAAATAAGGACTTGACCGTTTGTTCCATTTCGACGCGGCCAACTCACTACTCGCTTGTTTCCCTGATCACAAATGATAAAATGCGTTCCATCCTTACTGATAGCGATGTCCGTCGGACCACTTAGCTGATTGGTTTGTTTGCCTTGTCCATTGCCACCAGCTACTACTCTACCGGTTCTCGCGCCTAACTTCCATTCAACAATTCGATGATTTTCATTATCAGCAACGTACACAGTTTGCTCGTTGTCGACAAAAATTCCAACTGGCCGCGAAAGTTGATCTAGCTCACTACCCATGCCATTGCCTCCAGCTACAGTCAAACCGCTATGGACTTCGAAATTTTTTAAATCAAACTCAAACAATGACAGTTCTATAAGGAGATAACAAGTCAATCACTATCTCGTACAGGATCATTCCTTACCGGATGTGTCAACATAAAGCTTACTGAGAAACGACGTTGATTCTTCTCCAATGGAAATAGTTAATGATTCCGCGAGTTCTTTTGTTAATTGATTGAGTTCTTCATGAAAATTACGTAAACTGATTTCATTGAAATCGTTCTCCTGCCGTTTTTGTCGTAGTTGTTCTGTTAATTTGCTCAATTTTAATTCAAGTTCCTGGAAATACTGATTTTTCGTTTCAATCAACGTCCGTTTGGTTTCTTCAGCTGTTTGTTGAATGATTTCAATCGATCGTTGGGCCCATCGATCAATTTGTTCGAATAGATCGTCATTATTCGATTGTTCAATATGTTCGGTCAATGATTGTCGAAAAATGTCTCGATTAACTTCGATCTCATCGAACTGCTTACTTAATTCTAGTTGATGATCGCCCAGATGTTGATAACAAAAATCTTCAGAGCAACCTCCGCATTTAAATGTTACTTTTTCTTTCTTACACGTCACACAATAGGTTTTACTAGTTGCTGCTGCCATGTGATCAATTAAGAAATGAAACAGAAAGCGAAAGAACACATGTTCTCATTCGCACGTCGTTGTTGACGAAACAATAGTAGAAATCACACGTGTGACGACAAATTTGTTTTATTCAAAAACGAAATCAGTCCAGATTTTCTGCAAGCAAAACCCAATGAAGCGGATAAGAATATCGTTCAAAATACGAAAAGAGTACATAGAATTGTCAGGAGAATACTGAACTTGATTGTGATCGCACTTGATTTTGTGCAATCCACTTTAGCACAGTCGTCAAATTGTATTTGGTATCGAGTATTATCTTCCAAGCCTTTGACACCAATGAATGTGTACTCTCCAGTCGGTGCATCGGGTTTGTCAATGACTAATGTGACTTCGCTGCTCTTTTTCGGAGTGGCTTCAATGATCGATCTTGTTTCTGATTCGTAATCGAAAAAATCAGCTGGATCTTTCGGATTTCGATTTGTAAAAGAATAGAACAATTTCACATTACCATTGAATAATGTAACTTTGATCAAAGTTTTGTTTGACATCAGGATAATTTTGATTTTTAGAAATTTATACTTATCTTTTTGAATTTCATCTGTAACTGTTGTGTTCGATGAGATCACACCTGGTTCGGAACACGTTTTCGACTTGAACTGATCGATTCTGCTTTGTAATGCCTGATAGTCTGACATAGCAAAATAATTTTCTGCAGCTGGCGATGAGCAGATAGCATGCAATTCTGCAAGATTTACTTGACCACCTACACCAACACTAACTAATGTAATGTCTTTGTCTTTTAAAATCTTTGCTGCTTGAATTGTTGTAGACGAATTATCGCTTGCACCATCTGTAAGTACAAATATTACTGCAGTCACCCCCTGTTCTAATTTTCGACGACCATTTCCAGTTGAGAAAACAGTATCTGTTGTTTTAAGTGCACTAGCAGTATCCGTACCAATTCCATAATATGTTGCTCGATCAACCTGACTAAGCTTTTCGCTCAATGCGTAATTTTGATTTAGCCATGTCAACACCTCCCGATCAGTTGAGTAGTTAATAATACCAACATGAGTTTTATTTTGCCCGACGTTCAATTGACGAAGTAGACCTCGTGTAAAGTTCAATTGAAGTGTATAATTGTCCTTACCGATGCTACCGCTGGCATCGAGAACGAGTCCAAGGTCGAGTTTTAACTCTTGTGCACACGAATCCAAGTAACAACGAACGTGACTTGGGCTGTTTGGACACGGTTGAGCTTTCGGATTACTACATCCACAGAATGAACTGGACTCTTCTAGACCTTTGATACACTTGGGTGTACACGTGCCTAAATGAGTTTTGTTGTAGATACAACTTGGCCCTTCTCCCTGATACAAGTCACTACCGCATTGTAAATGACGAAGAAATGTTTGGTAATATTTCACACCAGTTGCCAGTTCTGTCATATCTCTACTCAGCTTATGCCTTTTTAAATACAAATTATATATCGAAGTTATGTTTATTTATTACACTTACCATAGCATAGAAAATCCGTAGAATGATTCATCGGCATCGCGTGTCAACGAAGATTCTATCAAAAAGAAGATGCATACCGATACAAAGCGATGTTTATCAATTTACTGTTCATTAAATCGGGATAATTCCAGAGTCTTGCAGCGATAATAATAGCGTTTTCAAGCAGTGCGACAGATTCCGAGTTGTTGACAGATTGATATTGTGGTAATACCGTTTGTAATCGTTCATACATAGTTCTTCCTCGAAGACCGAACAGTCCACGTCGACGGAAACGTGACCCATCACCTTTTTCCTTATTTCCATATTTGTCATCATCAGCAGTGAACTGCGCGTCACTAGCAGATCGTTCATCTATTGAGAAATTCTTTGTCATCGTCGCTGCTATTGCTAGGAAAGCAGCTTTTGCTTGACAATGGTTGCATATACCAGCAGCATTCAGTCCATAATTGAACATACTTAGGAGAGTTTGTGCTCGAGGTGTACTGTTATAAAGCGCATAGAATTGATTTGCCGATAGACAGTTAGGTGAAACTGGCAGTGTTCTGGTTGGAATGCAACATAGCTGTTTACCGCAGACGGTTGAAGTCAACAGAGTTCCAGAACAGTTATGCGCGGATGAACACTGGCCCGTGATGGATTGATTGAATCCTGCTGAGCATTGTTGACCATTTACGATCGATATCAGCGATGATACCAACAGGATGACTATTAGATAAGTCATTCTTGTCTCGGATAGGAGTTATTGGAATGATTGAATGCAAATGTGTCGAAAATATTTATACGAACGAAAATTTGATATGCAAGAAGAAATTTATTAGGAAAGGAGATTGTATTACCAAATATACATATGATGCGATATAGGTTTTTTTTGGAAGATGACTGTTCTCTTGCCTATCCTATGTACAATGAAACATTCATAAACCCTACGCAAATTTTATACAACCCACGTATCCTTTTGATTCAGCATGAGAAATTTTATATGAAATCTACAGGATGGACAAAATAAATCAACACATTTAACCGTTATTCACTAAATATAACAAACAGGAGGCTAGATGTATGTACTTAACCAAACACGCAGACGAAATCATATATGGTAATACGATATAGTTTTATGCGTTGGGATAAGGATTACTAGCTGGATATGATCAGTCAGCAGACACATATTTTCGATCGTGATTTATGAAGACACTTTCTAGAGGCTGAATATTTACATATGTCGATATATGTGCTAAACCATCTTTCATATAAATAAAAAAGAAGACAGACAGTGAACCCGAAGAAGTGTTTTGCACTTATTACAATGTTTCAACGTGAACAAACAGTATTGCGTTCAAATATACGGATTTTCCCAGTACGAAAGAAAAAAGGAAAAGAAAAAAAAAGGGACACAGACATTTCACGGAAGTTGTATGAGCCATGGTTACCAATGTCTACGTGTAGTAAAAGGAAGAAAGAAAAATCTTGACAAGTTGTGAAAAAAGATCTTCAAAATGCAACAAATTAGAACGTTTTCTCTTTCTCTGTGATGTGTATCTGTAAAAATATTCTTCCTTGTAGATCATGAATGATACACATACAACAGAGAATGTAAAAGACTTAACTTGGGTTGGACTTATTTCTCGAGCGGTGACGAATGGAAAACTCCTCGGTTCGACATGCCATTTATACTCGTCAAATACAATCGACAAGGATACAAATAATCCAGACCCTTGTGTGTGTGGTCGTCGGAAGAGTATTCATAGTTTTGCGCAAGATCCACTTACCCATCTTCGTCAGAGTAGCGTTTGGGAAGAATCAAAACATGCTACTGAAACCCACGTTTCGGTATACGGCGTTTGGAAGAGTAAAACGAAGGTATACTTGCATACAAAACAAGAATTATTTGATTTTTATCTATGAAAAATATATTGTAGTTTGTACGTTGGGACCATACACGAATCAAAACAACTGCAGACGTCGTGAGTAATCGGACGGAGAAGTAAGTGTGTCTTGTGATCAAGCATTTCGAAGTATCTCTTTATAAGAACAAGTCTTTCGACTATGGCTGAAATACTACGTGATGATGCGAAAGGTAGCACACCGGATTTACTCATTAGTTGCTATGGCGGTGCAAAATATTTCAAGATGAATGATAAACTAGAGAAAGAATTCATGGAAGGTATCGGCCTTGCTGCTGCTACTGAAGGTAAACTCAATGTGATAGGGGGAATTTTCTTTAGAAAAGCATATATGTATGAATTTGAAGGTGTTTGGTTGTTAACTACTGGTTTGAATAGTGGAGTGTCCAAAGTAATCGGTCAAAGTGTTGAACGCTATGCGTTACTGAACGAAAAAGCATCAAATTATATTGTCATTGGGCTTAGTAGTTGGGGCTGTTTATCTGACCGTACACGTTATGTTCTTAAAAAACAGGTAGGAATCTTAGAATAAAACATGACTGAATTATTTCTCTCCTTTAGGCACAATTAGATCTCGCTAAAAACCAAACCAGACGCACAAGCGTTCCGAAAATGGCCGGAGCATTTGTGATTCGAAATATCAGTAACGAAGATACTTTATGGTCAACAATCGATGAAAATCAGCCCGATACGTTTGAAACCAATCACACTCATTTGCTGTTACTTGATGATGGTAGTCAGGGCGAACGTCGTACATCGGCAGGGACTGAACCATTCTATATTTCCGATACTCCACGCTCCGACTTCGTTCGCCAAGTGAAAGAACTAACTAAGTGTCACACAGTTACAATTCTCGTTGAAGGTGGCCTAAGTTCTCTCGATGTTATTCAACACGATATCAATGCACAACGTCCCGTTGTCATTATACATGGTAGTGGTCGATTAGCTACTGCTATAGGAAACTTATTAGAACTAGCTGCCGATCATACATTAATTGGGTATGAAAGTTAAATAAAAATGAATGGCATACTAATCGGAAGTTCATTTTTTTCAGAAAAGAGGAGATCAAACGTCAATTGAGGAGTTTTGCAAAACAACGGCATCTAGATGACGCACTCCTCTCAAGCATTCAATCAACAATAGCACCAGCAAATCGAGCGTATTTAACTTTATTTCGACTCGACGACAAAACCAGTCTTACAGATACGATTTTCCTGGCTGTTTTCAAAGGCAAGTATTGTAATTGCCAATTTCATCATAGTACACATCTTCATTCGGGATATATAGCATACATGCATCGAGAAAACACTCAACGAACTGGTAACAGTAATCATATGAAGAAAATGCTAGATCTAGCTGTTAAGTGGAATTATATCAACGGTATAGTGCAGAATACTAAAGTATGAATTGTATAATCAAAGCAGATGTTCAATTCTTATTTTTGTGCGCGTAGATTATTCTAAACAATGCAGGATGGAGTGCCGATTTATTTGAGAGAGCACTTTTGACTAATCGTCCTGCAATTGTCGATTATTTTCTTCGTAGACAGCACGATATACTTGAAACAAAAGAATTTCTCAATTCCAAACCGAATAGTACATCAGACATGGCTGCGATGTTTCGAGCTGCGACGACAACGATGCAAATTGGCAAGACTAAAACAAACATTGAACTTCAGGTTTCAACACCCGGTGAAATAACTACTCAAGAAAAGGATGAAGCAATGCTACGCGCTTCGTTTTCTCTCAAATTTATTGTTACTCAATTATACGCTATGACGACGAATAGATATATTCAAGTAAAACTATTTCTTGAAAAGTCAGCTTATTGTCTTTTTTGTTAATTAGAGTTCTTATTCTGTATGTTCGCCTGCCGATCTCGATCGACTCTATTATAAGTTGATTGGACCTTACACGGAGTCATTTTTTTACAAACTAACAACAAGAAACCGTCTAGCGAACGACATTCGTAACAAACTTCGCTCTCTCCTAACGCGATTTAAATATCTGACGAGAAAGTCAACAGTAGTGCCGCTTCAAAGACCAGATGAGCGAAATATGGACGGTTTTCCAGAGAACAGCACAGAAAAAAATGTTTCTCCTATAATAGTTATGGCTAGACCAGATCCACTCCAGGTGTGCTTAGAACGTTTTCCTGCTCCTGACACGTTCGGTAGTCAGGAAATGTTACGTGAGATTTTCCTATGGGCAGTCATCGAAGGATACTCGGAAATGGCATTTATTCTATTACTTCAAATCAAATCTCGCATCAGTGCAGCACTCATAGCTGCCGGTATTACCAGTCGTTTGATGTCAACTTCGGATGGATATCTTGATCGATTACATAAGTTTCGAAAACAATCCAGTGACTACGAACGATTTGCTACGGCATGTATCGATGATTGTTATCAACGAAATGAACGCCGAGCTTGTCAATTACTCTTACGTGAGACTCCTCTCTTCGGAAATGTAACTTGTATGCAAGTATGCTTCTCTTTATCAATTGAATTGATTTCAAACAAACGAAAACATGTTCTAGATCGCAATAAGTTCCCGTATTCGATCATTTATTAACAGTCGATGTTTTAACCAAGTACTCAATCGACAATGGTATGGAGTTTTGTGTCAATCGACAAATCGTTCATTACTGTCCAAGATCTTATTCATCATGAGCCTTTTCTCGATGGGTCTTCTCGCTCCATTATTAATTACCTATCGGAATGATTTTCCCGAGGAAAATCGACCGAGACAGGTAGTTTTCTACTTGTTGATATTTTCGTTCGGAGATCATCGTTCATTTTAGTTCAATATTTCTACTGAGGAAAAAGATGTATTACTCAAACAACGTCGTTGGGAAGGTATCGAAGATCAAGATGGGACAAAATTGAATTATATTCAAAAAGTTCGGCACTTTCATCGTACACCTATCGTCCGAATGAGTTACGATTTCGTACGTTATTCTTATTTCATCACACGAACTCATTCGTCTATATTTAGCTATTCTATATCTGGATGCTTCTTGCTTTCAGTAACGTGATGCTATTCGAAATGAAATCTCCACATAGCGAATTACATTGGACAGAGATCTACGTCCTCGTCACCATATCTTTGATGTTGATCGAAGATATTCGAAAGGTATAATCAGATCAATAATTCTAATCGAAAAAGAAGATCTTTATGAATAGTGTCTCATGGAATACATAACACAAATGTTAGAGCGATGGCATCAAGCTGATATGTGGATGATATTCGTATATGCACCACCGTACGTTTTATTTTACATTGGTATTGCATTGAAATTTGCTTCGAAAACTCGACCAGACTTTTTCACACCTGCCAGGTATTGGTTAACATATTGCTCAATAACTTCTCTCACTTTCTCGTTTTAGAATTGTTTTAGCAATTGATTTAGAATTATGGTTTTTATTTTCCTTACGTTTTGTAAGTGCTGTTAAACTTCTCGGACCAAAACTATTCATGATTAGAAATATGGTAAGTTCTTGTTACGCAAACGGTTCACATAATTCGTAAATCTCCTCTAGTTACGTGATTTGACTGGATTCGTTTACATCATATTTGTTTGTATTGCTGCCTATGGTATCGTCTCGCGGTCACTGACAAGATATTCATCAATCGAAATGAATGCGAAAAATCTATCAAGTAGCATTCTGTATCGACCCTATTGGTTTCTGTATTCAATTGTTGACGATGAAAGAAACGAGCTAGATGGTAAATAATGATTGTTGACTATGAGAATGGTCTATATTGTGTTTCGTATTATCAGGTATTATTGAATCACCATTGAGTAGTTCGGATGCTGTATCCGAAGCAACCGTCAATCAAATGTTACTTGCTTTTCATATGCTTTTTATTAACATTCTGATCCTGAATCTACTGATTGCTGTTTTCAAGTGAGAAGAATGAGGACAGGCATGGAAAGATTATTTTCTGTTTGTAATTAGTTTTACTATTATGGATGTTCAAGATAAATCTGAATATCTCTGGCGTTATCAACGATATGAATTAATTCGAAATTATTTCGAACAACCCCTATTAGCTTTTCCGCCTTTGTCGATTGTGGGTTACTTTTGGACATTGATCAAATATTGTCTTCGACGTCGAGATGTTGCGCGGATATTCAGTGAGTGAAAGTTGTTTGTTTGATCAAACGAGCTGTATGATTTAGAACGTTTTGCTACTAAACAATCGAATAACGAATGGACAAACTTTGAGAATGCAGCTACGTATAGCTATACTCGAACTTTTGTCGATCGAATGTACGCTGATAGTTCGACGCTCGTCATACCAACGTATGTTTTTGTATCAATTGAACATCGGTGTAAAACTTCGTATGTATAGGTTCTCGGAAACGGATGAATTGAAAGCGGAAATCGAAAATTTGAAACGTAAAAATAATGAAATGCGTGTTGTCATCGATAATTTGAATGCTCAATCGAAATTGGTATGTCTTGATGAAACAACAGAATCCTTTTGAAGGTATGACTGTGAGCTATTTTAGTCGATCTCGGCTATGAATTGGATGATGACTGCGATGGACCGAGTTAAAATGTCGTCTCAACGACCACCACTATTGGTGTCTGCCTCTCCATTAGATACACGAGACGAAATATAACAATGTCTAGAGGACCTTTTCTCTATGGTGAATAGTTTTTTTTTGTGATGAATGAAATGAAATATTTACTAAATATGGATTGACAATCTCGTCACATATTGATTCAGTTAAAATAAAACATGGTGAATAGTACATCGATTGTAGCTACTGGAATGATCGGTCGGTAATTTCAATATGTTTGTAATGGAAATAAATATATTCTATAAGACTAGGGAGCAAAAATCGCAAACAATGTTGCCGAAAACGACTGCAATCTCTTTTGAGTCATGCAAATATGAACAAAGTCAGGGCTGTGGTCATGTATCTATAATATAAAAGACTCTTTGTGTGACGATTTTAGTGTAAGACGTGTGTGCGCTGATAGAACTCAGCCATCATGTATTTTTCTCTCTAAAATCGCACCATACTGGTACAAGACACGCATCCGTCAAATACAAGAAAAAGAAAAGTGATCTAATGTGCATCGAAATGCATCCGAGATACAAACAAGTAGCATATACACTACACATGTAATAGAAGTCGTAATAGCTTGTTCAAACAAAACTCTTTGGATTTCTCCGATGTCATTATCACGAAAACAGTCCAAACGGTGTTTGTCCGAAAAAGGTCTTTTTCATTCCAGATTATTTGTTTTCTTAATTTTGACATGGTTCAGAATAAGGACAAAATAATGTTTATTTCTTCTCTGTAGTTGACATATCTCGTTTTTATTTCCAAGTAGAAACTGCACGTTGTATGATCATGTATCTCTTCATCAATTATTTTTTTATTCCTCTTGTCCATGCTGTTATCGTAACACAAGTTCATCGATCACGAATCTTTTATCCTGCATCATCTTGTTTCTTTCTTCGCAATGCTTCGTCAATGGTTAATCCATCAATTCAATCATGCACTTGGGAGTGTATTTATGAAAATAATTGTCGTACAGCTGTGTATGACTATGATCACAAAGTCTGCTCATTGTTCAGTGAAACATGTAGTCCAAACAGCATTCAAGCTCCATCTGGAAATGTTCGAGCCAGTGTGATCTGTTGCAGGCAAAGTTACGGTATGTATATTGGCTAACGATCACACATTAGTGTATTCGATATTTTAGGAGCTACGACTGCTTGTCCCTCTATAAGTGCTACGACTATACTGACTCCGGCCAGCACCTCGTCAAGATCAACATCAACATCGACCAGCACCACGTCAACCAGCACCTCGTCAAGATCAACATCAACACCGACCAGCACCATGCCAAGGAGCACCTCATCAATAGCAATATCGACTGGTACCTTACTCATATCAACATCGACTACGTGCACCAGTTGTGTCATTGTTCCCTCTCATCAAAATTCCGCAATAAACTACCAAGTTGAACGTCTTGATTTCAATTGTACTTCGGCACTTTCCAATTTTACACTGGTTTACGTCGTTAAACGCAACAACAACGAAACATACGCGAAGCAATATGCAACTTTTGGGAGTGGAATAACAAACATGACGGCGGTTCAAACCGCTTCCGTCATAACATATGTATGGTATACCCTACCAGATGCGATAATTAATTTTGCAGGTTTCCCATATTCTACTGAAGCTCAATTCTATCACGATAGTAATGGATCATCGCGCTACACAGGTGATGATACATGGTCAATGACATTCCAGTCGGTTTGCGGCGGTTGGGTCAATTATACTGGCACATTTTGATTTCGATTACAACAGCAAACGACTTACCCTACGATATAGCTGCTACCATGTAGTTTTTAATAATACTACAGGATGCTTTCCGCTGAAATAAAATAAATGTTCCATAATGATTTTCGGTTTGTGTTCTTTATCGTATACATTGTCACTGAATACACTAAATAAATAAAATGTGCTTATATAATATATGATTATGTTTTGTACTCTTTCGGACACAAACTTTGGTAACCAGGATGATATTTTATATGACTGCCTGCCATCTGCCTTCCTAACAAGTGATTGAATAGAGCATTCATCAATAGAAATTTACTTTGAAATCTCATATATGAAATCTATTCTAATAATAACGGTTATTGTGTTCAGAGATCTCGTAGCGTCATGGCTCTTTCTCGACTTCAACTAACGCCGGATATGAGTATTTGTCGCATTTTAAATGGCATGTGGCAAGTGAGTGGTAGTCATGGACACATAGATTCCAAAGCTGCGGTAAAACAGATGTTTGATTATTTGGATGCCGGTTATACGACATGGGATCTGGCCGATATTTATGGTCCTGCTGAAGATATCATGAGTGAATTTCGACGTCAATTACTTGCAGCACGCGGCCAATCTGCTTTGGATAGTCTGCAGATTTTTACTAAATGGGTGCCACAGCCAACAACGATGACAAAAACGGTGGTAGAGCAAAATATTAACAAATCTTTAACAAGAATGGGTATGAACTCATTAGATTTGCTTCAATTTCATTGGTGGGACTATGGTAACAATAGTTATCTCGATGCTCTTCGATATTTATCTGAACTTCAAAGCGAAGGCAAAATTAAACACTTAGGTTTAACTAATTTCGATACAAAACGATTGAAACAAATCTATGAAGCAGGTATTCCAATTGTCTCCAATCAAGTACAATATTCTATCATCGATCGTCGTCCGGAAGTATCCATGGTCCCCTTTTGTCAACAGAACAATATTAAACTTCTCACATATGGAACCGTCTGTGGTGGTCTGTTATCAGACAAATATCTTAATCAGTCGGAACCACGTAGTGCAGATCTTACAACTGCTAGTTTAAAAAAGTATAAGAACATGATCGATCGATGGGGTGGTTGGCAATTGTTCCAAGAGCTTCTTGCTGCACTCAGGCGTATTGGAGATAAATACAATGTTAGTATTGCTAATGTTGCTATACGTTATATTCTCGACAAGCCAGCAGTAGGAGGTGTTATCGTTGGTGTTAGACTAGGGAAGAGTGAACACCTACAAGACACAGCTAAGGTATCTCAATTTATTCTCGACGCTGATGATGTCGAGCAGATTGAAATTGTATCTCGGAAATCACGAGATTTATTCCAAAGTATAGGTGATTGTGGTGATGAATACCGTTAGAAGAATTCTTTTTCTTTCATTGAAATACTGTTTTATTATTCAAGTAAAAATTTCGTTTTGAGTCATGCTGACAACATGAATAAACATATAACACAAAAGATAAGAAAATGATAATGCTTTCTTTTTCAACAATCATAAGCATACAAAGATGGCCACGGAAGACAAGCGTGCTCTAGATACAGCTTGGATTATCGAGCGTGCCGATGAAGTTCGTCGAACTGGAGCGACTATCATTCCAAATGTCCTGCCCGTCGATAAAATCGATGAACTTAATCGAGTTTTTCAACCATTGTTGAAAGAAACCGAACGTCTCGAAGACGGAGCAGGCAATCGTGGACCACACCGATATTACATCACACCACCATTTCAACCACCGTGGACAGATGCGTCAATTATCAATAACGATATTATTCTAGCTATTGTTTCTGAATTAGTTGGCACAGATGGAGTATTTTGTCAACTAGCAACAGACACGCCATGTTTAGGTTCCGAGTATCAAGATTTACATCGTGATACACAATCACTTTTTCCTGAATGGGAACAAGAACCACCACCCTACCAATTAGCTGTGAACTTTCCTCTGGTGGATTGTCATGAAGAAAATGGACCGTTCGAAATGGCACCATCGACACATCTGTTACCGAAAGAAGAAGCAATTCGTCGAATTGAATCTGGTGAAATATCATTACAACAGGTTCTCATGAAACGGGGTGATATTCTTATTCGAGACGTTCGACATATACATCGAGGAACACCAAATCGTACGAATGAGCCACGACCTATGGTTGTACTCGGTTATAGTCGACGTTGGTTATTTCGACCAGAAGTTCAAATACGTGTTGCTCGAGAAGTGTTAGAACAAGTGCCAGCGAGAACACGTCAATGGCTACGATTTAATCCCGTATTTAACACTTTAGAAGAAGCACAAAAAGACAAAGAACTGTATCGTTCATTTGCTTATTGAAATGACTGTGTACGATTCATTACTTTTCATTAGATAAAAGACATAAAAATACATCTCTGAATAAAATTTGAAACTTGTTAAAAATAAAGATAGTTTTACGTATTATATTACACGAACAATATTGAACAGAAAAAGCATGAATCACAAACAGTTTGAGCTGAATTATTATAAAAAATGACAGTATGTCTTTTCAAATAAGTTGAAACCGTTGAATTCGTTTGTTCGATGTATCACTAACGTAAAGATAGGTTTCATTTACGTCAGCAGTCACGCGGTACGGAGAATTCAACATAGTAGAATTGCTGCCTACAACACCCGTCGGACTTCCGGCAACTGTTACTCCCGAGGCCGCACCAACCTTCCAGCGCTGAATTCGATTGTTCATCGTATCTGCTATATAAATAGCGCCTGTTTTATTTGATACCCAAATGCCATACGGCGATCTCAGTTGATTACTGCCAGATCCGGCGCCATTATTTCCTGCTACGGTCGTTCCTACCATTGGAATGCTACCATTTAAGAAATAGCGTTGTACACGATGGTTCGATGTATCGACGACGTACAACCAAGAGTTGTATTCATCAAGATGCATAGCAGAAGGATTGTTTAGACTCATGGAATCACTTCCTGCAGACCCTGTGCCAGCAATTATATAACCGCTAGTAGAGTTAGGTGCGTATTTCAACACTCGATTGTTGAAAAAGTCTGAAATGATCATATTACCGTGACTATCGACTCGTACTCCAGACGGACTGTTTAACGAGTTTCCTCCGGAGCCAGTACCCGCCACTATTTTTGGTGCCGGCAAGGTACTTTGCATGTTGGAAAACATGATTATTCTGTTGTTACCTGCGTCACTGACATAAAGGTTATTTCCATGACGGACGTCTAAGTATATATTGTTTGGATGACTGAAGGACTCACCAGTCGTCCAGTTACGAAATACAACTGAGCCATTGTT